ATACGACGGCCACCAACAGTTCTTTGCCATCGTCCAACTGATCGGCACACGGAAACAAGCGGAAAACTTCGCCTACCGACTGGAGTTAAACGGCCACAGGCGGCGACTCACTTGGGAGGCGACGCCACGTTCTATCCATGAGGGCATCGCCACCGCCATCATGAACAGTGACTGCTTGGTGTTTGACACCTCTATTGCTCAGCTGTTTGCCGAGAACGGCAACCTGGGCATTAACGTCACCATATCTATGTGCTGAGGACTAACAGCTGTGCATACTTGAACACATACAAACACAGACACACACACACACACACACACACACAAACATGAAACCAGACATTTCAAAACACCGCAGGATACCTTGAGTTGTGCTTGGGGGACGGGGGAAGTAGCTAACCTAGGGGACTTTTTGCTGTTGTACGTTCCAAGTAGTCCTAAAAAACTGTTATTGGTTGGATCTTGGCATATCCGGCCAGACATGACGCCTGGGTTCTCAATTTTATGCTACAATATTATATAAGTTAAATAATTAATGTATTCTACATCTTTGAGAGCAACGTTTATTGCCCTTGAAGGTATAGGAAAGCCACGTTTGTGGAATGGACCTTTTGCAAATGTGTCATTTGGGACAAGAGTTTGAGGATCGGCACGCCAGCCTGGATGGCGTTAGGAATATTGATGAATTTTTGGGGGTTCAAAAAGGCAACCCCAGGAGCAAGTTGTTGTTTCCCAAAACGTTTTGCATTTCAGTTCTGATAAAACACTAACTTTTATGTTCAAATATTAGCTTTTGTTTTATTCTAGTCTTGTCATTTTCCCCTTCCCCCACTTTTTTTGGTCCCCTCTAAATTCTCCTACCTTGAGTATGATACAGAAAAAGGTTCAGGTAATTGGTGCATGACCACTGGATACGTTAAAACAAGTCCAGATTTCATTTTAGAAGTCTTGTTTGTTTCTGCCTGTCACTGCAGTGTTTCTCCTGTTTGTTTGTGAAGGGATGGTGTCATGACTTGGCACATGCACATCAAGCTAGGTTATAAACACAGGCAAGTCTTTGACCATCAAGCCACACTTTATTTTCCTTTTTATATCAAATAAAACATATTGAAGTTGTTCGTTATGCGTGAGATCATATGGTTTGGATTTCTGACACACAGGCCTCCATTATAAACACTGGAGTAAACACTGCACTGAACACCAGGCTAGGAACGGGGCAATTAACACAGTTATTAAAATGAGATTATTGTCATAATTATCATTTTGTAATGACTTGTAAGAAAATGGAATGAAAAGGCTGTTGTAACCTCGTGGCTAATCTTCAGTGTTTGTAGATAGTGTTGTTCTTCAGAAGACCTCAGTCTTCTTTTTCTCTTTTTGTAAGTCAATATTTTTGTTGCTGTTGTTCTCTGTATGTCTGTATTTCTGTTTTTTTTTTGTTTTTTTGTTTTTTGCAAGGATAGGGTGAAGCAAAGCCAAACATCTCTGTGGATACATTGTACTGTTGCTAGTCCTGATCTCTCATTTTATTTGTTTTATTGTTTGTTTTGTTCTATTTTGCCAGTAAATAAATCTATCTTTTTCATACCCTCTGTGAAAATTTGCACTCCTCATTCTAAGCATCAGCTGATGATGTTGGCTTCATCTGTTCCCGCTGTCGCAGGGGAGAAATAAACATAATTATATGAAGTTTGAGTAAATAAGCAGGACATTTAGAACTTTGTATTTTTAGCTTGATGGAACGAAAACCCACTTTTTCAGGCTTTTGAAGTATTTTCGTGTCTTCAGCTGAATAAAGGAATTGCTAGTGTTGGCGGTAACACATTACAAGTGAGTAACGTAATAATATTACTTTTCTAAATAACGAGTAAGGTAACACATTCATTTTAAAAAGTAAGTACCAATATTTGAGTTATTTTTTTAATTCATCAGCATTTTAAAAAAATTAATTGCTAAATTAAAATGTCACAATGAATCATGCAGTCAATGAGAGAATAGAAGAAAAGGAAAAGGGGATCGTCTTAAATCGGGGTATCTCTCGTCCAATCCATATCCATTTTCAAAGAAAAAAGAAAATGTCATACGTTTTTCTGTTTTTCGTTTGCTCAAAAAAAATGAAATCGAGATTTTTGGCTTGATTTTCGTTTTTGTTAATTTGGGGTAGGAAAATGGATAAATGACTTCAAAATTCATTATCCACATGTAGGCGGTGCTGAAACGCCCCTTTTCCTCTGATTGGTCAACCAAATCTGAACTTGTGACATCACCCTCAAAATAAAAGCCCTCTGTGGATCAGCACCCAGGCTTTAATTATTATTATTTAATTCTATATAAACCAACTTTACACATTCTGCCATTTGATCAGTTAGCAGGCTTACATCAATGACTACATCTTTGACAAACGCGCTGTAAAGCTATAAAGTATAAAAATAAAGTTATTGCACTTTCATCTTATTCTTCAGTAGATCTGTAAATGATGTATTTTATAAACTGATTATTAAGGACTTAGCTAATAATAACTGTAACTCTCCAAATAGAAAAGGCTTGATTAAAGATTTAAGCAGAATTGGGTTGAAGAGAACTTAATTCAGAATAGTGCGCTGATTTCTATGCGCTTTACACGCGCACTTCTCTTTTCTATTATTTCATGCAATAGTAAATGCATCAAATAAAATGCAAACAATTTGGAACTGGGCCCGCTGCAAAATTTTCTAACGAAGAGCAAATGTCAAGTACAATAATAGCGCAACGCACGGACAGTTAGTCAGAACTACAAGACATTATTTATTATGGATTATGCATATGTATTTAATAAGTTACTTTAAAAATTAGTTAATTCACTGTTTTAGAATGTCTTGAGTGAGAAAATGCAGGAGAAATAGCCATTGCAGCTGACCGTATTGTATAATTGCCCCTAAACTTCTTTGAGTTCGGCTCTGAAATGAGTTGGCTACCTGGAGATGTTGCTTGTGCAAAGCCACTGACCCTATTTTTCTTAAACTCACTTAAAATATTCCACATAGCCTCCATGGCCTATAAATAAAAAAGAAATTATATATATATATATATATATATATATATATATATATATATATATATATATATATATATATATATATATATATATATATACACACACTAAATCAATAGGGGGAAATAAAATAATAAAAAATGGTACCCTTTGTTATAGCAACTGGTCTCAATGTGTTTTTATTCTGGTCCTGCTAACTATTAAAAAAACTAAACAATAAAAAAAACTAAGTGAACAATATTAATTGTTGTCTTTGCTCATCATCAGGTGCACAGCAGCAAGACGTTTGGCAGCAATCTATGACCTTATTTTAATGACAATTGTCTAATAATACTGCTAATTTACAATTTTTTAAAAATGTATGCATACGCAATGAATATAAGCCTGATAATTGATCAAATGATAGAATATGTACTTAGTTTACATATATAATTGAATAATAATAATTAAAGCCTGGGTGCTGATTCGCAGAGGACTTATATTTGGAGGGAGACGTCACAAGCTCAGATTTGGTTGACTAATCAGAGGAAAAGGGGCGTTTCAGCACCGCCTGCTTGTGGATAATGATTTTTTAAAGTCCTTGATTTGTTTTCCTACCCTAAAGCAAGAAATGAATAAAAGCTGAAGAAAAACAGCAGTTTCCTTAGGTTTCCTTTTTTGTTTGAAAACGGAGATAGAATGGACAGAAGATACCCTGACTGTCTTACAGTTATGTGCATATTTTGGTCATTAGATTTCCATTTTAGAAACGAATATTGAAAAACAAGCTGTTTCTGCTATTTATTTTGAAATTCAAAAACAGAAATTGAAATACAAGGCGTTCTTCTTTTTCATAATGTAAAGGGGATAAGCTCATTTTAAAAATGATTTGATTTTCATATTTTATTTCAAATAACAAAAAAATCACCAGAAAAGTAAAAGGAAAAAAGCCTCATTTTATGCATTGTTTATATATATATTACATAATATATATTATATTTTGAATATTTTTTATATTTACATTAAGGCAAAGGGGGGTCCAACTTGCTACTTGTAAGGTGTACCTAATAAAGTGGCCGATGCATGTAAGCTTATTCTAAATGTCAGCACTCATAGTTGTAAGGATTGTATTGAATGCAAGATTATTGTTAGGATTGTTATGATTTAGATTCCTTATACAATTATATGCCGACTTAAACCAATGATGTATTGCTTTACACGTGCCCACTTTAAAAGTTTTTGAAATATTTTGGGAATATTTTCATTGATTGGATGAGATGAAATGTATAATTTCCAGAAAGGTTGATCACACTTAATTGACCCTCCTTATACATCTCAAGCTGAACATCTGATGCATAAGACAAGGCAAACATCCGATTGGTTGAATTCACCAGGATTCTGAGATGTGTGTAATGCGTCCACCTGTAAAATAAAGCCTGTAAACACTTTTATAAGCTCAAACTGTCTTTCACAGTGAAGCCTCTTTAAAAGAAAACGCATCAATCTGTTATTGTAGAGACATCAGAGTCACATTTTCATGAACTGTGATTGGTTGCTTCACCTGTCAGCAGACTTCCTCTCATCTAGTAGCACCAGCGTTTATATTTTTCTCTGACATTAACCTAAAAATAGTCTATAGCTGCGTCTACTAGTTGTAGAGTTGATCAAAATCAGATTGCGAAATGTGATTCTCCACGCCTTCATGTGGAGCTGACACACACTTCAACGAAAGCGGTTCTGCTACATCTTACGACATTTCCAAACATGCCTCGTGTTTTCAGGCCAAAGCTGTCATGCAGGTATTACAGTCGTCAAGAACACATTAACTGTTAATCGCTCCAAAAAGCAGGTCAAATGGCAGCTCTGTTTGCACTATCACATATCAAATGATGAGCTTCATGACAAAAAGAGCAGCCATACGAGTTGAGTTGCCAAGAAGAATCACTATTACAGCATTTCAGTCGTCTCAGTGGGAACAGATTACACCAGTGTATTTGATCAATTATAAGTCCATATTTATTCAGAAAGACAGTTAGATTGTCATCATATGCTATCAACATCACTGTCATCTGCTAACCTCCACTTCAAAGATACTAATTAGACATTTCCATTCTTTATCAACATAAAGTTGTCAACATTAATCTTATTTTTAAGAATTTTGACACTGGTTAAGCTCATTTTGCTTCAAAACATTAAATGTAGTTGTCAGTTCTACAGGAACATAATTGTGTCAATAACACTCATACGTTATTAAATCACAAGTTAATCATCAATGAGAAAAGGAGAGAAGATAAACTGAATATCTTTCAAAGATGAAGTAAATTGAAGTGCTGAGTGTCAAACTTTCTCTATGAGGAAAACAGTTCATGAGCTCATCTTGCAAGGATTGTCTCAGAGTTTGCTTAGAACCTGTGGATGGTTGACGGCTGAGGGAAATCCTCCATCAAAGGCAGCGTTCAAGACTTCATCCAGAGTGCCGGCCAGAACAAAATCCAGGTCTGCTCGCACATTGGCCGGTATCTCCTCCAAATCTTTCTCGTTGCGCTTGGGGATGATGATGCGTTTCAGATTGGCCCGGTGCGCTGCCAGGACTTTATCCTTTATACCTCCCACCTGTAGAGAAACAAGACGTGTACATAGCGCACACCATATGTATCAAATATTTGGCAAATATAAATTCCATACTCAAAACAGTAAACAAAAACAAGAAAAAGGAAACAATGCAAATAATACAAATCGAAAAATATAAAAACATCCCACTCAACGCACAGATATAAATATCTATTCTTATCAACAGTATGTAAAATAAGCAAAAGAGAACAGTGAGAGACACAAAAATACAAACAAACACACAGAATAATGCAAGAAAAGAAATATAATATAAATAATATCATTTAAAAGTAAAATAGAAAATATAATTTTACTTGCAGGGAACATTATGGAATATTATCAAAATACTAGTTCTTATAGACTAAAGGTGCAATATCAAATGGGCATGCATACTATCACCAACAGGGAGAACATCTAATCACAGAGATTTAAAGGTGCTATAGAATAAAAAACTGAATGGATAGTGTTCGACCCAGATTTTCAACAGTGTACACTAGATAGGAGATTTAAACAGTGGGTTTGGAGAGGAATCATCATTCAGTTCAGTGACCTCTAACGGACATTTCATGAGTTATCAGACCTTATCAGATACATTTGGCCAAGACAAGCAGGACTTTTACAGATACTTGCAAGTTAGAGATTACTTCAATAAAAAAAATAGAAAATAAATTTAAGGATGATTATAATTTGATCACAGTATTTTCGAAAGCATGCATAAAAGACGAAAAGAAAAAACTGGTCTCTAAATTATATGAATGCAAACAAAACAGTCAAACTCATTCATCAAATTACATAAAACAAAAATGGAAGAAAGAGTCAAACCAACAAATCACAAAGACTGGACAGATATGTGTGTCACACATGCAAAAACCACAAACTCGAGAGCTTGGAGAGAGTTTGGATGGAAAAATCTGATGAGGTTCTTCATAACTCCTAAACTGCTAACCGTTTTCACGTTTTTTGGGCTTGCCCAAAAATACAGACCTCCTGGTATGAAATAGTGATTGAAATAAAAAAGACAACTGGAGAAGAACTGGACTACACGTTTATCACATTATAGCTTGGGAAAATACCAGAAATGATTCTAACTATTGACAAATACCTAATTCAAATCCTTTTGGCAAGTAGCAGAAAAGCCATAACTGGAAAATGGTTTCAGGCTGATGCTCCAACAAGGGCTCAATGGATAGGAATTGAAAAGGAAATACACTGTATGCCGAGACTGACTTTTAACCTAAGATTTCATTCAAAAAAGTGTGACAAGTACTGGCAAAAATGGACTGAGTATGTCATTGTAAACAATTTGTGATAATGTACATCAAATGTATTATGACTTGATTTTGTAACCCTTATGGTAATTGCTTTGTTTTTTACTACTATTTTTCCCCCCGTCCATTTATCTCCTCTAATTTCTAAATAAAATTTTAAAAAGAAAAAATTAAATAAAAAAGAATGAAAGACTGAATTAATCAAGGCATAACTGAATAATGAGAGTTCAGCACATGATAAAGACACACTGTGAGTCTCAAACAACACTATTTTCCTGTTCTCCTGTAAATCCTGTGTGTGTAAAATCCTGGTGAGAATCAGGCCAATCCAAACACAACACTAACTGTTACTTAACACTCAGGATCATTAATATGCGCACCCCCAGAAGTATTTGATTGGCCACCATGTTTCATAGTGAGATTACAACAATTACACTGTTTTTCCTTTTTTCTAAGTTTAACACAGATTATTACGTTTCCTATTAGGGTTGGGTAGATTGACGATGCCATTGTCCATTGCAGATGGCCGATAAACATCACGACGCTGAGCCGGCATTGCATTCCTTTGCCCCGCCCCTGTCGCAGCAGCAACCCGCTCGCAAAAAAATACACACTTAGACCCCGTTTACACTAATATGTCTTAGTTTTAAAATGGCATTTTAAAAAGAAAATGATCCACATCCACACTGGTGTTTCATCTAGCATTTATGAAAAGCCCTCCTTCCACACTATACTGCTGAAAATGCACATCATGTGACCACAAACACACACACACGCACGCACGCACGCGCGAGCTCCAGCAGTCAGCGGGTGCTTTGAGCACAAAACCCCGGACAGCAGTCATTTCTGTCTTCATGATAAGATGTATTCATGGTCACGAAACCAACTTTAGTGAACACAACCTGCACAGGCTGTGAATAAAAGGTAATGAAGTTATAAATAATGTTCAGTTTGTTGCACAGAGCGATCGTTTGAGAGCCGAACTGAAAGAATGATTTGCAAGTATGTGTTTTTTTCTCACAGTGACAGCAGATATGAGCCGCACTAGGAAGTGAAAGTGAAACCTGTGCGCACATCATTTAAATGATCATATCGCATTTTAGAGTTATGATTACGACAAGCATTTGATATGTTTTTCTTTCATAGCGAACACACTGTTGTGCATGAAAATAAATGTTTACTGTGTCAGTATAACAACCCTATCCTACAGTATATATAATGTTGAATATAATGGTCAAAAAAGTTGTCAATGAGAGATGGCAAGCATATGTCTCAAATATAATAATTCAGTTTTATAATTATGAATAGTTGTATTCTGATGTCATCATTTTACTGTGAATTAACAAACAGGACATATTGAAAGTCTGTTCAAGTCCACCATAATACAAAATGTAGCATTTTAAGCATACCAACACATAGGCCTAATATTATTATTGTTGTTTTACCATATGTTTGAGAATTAACAATAATAATAGACTAACCATATTAACCTTTATTTTACATTTACAGAATCGTAAGAAAGAATCGTGATTTTGATTTTAAGCAAAAAAAAAAATCGTGATTGACATTTTTGCCAGAATCGTGCAGCCCTATTTGAAAAACTGAACTACCCTGATCCAGTTACTATGACCATTCATGTGAAGCTGCTTTGACACAATCTACATTGTAAAAGCGCTTTACAAATAAAGCTGAATTGAATTGAATTATTTGTGTGCAACTTATCTTTATTTATTTATGATTTGGTTATGGGTAAAACAGGGACCATGTGGGTCAGATAGTTGAAAAGGTAGGCTACAAATAATTAATTTGTTATGAATTAATTAATTAACCTCTGCCTACCACAAGGATGCCATCGTCGATGTTTCACATTATACATTGTATGATGCCAAATTGGTCGACATCGCCCAACCCTATTTCCTATATATTTTGGGTTTTGAAAACAGCTTTTTACAGTTTAAAATACCTTACATCTATGGATGGAGCGTCCTCATCAGCCTCAAATAAAAGTGGTGTGTGTGTGATGTGCAGTGTGTTCCTCACCGGCAGCACCAGTCCTCTCAGAGTGATTTCTCCAGTCATGGCCACATCTGACCGCACCAGTCGCCCGCTCAACAGCGAGGCCAGACACGTCACTATCGTAACGCCAGCCGAGGGTCCGTCTTTAGTGACAGCGCCTGCTGGGAAGTGCAAGTGGATATCGGTGCCCTCCAGAAGATCAGCACTTCCTACAAAACAAACATCAGGCAAACACACACATGGTGACACACCAGCCTCAGTGAACATGGAAATTTACTCTGAACATAGAAATGTGGAGTTAAACAGAAAAACTAAGACAAATAGAAAGAACAACTACTTATGGTCATCAATGATCACTATATGTACAACTCTGTAGCAAAGCTTGCAAGCTAGTAATTTGATTTAAACATAATTATCTTTTGCATTTGACTCTAAAAACAAGGCTTCGAAAAAAGCGCAGCACAGCAAGAGATCCACGTGACAAGATATTATGAACATGATGTAATAATGACAATAATGCCCATTTAGAAATATGAAAACAATATGTTAAGCACATGAGGAGATGTCATAACTCAGGATATACTGGACAAAGCCACAACAAGCGCTTCCTCCGCCCTGGTAAATAAAACAGTTGTCATGCCAACTTATAACAACAAACAGTCAACTATAAACAGAAGCATGCAACGGTTGCCCCACCTCAGAGCTCTTCTAACAGCACTACTTGTGAAAGTTGAAGATCTTTCAACTTGACACGGTGTAAAAAATGTGGTGCTTAAGTGCATTGCGCTTCAAAAGATGCTAAACAAGAACGTAACGGTCACACAAGTCTGTCAAGCGCACATCTACATTGAAAAACAATAGAAAAGTAGAGGAAAAACGCATTCTGTGTGAACTGCCCCTTAGTGAGCATACACACCCTCTTTCTATGACAAGATGTGTCAACATTAATTATGAAACAGATACTTGTGCTTATTCATTACATAATGGTACTTACTCATAAGATTTAATATTAGATCATAAGACTTGTTCCTATTAAATTTATACTATATTAGCACATATTCATTAGACATTCAGATGGTACTTTTTAAAGGTGCAGAAGGTGATCTGCCTAAATGCTAACCGGTTAGCATTATATGTTTGAAACCCTGCTGTCCAAAGCCACGCCTCCTAAAATCATTAGATCATGTCATTCGCCAGTTAAAAAACTTTATAGTACTTTATAATACTACAATTCAGAACAAAACACTGGTACGTTTTTAGTTGTGTAGCAAGCAAAACTTGTCATAATGTATAATATTTCATGCATGCAAAGATCACTGATCCCACTATCATATGCTGTTCTAAAGCAACTACTGTATGCTTAGTGGTTGACCAGCAGCGTGCAGGAATTACATTTATTACTAAGCCATACTTGCATGCTATTTCAGACCGAATATTCAGAGTAGCATGATAAACAATATAGGGAGGGCGTCACAGGTTGTCATTGTTCAAAAAAGAACCAAATGTGATGTGAATATAAAACCAACTTCACCTCAGCAAAGCAAGCTAGGCAGAATAGTGCTATTTACTGATGTTTTGTTGTTAAACTAAATAAAAATCTACATTATTGAGGCTGTAAAAGGTCTCTTGGCTGTAAAGGATGGCTGAGCAACACTTCTCTGCATATAAACCATTCATAAAACAACCCAATCTACATCAGCCTTGATTGACCAAAATAGTTTAAAATCATATCATTACCTGTCTAACAGAAATACTTCAGCAATGGTGTCCTCTATCCTCCAGCGTGCAAAAGTAACTCCAATATTGATTCAGGATTTTAAAAAGTGCAGATGGCAGATCTGCGTGAACGGCTGCGCAGTTGTAGAACTCTACATTTTTGACAGACATTTTGGCTAATTATCAGAATTACAGGAATTATGGGTCCGACTATTTTAAATTAAACAAACCCTTTTTTTATCTTATGCACATAAAAATACATATAAACACTTATAAATCATTTACTTTAATCATTATTATGATAAAATGTTTCTGAAGACTACTGCACCTTTAAACAGACACTAGCACCTGTTCACTGCAATCTAATACCTAATAAATGGATAATAATAGTTATTAATTCGATTCTAGTACCTGTTTATAAAAAATAATAACTTTTTGTGCAACTGCAAACCCGAATATGCAAATGAAATATGGCCATATGGATAATAAAAATTCTTAATATAATAAATGGTCTACTAGACATCTACTATCTACCCAAGTTCTAGAAACTAATGAATTAATACTAGTATCTAATGAATATCTACTTAATAGGTAGGATTGCCTGAAGTAGTAGTATCTAATAAATGAATACTAGTATCTAAAAAATAAGTAATTAATAGTACTTAATGAATGACATACTTCAATGAAAGTAGTTATGCTACATCTTATTAAATATATTGAATAATTCTTGTTTCTTTTAAAACAGAATAAGGACTAGTACCTTATGAGTAATACTTAACAAAATAGTTACTACTAGTATCCAAAAAAATAAGTACTGGTAGCATGAAAATAAATACTAATACACTTAAATGACGTGTCTTTTAAACAGTGGTTGTGTGTAGTGCATGTAGTGTAGTGCGTGTGTGTATCTCACCATCATTGAGGAGGTACGTCTTAGCATTGCTGCGCAGCCAGCTTATGGCTAGATGAGCGGATTCCTTCATCACATCACCCAGCTGACCTGTCAGAGTCAGCTGACCTTCACCCTCCATACGACTGGCCTCCACAAACATGATCTCTCCACCCATCGGGGTCCAGGCCAGACCAATCGCAACCCCAGGCAGAGTCAGGCGCTCAGACACCTTCAAACATGGACAGATGGGGTTACAATTTTAACATTCGAACAATGCCTAAAAGAGGGTTTTATGCCTCAGTAAATTTTCATGCTGTGACAGCAGTTTATGTAAAATATTAAAGGATCCGATATGATATATTTTGACATTATATTTTTTGTTAAAAGATTTGACAAATTAAATACATGTATTTTAAATGTGTTGTATATATGAAATTGAAAAAAAAAAAAGAAATTGCGATGTTTTGTATTTCTGCGATATGCAGTTGAAGTCAGAATTATTAGTAGTTATTAGTAGAATTTTTTTCGTTTTTAAATATTTCCCAAATGATGTTTAACAGAGCAAGGAAATTTTCACAGTATGTCTGATAATATTTTTCCTCTGGAGAAAGTCTTATTTGTTTTATTTCGGCTAGAATAAAAGCAGTTTTACATTTTTTTCAAAACCATTTTAATGTCAACAGTATTAGCCCCTTCAAAATATATATATTTTTTTCAATAGTCTACAGAACAAACCATCATTATACATTATACACAATAACTTGCCTAATTACCCTAACCTTCCTAATTAACCTAATTAACCTAGTTAAGCCTTTAAATGTCACTTTAAGCTGTATAGAAGTGTCTTGAAAAATATCTAGTCAATATTATTTAATCTCATCAGGGCAAAGATAAAATAAATTAGTTATTAGAGATGAGTTATTAAAACTATTATGTTTAGAAATGTATTGAAAAAAATCTCTCCGTTAAACAGAAATTGGGGGAAAAAACAGGGGGCTAATAATTCTGACTTTAAAATATCCAAAAATATAAAAAAAATTATTAAAAAATGTAAGCACAGATAAAACAAAATAAACAGTGCTTTATGGTTTTAGGTGGAATATTACATATATTAGGAGAATATTAGGAGTTAAATTCAATTATGAGAAATTGAATCTGAAAAATTGTATAGTATAGTCTTCATTTGAAAAATAATTTAGCTCAATTAATGTGTTAAAGCAGCAAACTTTATTTTCTATAATTTCCTGTTCACAAATGGTGTAAATCAGTCACAGGCCTTAAAACACATCTGAGTTAAAAATAAAATTATGTAAATTATAATATTTTATATTTATATAAAATTAGAATGAGAAATATATATATATATATATATATATATATATATATATATATATATATATATATATATATATATATATATATATATATATATATCACACAAATATACTAATCACACTAATACTCAAATAGTCAATGCATCGCATAACGGTATGATGCATGAATGTGCTTCACGCAGGTGAGCTGGCTCGACAACCACCTGTAGGACACACTCCTCCTTAATAAACAAGACATTGAGTTAAAAACTCTCATATGCTTTACATGTTTGTTTATATAACTGCTATTTTCATTTATAACACTCCATATTTGTGTCTTGTTTAAATACACTATGTACAGCAGCTACTCTAATTATTTTCTTTATTCTCTATTTTCACCTGGGGATACTCATTCTGAGGTCTTTAGAGATTATGCTGCGCCAATTATGCGGTCCAAGACCTGTGAAGAGACGATTCCAAGGTTTCCATAATCCTGGACCAGGCTGCATCCCAAGCTGATGCTGTGGTGGTCATTTAGGAATGGAGTGCATGAGACTGATTCCTGAAAGACCGCCGTGACGAATGATTAAACGTATTGATACAGTGGGCCAGCCTGACCTGCCGCTAGCGCCCGACTTACACCTGCAGCTTTTCCACGATGGACGCCCAGCTTCTCCAGCCTCCAGCGCCTAGACTGTACCCAACAGAGCCTGGTTTCTCTCAAGGTTTTTTTCCCTTCACTTTGTCAATTGGTGAAGTTTTTTTTCCCTCGCCACTGTCACCACCGGCTTGCTTGTGGACTTGTGGAGCTGCGCTTCAGTGTATTCGCTCTACAGTGTTTCAGCAGTAAAATTTAAACCACACTGAACTGAACTAAACTTCAACTCTGAAATCTGGACTTTACTAGAAAGTTAAGCTGCTTTGACCCAATCTATATTGTAAAAAGTGCTATAGAAATAATATAATTAAATTAAATAATAGATTATGGTTAAAATACATGACTCAACAAATCTTATGTACTGAATTGTCATTTTTAGTTAATTATAACTAAATTAATCTTGCAATGTGACTATTGCGGATACACGTTGCATTATCGATGCTGAAACGATATTGTGCAGCGCTAATGCATATAATATCACTTTCATCACATTCTTTTGACAGAAACAAAAATGTGAGTTCTCCAGTGTCTATTCTACATTTTGTTTATTTTGTCAGGAACGTATTTAAATGTTGTGTGGATTCTTGGGAGCATTTCTAAATTCCACAGAGTGGACGTAAACTTTAAAAAGTAAAGAGAAAATAATAATAATCTGTCATCACCTACCAACCCTCCACCTGTATCTTTATCTTTTTAAATGTAAAATATAAACTGCTAACCCTTCTGATTTTTATTTGCAGCACATATAAATTGAGAATTTGCCCATTAAGAGTAATAAAAAATGGGTCTTTTAAAAAAGACACTAACTTTTGATTGTGTGCTAGCTAAATTAATATATGTTAATAATATAATAATAAATGCTAACACAAGGGTTTGGATGAGCAGGTCTTGGTCGGTTCTCAAAGGCATGGAAAGAATGCAGAGCGAGATAGAGAAAGAGAGAGCACAGCAAACACAAGACCAATGACTCGCAGTCCAAAAGGTTTGTGGACAAATGAACAATGACACTACAGGACAGCACTGATCTGCTCTCTGTTTGAAAGAACACAGATGGCTGGATTTGACATTTTCTGAAGAAAAGAGTCATGCTAACTTGCTGCTGTGATGATTGGGTTTTTTGGTGACTACATACCCCAGCTAACATAGATACATGAACACGAACAAATGAACACACACACACACAAACACACACATGCCATATTATCTCTTGGTTATATGTGACCCTTCTGTCATACTGGTGCATTCAGAGCCAGTCAATGAACATTAATGAGCAAACTGACTGTGTGCCTGTAAACATACTTATACATTATATACAGTTGAAGTCAAAATAATTAAACGCTCCTGTGAAATTAAAAGGGCGACACAGTGGCGCAGTGGTTAGCACTGTCGCCTCACACCAAAAAGGTTGCTGGTTTGATCCCCGACTGGGTCAGTTTTTGTGAGGCATTTCTGTGAGGAGTTTGTATGTTATGCCCATGTACTTGTGGGTTTCCTCTGGGTGCTCCAGTTTGTTTCCCCAACAGTCCAAAGACATGCGCTACAGGTGAATTGGCTAGGCTAAATTGTCCAAAGTGTATGAGAGTATGTCCTGGTACTCCAGGTTGGGTGCTGAGCGTTGGGCTAATGGCCCACCTCATAAAAATTAGATGTTGGTGAAACAACAACATGGCTCGGTTAAATACCAGCTAGATATTAAGGTTAGATATAAACGGCCCTGGGAGTAAGTAAGTGAAATTATAAGTCTTTAAAAAATATATATGTAATAATTATTACTTAAATGATAAGTCGAGAGACTTTTTCAACACATTTTTAAACCTAATAATTTAACAACTAATTTCTATTAATTATTTTATTTTGTCTTTGTTTTGGTGACAGTGCATAATATTTTTCTAATTATTTGGCAATCAATAAAACTGATATAAACATGTAAAGCTTGTAGTTTGTCAGTTCCCCCTAAATGGATCAAAGGTCTTTTTCACCTCACCTCATACTTCAGTTTCTCATCAAACCTTACCCAATCAAATGCTCTCCTGTTTCTCTCTTGCTGAGTGTAGCTGTAGCTTAGCTCGCCTGCTCTGCTCTGCTTAGCTTGCCTGCTCTGCTAAGTTCGGTTTTTATTTTAAACGTAATTACTAGTCGTCATAATCACACTCCACCAATCATATTAAATACTTACTCAATAAATATTAAATACTACCAACGTGAGCTCACTGTGTTAGCATCGTAGCTAACATATTTCAACAGTCCAGCTGTAAGTATTGTTAGTCCACTTTTGAGCTCATCTTTGGCCTGTTTTCTCAGTCCTGTATAAATGTTTACAATCCCATATCAAGATTATAAAACTCTGTCGAGTTATTAGGGTTAGAAGTTATTAGGGTATTAGGGTAACTAGGCAAGTTAGGATAATACGGCAAGTCATCGGATAACAGGTTTGTTTTGTAGATAGTTTCTACAAGCGGGTTATAATACTGATCATATAAATGTTTTTAAAAAACCTTTAACTTATTTATTCCAGCCAAACTAAAAGTAAAAAGACTTCATGCAGAAAAAAAACATTATATAGAATACTGTAAAAAAAAACAATTACAGTTTTTCTAAATTATTTATCATCTGGAGAAAGTCTTATTTACTTTACTTTAATTGGAATAAAATAAAACGTACACATTTTTGGTCAAAACAGCCAATATAAGGTCAATTATATTAGCATCCTTAATAGTTTTTTTTCCAATTAGCTACAGAACAAGCCACTGTAGGCAACCTAACTTGCCTAGATAACCCAATTAAACTAGTCAGGCATTGAAATCATACTTTGAACTGAAAACTATCTTGCAAAATAGCTAACCAAATCTTTTGTGCAGTCATCACGGCAAAGACAAAAAATAAACTTTTTTTATTTTATTTAATTCACTCCATTTAACAGCACCTGGGAAATAACTGAAAAAGAATTTAAATTTAAGGGCTAAAAGTTTTGTCATGAACTATATCTAAAAAAAAAAAAAAAAATTGGGTTATAATAGTAATTACATGGGTAAGGTTAGGTTCATGGTTAGGTTTATGTAATGATGACTATGATAAATACATAGTTAGTACAGGTAAAATAGGACTGTAAAATAAATAACCACCCTTCATTTTATTAGACCCTGATCCTTTTTTTCTATATGTATTTGAGACATAATGAGCTTTCAGGCATTTCAGTGATGCTAACCTCCATTTCAAAGAGAGGCGGTCCAAGAATATCCTTCAGGGCAATGTGGTCAATGACAATTGGCATTTCAGGAGGTGCTGCAATCCCAGAATCCTCCACCTTACTGTCTGTATTCTGCTCTGAAATGTACAAACAGAAAAGTACAGGTGGGTTTTATTTGTTTAAAACTTGTGTCGATATAAAAGAGGTGGGTGACTGACATTTCACAAACTTAAAAGTAAAGTCCATTTAAGCGGAGATGCAAAAAAAAGGAAAGTGAATTACAAGAGACAAATGGCGCTATAAAATTTGATCAGGTCTGCACTTCCATTATCACGTCTATTTGAAGCTTTTCATTAAGCAAGGTGACAGACATCGAGGCCAGAGGGGGGAAAAGTGAAAAGAAAGCAAAGGCGAGAAAGAGAGCTGTCTGGAATAATGGAGAATTATAGGCTGGAGAGAAAATGCCATAGGGGTCCAGTGAAGGGGGAGAGCAGGTGCTGTCTTCATTTTGGGAGGAAACAATAAGGTATTATGGGTTTTAATATCAAACATTATAACGGAAGCAGCTTCAGGGTGAATTGACTTTACAGGGTATGTCTGAGTTTTTCTGAACGTGACTGTTGTGTATTACCCTTTGGCAAGACACACTATTATATATATATTATGTATATATGTCCACTGTTGCCCACAAATCATGTGACTAGACTGTTAAATGAAAAGGAGGAGCATCATGTTCTGCGGAACAAAGAAGGAAAGGGCATATGCCTTGCTGAAAAAAGATTTTATTGTGCATGACTGATCAGTGCACATTAATCTAGAGAGAAAAGTTTGCTTTCCAAATAATAAAAGCCATCTGCCAATCCTTCACAGACCCTGACCTGTCCTATCTGTTTGTACTTTTTGTAAGATTACAGATATATTTTTTTTTTACATCTTTTTCTTTGTTCATATAAAATGCATTTGTAGTGCACTTTTAAAATCTTTATTTTACTAAAATATTGGCTTTATTTCACTATTTTTTTTTATTAAAGTTAGATGTAACATCTCCTTTATGACAAAATTAAAGCTATAAAAATGTACAAAAATGTATATAATAAATATATTAAGTAAAAATAAAATATAAAATTAAACATTAAATAGTTTTTTAATGTTTCATGCATTACTAATAAGCACTTTCATATTTGCTATTGTTTTATCAATTATATTTAAAAATGTTAAATTAGTTTATCTACTTGGCAGAAAAAGCTTACTTATGCACTACTATTAATTTTATATTTGCAATTGTTTTATTATTATATCAAAATATTTTTTGTTAAATGGCTAACAAATTACTTGGCAGAAAAAAAATTCTAATAAGGAAACACAGAAAGAACCCAATGTTTACAATTATGATTATAGGTTACTTCCAGCTATTTTAAATTAAATTTTGTATTTCATTAAGTTGTAAAGTATGTTTTTAAAAATGGCAAAATAATGAATGAAAATACAGCCCTAATGAAAGCAATTTTACATCAGGAGCAGGCCTGACACGTTAGTCAAATGACCAACCAAATTACACCTGCTTTATTTAACCACCCTATTACTGGATGGCATTAGCAACTGAAAAACTTTAGCAAGATGGCAAATCCACAGTATATTCCACATCATAAAATGCAACAAACAAAAAATGCACCTTTAAAAAACATTTTGCTTATTTATAAGAAATGGAATGGCTACCTAACAAACAGACTGTCTAATTTCCTGTAACTGCAGAGGTCAATGTAGACCATACGATGAACCATACGAGGACTGAGCTGAACTGAAAGTACAGAGAGAGCAGAGCAAACAGCAGGAACTACATGCGACAGCTGTCATGATGTTAAGAATAAGAACAACACCTGCTAGTACAAACCAAATAAAAAATAAAAAAAAGATAAAACCTGATCAGAAAACAGAAAACAAAACCTGAGCCATGACTCATCACACAATAAATAAAACACAAATTATAATAGTATTCATTAAAACAACTTACAACAACATCTCAATAAGCACCCTTGTTCAGTGGTCAGGGCACTGATTAGGGAGTCAGCCATTTTAAGTGCTGTCTCAATTGCAGAATTCTTCCAGTGCTCTGTGCCCTGAAAAGTCCCACGATGCACCATAAAAATTATTGATACGCGCCCTTAATATAAGTTTAAAAGCATGAAATATGAATCTTTTGACCCAAAGGATCAAACGTAATGACAAACGAGAGATGTTTTCCTACAAACAGTCTGCTTTTTACTCATTTTTAACATGAACGACCACAGCTAGGAAATATCTAGCAATCATTTTACAGTTGTTTAATGGCTAAAATGATTGGTTTGAATGGTATATAAAACAATACAATTTTTTAGCCATAAGGAGTTTTTAACAACTTAGTAAAATTAATATATGAAACATATTAGTTCTGCTGTTGTTTATAAACACCAGTTTTGATGATTTACAATTTTCTCATGTCATGCTCAGTGTGTCGCAATGTGTAGTGAATCAAGTTAAAAAATGTTCTTACCAGTGCCTGAATTCATCCAATCAACCTACTGATAAACAACCTTGGGAGCTAGTGGTGCTGATTGAGACGCACACATAACTGTAGCAAAAGCTTTACGTTTTAAAACTGGATTTTGTCTTATTTTTGTGTTTTGCGGCAAGTAGTCATGTAAAAAGAGGGATAAACTACATCCAAGGTGGCTGTTTTCACTTGTATAATTGCCTTCTGCTTCATCCCAGCAGCTGATAAGTCTGTCAGGATATATTCTGTCAAAACAACCGCCTGGATGTACATTATCCCTTACTTGTCATCACGACTTACCCGTGTCAGTTGTGTCACTTGACTTCACTATTCATGAATGAGTGCATCTTAATCATAATATAGTATGTGAAAAGTAGTTCGCTATCTCCAAATTCAATATTCAAAAACAGTATGCAAGTAGTAACCGGATGACCTACTACCATTGTAAGAATTCTAAAGTGTTCATCTAATGGACTCTTTACTATCCCATGAGGACACAAGAGAGAATTTAGCTGTTAATTGAGTAGGTATTACATTTGAATTTACATTAGCATGAGTAGAAAAGTATGTTCTATATGGTATAAATATGAGTGGTATGAAATGTGTATGTGCTACATCTGCCAGACTGTCATTATCAAATGACCTATCCACAACAATTGTGTTGCTTTTCTACAATTTATAAACACATGTGGCCTCATGGGATAGTGTAGCATTCACTGGATCTCCCCTAAGGCATTGTTTACACTAATACATTTTAATTTTAAAACGCATAAGTTTTAATCCATCCACACTACGCAGGAGATTCGAGCGGTGAACACGGAGCATTTTGGGAGCGCTGAAGAGGCCGGTTTCATTTTAAAACGCTGCAGCTGTTTTACTATTTTAACAATAAACTGAAAACATGTTATAAAGAAATGTCAACTTCATTTTGAAATTAACAACTTAACACACACCAAAAATGTTGAGGCGCCGTGTAGCTACATATTTATATGACCGTCATCTTCACTGTTCGCATATTTACAACAAAACGGAGCCTATAACATTACTGCCTTTTTTTATTTTCAGTAAAAATATGAAACATACCCTCTCTTTTGCTGAATATAAGTTTTAATAATCAATAATGGCCACTATAAAAGTATAAAGTACAAAAAGTGTATACATTATAGGAAATAAAGGCAAGCAATCAGTCAAATGTGCACAATCAGTGTATGTGGTAACATAAATTAATATAATAACTTATCTTTGCGCTCAGCCAAAACACGTTACTCAAGAACAAGTAATAAATTCAAATGACCAAAGTTGGGGAATATGTCATTAGATTTAATCAACAAATGAATTAAATATCACGTTTAATAAATATAGTGAGATTAGATCCAGCGGCAGATTCTTGATGAACCGTTTGACGTGCATGGCTTTCACCTGGGGTTCTGTGCTCAAAGCACTCACTGACTGCCTGGAGCTCAGACGCACGTATATGCTGTAGTGCTTGCCAGAGTGTGGATGGTCACGTGATGTGCGCTATTGAAATGTCAGTGTGGACGTGGATAAGTTTCGTTATAAAACTAAAATGTATTAGTGTAAACAAGGTCTAAGATAGCAAGTCATCCAGGTACGTCTCGCCTATGGTTTTTCTAATACAACAAATTTGGAGATACTACTCTGCTTTAACAAAAGTATTAGTATGAAATTACGTGATTTCTGAAGCACCAACAGACTTCTGAAAACCCTAAAATCTGGATCATTGCATATCCTCCTTCTCTGATTTGTTAAGCCCCGATCACATGGCTGGTCCATTTGTTTTGAATATTTTTTGTGCTCAAGTTAAAAACAAAATGAGAAAGCAAAAGTGCATCCAATGTTTTCTTTATTTTCAATTTATATGTGCTGAATGATGTCTTTGTCTTCTTATCTAAATGACTAAAAATTTTGTTGTTTTTTATTGTTACAATAATAAAATCTGTGATCCATTTTTTTCTCTCAACACAATTTAATAATCGCAACTACCATTGTAGTCTACGTTTTTATTTAATAACTGTATATAAGCTACAATTTTGTATTATAATTTTAAACCTATTTTTTAAGCATCTTTCATGTATTTTTGGTCATGGAGACGGAGATGTTTCTGAAGCGCAAGTATTATGCACAAGGACGGTTTTCAATTTAAAACAGTGAGTTAATCGGAAAGCACTCTAGTGTAAATGTATGCAGAGTCTGAACTTCAGTTTCAGAGGAGCAGCTGCTGCAGGACGACAGGGAGGGGGGGGGTTGGGGGTTGCTTTGGCTGTCTGTTAGCACACTTTACCCTCCTCCAGCCCTCAGGGGGCCGGTGCTTAGAGAGATTGATGACCAATATGTGCTTGTGTGTGTGCTGAGACTAGTTTTTCTGACTGTACGCTTGATATTTTCTCAGCGTGGGTTACCTATGTACACATCTTGAGGAAGTGTGTACTTGAATCTGTCGTTGTAGCACAGTAGGGTAAGTATGTGTTATGAATTGTGCTGAATCAGCCGTCTGTCTGTGGCAGCAAATGCTAAAGCCTTCCTGAGCTGCTGCTGCAGTCGGGGATTGAGGAACAAGATGCATGCAGAAAAGTCAACTTCAATTCAGTGCATCCTGATAGAATGTCATACCAGTTGTATAAATATAGGTCACAGTATTATGGAGAACATTTAACCCAATATCTAAAGAAAAAATAAAAAAGAAAATAAAAAATTTAAATAAAATAAAATAATTTCAATTGATATTAAATAAAGCAATTGTTGTTATTTGATAAATTTTGTTATAATTTATGTTCATATTTGTTCGTAATTTAACTTCATATTAAAAAGTAAATTGAATTAAACAAAATTTCACACTGATAATATAATAAGCCACTGTTTTTAATTCAATGTTTGGTATCCTTATTATAATAATTACTTTTTAATTTAATTTATTTAGTTTGCTTTATAAATTTAATAGAAAAAATCCTTTTAATATTATTCATTTTAGCAAATAAAACACTTGTCATGTTATACTGTATTGGGTACGCCTTACTAGTACTTGGTTGGATTCCCTTTTTCTTTTAGAACTGCTCTAATCCTTCAAGGCATCGACTCAACAAGGTACTGGTAATATTCCTAAGATATTTTGGTCCATATTGACATGATAGCATTGAGCCTTTGCTGCAGATTTGTCGGCTGCACATCCATGATGTGAATCTCCCATTCCACCACATCCCAAAGGTGCTCTATTGGATTGAGCTCTGGTGACTGTGGAGGCCATTTAAGTACAGTTTACTTATTGTCATGTTCAAGAAACCAGTCTGAGATGGTTTATGCTTTATGACATGACGCGTTATGCTGCTGGAAGTAGCCATCAGAAAATGGGTACACTGTGGTCATCAAAGAGATGGACATGGTCAGCAACAATACAGGTAGGCTGTGGTGTTGACATGATGCTTAATTGGTACTTATGGGCTCAAAGTTTATCAAGAAAATATCCCCCACACCATTACACCACCACCAGCCTGAATAGTTGATACAAAGCAGGATGGATGCTTTCATTTAGTTGAGCCTGAGCGAATTGTAGTCTCCATGTTCTTAGCTGAGAGGTGTGGCACCAGGTGCAGCCCATCCGCCTCAAGGTTGGACGCACTGGGTGTTCAGCGATGCTCTTCTACATACCTGGGTTGTAACGAGTGGTTATTTAAGTTACTGTTGCTTTTCTATCAGTTCAAACCAGTCTGGCCATTCTCCTCTCACATCTAGGCATGTGGACCCACAGAACCGCCACTTACTAGATATTTCCTCTTTTTCAGATCATTCTCTGTAAACCCTAGAGATGGTTGTGCGTGAAATTTTCAGTAGATTGGCAGTTTTTGAAACACTCAGACCAGCCCATCTGGCACCTACAACCATGCCATGTTTAAAGTCACTTAAATCACCTTTCCTCCCCATTTTGATGCTTGGTTTTAACAGCCGCAGATCATCTTGACCATGTCTACATGCCTAAATGCATTGAGTTGCTGCCATGTAATTGGCTAATTAGAAATTTGCAGGTGTATCTAATAAAGTGGCCAGCGAGTGTAAATATATTTTTATTTACCTCAATATTAAATTATCTAATAAAACATTTTATATTAATAGGAACTTGAAATCACTGTATTTTTTTTACATGTTATATATTTATTATATGACAATAGTTACATTTATAACATTATTTTATTATACAGAATATTTTCCATTGTTAATTTAAAAAAACTGTCTTTAAGTTGTGTATTTAATAGTACACTGAACAAAATTATATTTTCTTTTATAAAATCAAACATTTTTGAAGATGAAAAATACAATTTCATTTGACTTAATATTAATTTCAATTCCAAATGTATATATTTTTTATTAAATAAAAACAATTTATAGGTAAAAAATATTTTCATTTAACTTAATATTTATTTCAATATACTAACAGATTTTTCCTATTCTGAAAACAAAATACTTCATAAAGTATTATTCTTTTAAAATGCAGTGACAGTATTTTCATCCAATGAGATCTTGCCATCAGGATACTACATAAATAAGAAAACCCAGCGTGTAAGTTATCTTTGCTCAAAGACTACTAGCAATAATCCTGGAGCAGAGCTGGAGTAAATCTAGCAGTAAATAACATGACATGAAAACAGTCTTACCAGCATGCTGCTCAGTGGGCGCCTCTGATCTAGAGACCTTCTGACCTTCAGCAACCTTCACAGCCACAGCTCGACAGACAGCCCCGATCTTCCTCTCCAGAGAGCGAACGCCAGCCTCCCGTGTGTACCTGCAAACACACGCAAGAAAGTTCTTACAACATCAGTATCTTATAAATTCTGCTCAGGACGAGAAATAGCTTCCTGTGATAAAAAAAAACTATAAAACCTGGAAGGCTGATGTGACCATTTTTAATTTCATAAGCTTGCTTTTACAGCATAGAGGATGTAAATTAATTTAAATATAATCTTATTAATAGACTTAGGCTTTCATTTAGCTGTTCAAGTATTAAACAAGATGAAAGGCTGTTTAAATTAATCATTGTCAGAAACATCAGGAGCACTAAAAATACATTTCTATATTTTAAACACATGCAATAGATAAACAATTGAGTTTAATGCAGTGCTTCTTGTCCGTTTTGAGACCCACTTTATATCGTATATCAATCAGGTAGAGAAAATCATTGATTTTTAAAGAAACTAGAACTTAAACTTAAATGCCGGAAGCACTTGAGCTGGCTGACTGAAAATGAAAAGCCCCTGTGCATCAACCCTATTCTGCCTCGAAAATCTGGAAGTGGTTTGTTCAGGGCAGTAAAGTGTGACAAAAAAAAAGTTTGAGCAATGAAAACATTTAGAACAGCAGCACATGTGTGATCCAGTTTTGCCAAAAAGATTTACTTCAAATTCTTTCATTCAAACTTACTTCATAAAATCAATCAAGTCTTAAAAATGTATCTTTTTGTGAGCAGATGAGGTTTCACATCACAGAAGGAGTAAGAAATAATTTTATAGTGTTCTACAGTGAGAGAGGCAATGTTGATTAGCATTATAAATATATAGTTGATAAGTACCGCATTATAAATATATTTCATTCTGCTAAAAAAATATCCAGGACAGCTCGAAAAACACATATAAAACAAATCTTTTCACATCTGTTGTGTGTTTATTGTCATTTGGTTAGCAAGATTTATTTTATCTTATAGCTATAGAATAGTACAGGAAACCAGAAGTTTACATACACTAAAAAAGGATCATAACCATTTTTTTTAAATGTCTGATGGTAAATCATACTAAACGTTTACTATATTAGGTCCGTTAGGATTGCCTAAATGACTTTTTTATTAATTTCTAGACAGTCAAGTTAAAACATTTCCTTGTTTTTGTAGCTTTGCTTTTAGACTGTATAACTTTGGTCAAATGTTTTGGGTATCCTTCCACAAGCTTCTCACAATAGTTTCAAGGAATTTTGGCCCATTCCTCCAGACAGAACTGGTGTAACTGAGTCAGATTTGTAGGCTGTCTTGCTCGCACAAGCTTTTTCAACTCTGTCCACAAATGTTCTATAGGATTGAGAGCAGGGCTTTGTGATGGCCACTCCAAAACATTCACTCTGTTGTCCTTAAAGCACATTTTAACTAATTTGGCAGTATGCTTAGGGCAGGGGTGTCCAAACTCAGTCCTGGAGGGCCAGTTTGTTTTCAGTTTATCTAGTAAGAGCTTGATTAGCCGGTTCAGGTGTGTTTGATTAGGGTTAGAGCTAAACTCTCTAGGACGCTGGTCCTCAAGGACAGAGTTAGGACACGACTTGCAAATTGTAATCTGGCTTTTTTGTTTATTCTTGCTTCCCATGTTGTCACACAAGGAAGCAGTGTGTTTGAGGTTTTCCTTAAATACTATTCTACAGTTGTGCCTCCAATTAACTCAAATGTTGTCAATTAGCCAATCAGAAACTTTCAAAACCATGACACCATCATCTGAGCTTTTTTTCAGAGGCATAATAATTTTATTGTATGTAAACTTGACTTTCAAGCAAAGTTATAATAATTTCTCAAAAAAATCTCTCTCATTATTCTGCTATTAAGCATAACAGAAACAAATGTGATAATCCTAACTTACCTAAAAGAGAAAAAGTTTAATTCCATTAACATCTGACTTTTTTTAAATGGTTATGTGCCTTTTTATACAGTGTATTTAAACTTCTGGTTTCAACTGTATCTGTTCTTGTTCAGTTTTTGTATATTTACAAGAAAAAGACACAGCTTTTGCATTATAACAACAGAAAGAGAGTATTTAGGTAACTAAAATGTCTATTCTACTCTTCTCCCTATTAAATAGCCACTTGCTTTTATATATTTTTGAGATGTTGATGAACTGATGTGTCGTAAATCTTGCAGCTCTAATCTTTCCCTTGCAGTGTAAGAGGCTGCGAAGTGTCATGTCATAAACCAGACACTTCACCATTAAAAGTGATCCGTTCTAAATAGCAGTCACATTGAAAAACTCAAGTTGGGAGGTTCAGATGAAATATTTAAAACTTACGTGTGAAAGAATTGAATTGACTATGGATTAACATGGTCAGCTTCCCGCTACAAAAAAAAAAACTTTATTGTGTGCACATGTGCTTTGAGAAGTGGCCATATTAGGAGTTGCACCCTTAATGATGTCAGCAGAAACCATGTTTGAAAATAAAACCAAAACTAAAAATGTTTGACCAAGAAACTCTCTTTTATATATGCAAATTGTTTTTAGCACTTGGTTTATGATTTAAGGGAGAATCTAACACTTTAACACTGTAAATAAGTCTGAATCTGAAGGTTTCTATCTTCTTTTTACACCTTCTAGCTTCCAGTATGAATAAAAAAGATATTAGGTTACATGTGTGCTCATAACACCCTATTTTGGGTGGAAAGCTAATGATTAAAAAAAAATGGAAAGCTAATAGCTTTATTTGTGTATCAGTATATACATATGAAATATAGTCACTGATAATACTATTGCAACAAATAACAGAAAAAGTGGTATAATTTAAGTGTAAATCCCCCATCCATGCACACTACTCACTCTACCATCAATGCTGCTGCTGGGAACAGGCCATGTATTGATTGCTTTTTAGCGGATAATCATCCCAAAATTAGGAACCTCTAAGGTAATTAATTAGCTTGCTTTGCAAATGTTTCTAATTGAGGATCCCTGGTGGACTACAGACAATTAGAAGAGGAGTTTGGCAGCCTGTCATGAGATGTGGTTTTGAAGGATCGAGTGAAACAGCAGTGGATGTAGTTTACAGACTCGCCTGGGCCGTCCCATCTGTGACCCAAACTGCCCCTCTGTTCCTGCTCATAATCTCTCTCAGCAGAGTAAGACGCTGCACTCTCACAAATTATTCTCCTTTTTTGCCTGAAAACTATTTTCAAATATTGTGAACATGCAGGTTTTTTTTTAGCATTGTCAATGAAATCACGTTTGCTAACTGTTTTATAAACGTTTTAGGTTGGCAAGTCTTTAAAGATGAAAGAAGTCAGTAACACTTTATAATAACTACACACTATAAGCATTAACTCTACATTTATAGATGTTAGTTAGCAGTTTACAACTGAAGCTACAATTGCTGTATTATTGACTTATAAGCACACGAATAATGTGCTTAATGATTGTTTTCACACCTCATTAATTATTATTTTTCATTACTAAATTAAACATTGCATCATTTACAACCAGTTATTTGAGAGAAGTTGCTGGTTTTTAAGATCATTCAGAAAGCATAAGTAAATGATTTATAAACTAATTAAATTAACTTTTGAATATCTTATTATTCAGGCATACAGCAATAGTTAATTTGTATGGTAATAAATGCTTAATTAACTCAACTTCATCCAGTTTTGTGACCTAATCTAAAGTGAGGACTATTTATGCTTAATAAATCCCACTCAAACTCCCAAAGAAAATAAATGACTTTATTCATTTCTGTTCATTTAAAGATACACAAATGAAACTGTATCAAATGAAAAATAAATCTTTGCAATCTTATCTAAAATAAAATTACTGTACAGTTTAAACATTGCTAACTAACATTGAAATGTATCATAATGAATTGTTAAATTATTATATTGTTGTTTTATCTAATGTTCTTATATTTTAAAACTTCTGTTATTCTGCAATGTTTAAACTTCACAGCTTTTACTTTTTAGATAGGATTGTAAAGATGTATTGTTCATTTGATACTGAAGCTTTAATTGTCATTAATGTGTATTTGGTGACAAAACTGGATAAAGGTTAGTTAAAGAACCATCTATAAATATAAAAATTACATATATGCCTGAATAATAATATATAAATGTTGATTTGAATAGTTTATTAATCAATTACTAACTTATTACTAACTTAATAATGTGCATTTGTAGCTCCAGTTATAAAATGCTTATTAATGTCTATTAATGTAGAGTTAATGCTTAAAAGATAATTAATTAACTATTTGCTAATGCTTAATATATGATTCATATTTTGTAGTTATTATAGTGTTACCACAATTTTCACTGATATTTAAAATATAACTTTTTTTTTCCAAAATTAGAATTGTACATGTATGTACACTTTGAGACTTTCACCAAATGAAAACTCTGAGCTTCTCTGCTGGATTTACTTCATTTCTAAATTTTGTAAAATACAAATTGCATAGTATTCAAAATGTAAAATAAAAAAATTAAAAAAATCAAACTATGTACCTACCTACCTATAACCAAACTGCTCATATATTAGTGGTAGGCCGTTATCGGCGTTAACATGCTGTGTTACCACAAGACTCTTATCGTGCTAGAAAAAAAAACAATCTATTAATTTATCTATTAATCTATTCTCAAAGTTGGGTTGGGAGCTGGGTCTATTGTACGCAAGCTATGATGACTTTTACCTTAATATTTTAGCGAGGATGTATACCTGACCGGAGCCTTCTGACAAGAAAGTGCCCTTCTGAATCAAATCAGCAGGATGCCCTTCTGGATCTTTCACTTACTTCAAAGACACTACTGACTACGTTTACATTGACATCTGTAATCTAGGTATTTGCCTTAATAGACAATAATATAAATAAGGTGTTTAGGTGAAGTGCTTTCATGTAAAAGTTTCCTGTAATTTTGGGTGACTTTAACTGCAGTTCGGCAGTTTTACATTCACTCATGAACATTTCATTCATGTGTCAAATTGGGGCATTACATGCAAATAAGGAGTAAGGACTGGTGAGAGTGTTATGGAATTTAATAACGCATGCCAAACGAAAAGAAAAAAACTTCCGCATTTCTCAATGTGTATTTGTGTGCAGTCCTTTACTGACAGCCGTGTGTGTGTGAATCTTGTTGGAAAATATGGCGAAAAGTCCTATATGACGGTAAAAGTTTGCTTACGGTGTTTACTTAAATATCACCACTAATATTTGCATACTCCACATCTTAGTTTGATTTCTGTTTAGTTCAGTTATGACTTTAGTTGGATTAAGGTAATTTAAAATTCATGTTTAACTGAATAAACAGTTAGTAAACACAAGTTAATCTTATTTAAAATAATTTATTTTCATCACCAATTATCACAACAGAACATGTCTCAAGCAGTTTGTGATGCATGTTTAAAACAGGAAATGAGCCCCTGGTCTAATGCGACACCTGGCTTGAGAAATGCGTTCAAAGACATTTAGTCATTATTTTGGTAGCACACATATTCTAAATGCTTTTGGCAGAATTCGAATGAGCCATTTTAATCTAAATTAATTCCAAGATTAAAGTCAGATTAATCTCTAGATTAAAAAATGTATCTATGCCCACCTATATATATATAACACGGTCAACCATACAAGGCCCCAATGCATTAGCACCTGGATGGAAAGCTGGGTTCATTTGTTAGTTGTGTGATTGCTTCTTAATTAAAAAAGACTGCTCCTGTCTGAATATTTCATCTTGTCCTTCTGCAGGATAAAAGTGTCATTCACAGACTAAACCTAGAATATAAAACACTGTGTGTGTGTCTTTCTCTCTCTCTGTGTGTGTGTGTGTGTGTGTGTGTGTGTGTGTGTGTGTGTGTGTGTGTGTGTGTGTGTGTTTGTGTGTGTGTGTGTGTGTGTGTGTGTGTGTGTGTGTGTGTGTGTGTGTGTGTGTGTGTGTGTGTGTGTGTGTGTGTGTGTGTGTGTGTGTGTGTGTGTGTATGTGTGTGTGTGTGTGTTTACATGTTGTTGTGACATATCAATACACAAATCTGTATAATGACATAGCTATGACACAGGTATTACAAGAAGGTGGTGAAATATGAAGACATTGCTGATGTCCTGATGAACGCTTATAAATCACACAGAATGAGTTTTTTATTCAGAAAATAAAACACAGTTTCCTGTGATGGTTGGATTTAAGGAAATATAAAATACAGTTTATCCAGTATAAAAACAATGGAAGCCTATGTAATGTCCCCAAACAAACATCTGTGTGTGTGTGTGTGTGTGTGTGCATACTTGCTGATGATCTGCAGTGTGGTGTCCTGTGGGATCTGCAGCTGCTGCGGGGTCAGTCCGTGCTGCTCCAGCTGATGAGGGATCAGGTGCCGATGGGCGATTTCCACCTTCTCCTCCTGAGTGTACCCTAATGAGACACACACACGTCGATATTCACAACCCAAATTACAAGGAACTAATCAAGTATTCAACCGCAGAACCATCTGCTCAGCTGCAGGACAGAGTTAATTATGTTCAAGTTAAAATAGCAGGGAATTAATCACTAAAATGTCACACTGTCAATTGTGTCCTGCTGCCTTTTTTTGTGTGTGATGCTGAACTCTGACCTGGCACCTGGAGGACCTCCATTCTGTCCAGCAGGGCGGGGGGGATGGTGGCCGTGGTGTTCGCGGTGGCAATGAATAGCACTTGTGAGAGGTCAAATGGCACGTTGAGGTAATGGTCAGTAAAGCTGTGGTTCTGCTCTGGGTCCAGAACCTGATAACAAGCACAGTTCATTTGCAGTTGACATTAAAATTATTAGCCCCACTGTGAATTTTCTTTTGTTAAATATTTCCCAAGTGATGTTTAATAGAGCAAGGAAATTTTCACAGTATTTCCTATAATTTTTTTTCTTCTGGAGAAAGTCTTGATTTTTATTTTAATTTTATTTTTTCGGCTAGAATTTTACATTTATTTTTTAATTTTAAGGTCAATACTATTACCTTACCTTACATAAGCAATTTTTTTCAATTGTCTACAGAACAAACCATCGTTATACAGTGCTTTTTCTAATTACCCTAACTTGCGTAATTAACTTAGTCAAGCCTTTAAACGGCACCTATGATGAAAATCATCTTTTGTGAGAAGTTTGAGAACTGTGGTATAGTGTGTCCATAGTCATATTGGATTGATAGAAACACAACAAGTCTCTTTTTTTAAATTTCCTAACGTTAAAAAAGGATCCAAATCCCTCCCATTTTCAGGTGCATCGCAACGTGATGTAGGAGTGCAATTTCTCCGGCCACCAAATTGACTGACAGACACGTAATAACATTTCTCTGTAGTAACACGCATAATCATATTAACAACAGGACGCGCGCAAAGTAACTAGGATCTCAGCTCTCAGTGATCATCAATCATCATCTAATGTGATCAAGGAGTTTTGCAAATTTAAAACATTTTTCAAACAGTGCATGTTTGTAATGAATTACAATTTGAATTACAATTTCACCGTCTTTACTTCATCACCAAAGCCGCATGTCAGTACAATTATAAAAGAATAAAAGAAGGCTTGTCAATACTGTTTATTTTGTACATTAACATAACGGATATTCATACAGCAGTGGATATTAACGGATATCCTGCCACATTTGCAATGCAAAAACTGTGCAAAGTTAAACGAGTGAGCTGTGTGTTTGTATCCACTGTGTGTGTCTGTGTATATGTGTGAACTTTGTAACAACATTGTGTGTGACTTATTGCAGAAAGGCTTGAATTAACTCCACAACAAATACATCAAATAATCATTGGGAAAGTTCTCACAAATGTTATGTGAGATCTGCTTCCTTCATGTCTGTCACTGTACTGTTTATCTGACACAGCAGGAGACGAAGACACACTCTGACAGGCACGTCTGTTATTAAAGGCACAGGTAACAAAAACAGTTACATTGTGTGCACAAAAGTCTAATATTCTGAAAGGTATAATAAATAATCTGATGGGATTTTTTTTTAGCTGAAACTTTACAGACACATTCTGGAGACACAAAAGACTCATCTTAAATCTCGAAAAAGAGGTAAAATAGGTGCCCTTTAAATCAGTGGTCCCCAAACCCAGTAGTGGTCCATGGATCAGTTGGTACCGGGCCACACAAGAAATTATTCATTATTTCATTTGTATTTATTATCTGAGTCTGAACAATCTTTTATTTTGTAAAATCATTTATTTTAAAAAAATTACTGTATTTTCACAGTTATATAGACTATAGAATACATATAAAAAGTTTCTTTGTGAAGGGGAAAAGGCCCAGTGAAGGAACAATAAACTGCCAAAGAATGGATCTGCAACACATTTGTCAACAAACCAGGTGAATCCAGCATGTCTGTGCAAGGCCGTTCACATATAGCTTCTTTTCCATTCGCAATGTTGGTTAATTCCAATGGAGGTGCGTGGCTTGCACCGAGGTGAAATAAATAAAATAAAATAAAATAAAATAAAATAAATAAATAAATAATGTTTCAAGAATTTCACGAGCCATGTGACAAGAACTGACCGATCAGCTTCATCGGTCACCTAGCAATCCCCTAGTCACCTTGTAGATGTGCAGGGTGCGGTTTAAGTAGGCGTGTCTTAGGCATACACAAACAATTCAAATTTGAGCATGTTACATAAGGTACAGTTCAAGTGTGTGTCTGCACCTTGTCAAATGAATCTCAAAACATGAAATGATCTCGTTGTTGCCTGAGGAGGTTACCATAGCAACAGCAGGCTGCTCAAGCTCCTTCTGTTAGACTCATCGACAGAACAAACACTGGCGTCATTTTTGTTTATTTTTATTTGTAGATTCACATATTATGCATTTATGATAAATGCATGATAAGATAAACTAGCAGAGAGTGCAGGGGCCACCAGGGGGCTGCAAGGAAGTGCAAGGGGGTCCATGAAAATAAAAGTGCATAAAAAAGGAATACATAAATGAATGAACAATAAAAATGTTAAATAAAGAAAAAATAAACAAAGAAATAATCAGATAAAGATTAAATTGATTACAAATATAGATACAAAAACAAATATAACAATAAATAAATAAATTAATTTTTTAAATAGATGAAAACAATAAATATCCTCCTAAGACCCAAACATTTTTTTTCTTTTTCTTTTTTCTGTGATTTCCTACATCATGTGGAATAAAAAAAATCTACAATTTAGAGATTTTACATTTTTTTTTATTTTTAATTTTACAGCATGTCCACTGTAGTGGACCACAGGACCATTCCAGTTCGAAAAAAAAAAGGATGATATTTTGAAACACAAACAAGTTAACAACTTTGAAAGCTAAATATATTGTTCCTGACACTTTAATAAACAAATATATATGTAATAATAATAGCAAATGTTTTTTGCTAAAAACACTCCTAGCTCAATAAATGACTAATTAGTTTTTTTAATAGTAAGTAAGGTAGAAATTGAGTTTAAGTTTTGGGTAGGATTAGAGATGCAGAATAAGATCATACTTTAAAACTTATAATAAACAGTTAATATTTTAATAATGGGCAGGTAATAAGCCATTAGTTAACAGCATGTTACCAATGAGACTAACTGTTTACTCAAGAAAGAACACAGTTCTCAAAAACACACTATTTAGTATCTCATTCATGTAGCACACTCTCAGAAAAAAAGGTACACAATGATACAAAAAATGCTCCTTAATGTTGTAATGTTGTAAAAGTTGTACCTCATATGGTACAGAAAAGACCTCTTATGATGCTCTTCTGTACCCTTTATGGTACAATTGAAATGAAGGTACATCTGTGTATGTAAATCTATGAAAATAAATTTTACTGGATAGGCAAAGTGATTTATGAATAATTTCCATATTAAAACATGAATCATCATTACTTATTAAATTCTATAAAAACAAAAAAGCTGGTAAAACAAAACTGTATAGTAAACTAAACATTTAAAGCATTTTTAAGAAACATTTGGTAAGGATCTTCTGATAAATACATTTTCATTATTGATATCCGCACCTTTCTGTGTTTGCTTTCCACTACATGTGTGAGCTGGCAAAAGTCCTGCATATGTAGTGTTCAAGCAGACATTTTAGTATTTTAAAGATAATCAAACATTGTGCATATCCTGTTATAATTCTTGTATTGTACTGTATAATTCTATTTCTTATTTGAAATTACATAAGTGAAATTAACTTTTAAGTGACTACAAAGGTATTGTGTGAAAACTGGAGGAAAAAATGTTTTATATTGTACAATGGAGAATGTGTTTCAGTAACATTTTTGTGAAAAGCAAAGTGTTCAGCAAGAAAAAAAAAGATGTTTTGACTTCTGTTAAAGTATTTTTATTCTGTATTGTAAAGGGTGCATTTACACAAAAAGAAAGTAAAAAAAAACATTGTTAAAAAGTGTATTTGATGTTTTATATTTACTGAAAACAAATTGACACATTTTGGATGAAGTAAAACCCCTTTAATTAGTTCTTAAAGGAACACATTTGACATTGTTAAGGTACAAAGTGTCTTGTCATAGTGGTACCTTCATGGATCAAAATTCTACCTTTGAGCAAGTTACAATACTGTATCTGCAGCTTTTAAAAACCAAAAGTACATTTTGGTTTCCCATGGTAAAAATCAAGTCCCTAAACTGCAACGGTACAAATTTGTTTCTTTGTCTTAAGGTACAATTCTGTTTCATTAAAAGTTACTGCCCCAATGATAAGGGTGTGTCCCTTCTTTGGTTCAACATTGTACCATTTTGTCTGAGAGTGTAGGATTAGAGATGCAGAAAAAGATAATTGCTAATAAACAGTTAATAGCTTAGTAATGGGCAGGAAATAAGCCAGAAGTTAATAACATGATCCCTATATCTATAAACAACCACCCGAAAACAATTTATTCCTAAAAGTTTTCCTTAATAAACTGCACTGACAAACTAAATCACAAGCAGAAATCACGTTCTGCTGTGCTTCCCAGGTCACGTCCGCCCTGTGCTACGCCTCCACTTATCTCCCACTCTATCTGAAGCCCAGTGCAAGGGCTCACACGCATTACAGTATGGGATGAACGTCACTCATGGGATAATTTTTGAGTGGCGATCTACTGATTACAGGATGCAGACTGCTAATCTCTGGTATAATTGTAAGATGCATTTCTCCCTGTGTTGGATTATTGTAAAAGCTGGTCGTGCCAAAAGATAAGAGGATTACAATCACAGCTATACAGATGTTCAGAGCTCCATGAGCAGCTGCGTCAGAGTGTGTGCACGAGGAGATTTCTGGATGTTTATCTCACTGAAAACAAACGGGCTCACATGTAATCAAGTGTAAATGGTGGTGTGTGTGTGTGTGTGTGTGTGTGTGTGTGTGTGTGTGTGTGTGTGTGTGTGTGTGTGTGTGTGTGTGTGTGTGTGTGTGTGTGTGTGTGTGTGATACTTTGGATGGAAGAAAAAAAAGCATCCTTCTACCACACAAGAAAACGCTGCGAAATGCATTTTCTTTCAGTATGTTGGAATATTAGGTCATGCAGTGAATGTGTGTGTAGCATTCTGGAACAGAGTAACCTGACCTGACAGAAATATCTGTCGGCTTTGTCCAAATCCATTTACACATTTTTGAAAGCATCTTACATTCCATCTCTTTTCCATTATTTTTTAGGGCCTGTTTTACCTTTAAACTTGCGCATCTTAAAAGGTTTTTAAGCTTAAACATCTATCAATATATCCATTCATACTTTCCTCCATCTATCATCATCCATCCTTTCTTCCATTTATCCATAATCCATTTTTAGATCCATCTATTCAGCTATAATCTATTCTTACATTGATGCCCCCCTTTCATCTCTGCGTACATCATTTCATCCAACCAACCAACCATCTACCTCTCCATTTATTCATTCATCCTTCCACCAACGCATCTTTCTATTAATGCAACCATTTATTCCATCAATCCATTCATGCTTCCACAAACCCATCCACCTTTCTTATCATGCAACCTTCTACCCATCCATTCACTCATCTGTTCTTCCATCATCTATTCATCCATTCATCATCAATTTTTAGAATCCTCCTTTCATCCATAATCCTTTCTTAAATTCTTCCCTCCATCTTCTATCTATTATTCTTTTCATCTTTTATCCATTTATCATCCATCAACTGCCCATTCATCTTTTCTGCTTTCTTCCATCGATCACTCCATCTTTTAACTATCCTTACATTCATCCATCTATTATTCATCCATTTATCCTTCCACACATCAATCCATCCTTCCAGTCCTCCATCTTTTATTCATACTTCACTCTTTTCAGCTTTACATGCATGATTCATTTCATCCATCCACCTCTCCATTTATTCATCATTCCTCCCACCAATGCATATTTTTAATTATGCAATCTTTCTTCAGTCCATCCATCCACCCATCTGTTCTTCCATAATCCACCCATCCTTCCATTCATCCACTCATCTGTTCTTTTCTATTATCCACACATCTATTCATTCATCTGTTCTTCCATCATCCATCCATCCTTCCATCATCAATTCTTAGATCCATCCCTCATTTCATCCAGAATCTTTTCTTGAATTCATTCCTCCATCTTCTATCCATCCTTCCTTCTATTTATCTTTTATCCACTTATCAATCAACTACCCATTCACCTTACCTACTTTCTTCCATCAATCTCTCCATCTTTTAACTATCCTTACATCTATAAATCCTATTCTCAATCATCCATCTTTTATCCATCCATTAATTTTTCCACCAATCTACACATCCTTTCTTCCTTTCACCCATCCATCTTTTATTCATCCTTTATTCTTTTAACCTATGCATGCGTCCTTTCATCCATCCAACCATCCACATCTCCATTTACTCATCCTTTCACCCATACATCAATCTTTTCATTTCTCCAATCTTTCTTCCATCCATCCATCCATCCATCCATCCACTCACTCATCTGTTCTTTTCAGTTGAAAATTCTAGTGCTCTTCGACAAACACACGGCTGTGAAGATAAAATATCTGAAGTAATGTTAACCAAGTTTATTATAGTTACGCATTCTTAATTCAGTCTTTATTTCAATACTACTTTGACATTTGCTCTAAATTTCAGTTGATTTAGTTCTTTTCATTATTGCTCTTGTTATTTTAGGTTTCACTTTTATTTTGTAAACACACTGCTATTTAGTTTTAATATTTTTTTATTTGAGTTTCAGTAGTTTAACCAAAATTGAATCCAAAACCATACAAAAACAACTTAAAAGAAAAGGTATAAATTAAGAAGGATTAAGAATAATTTTTTTCATTCATAAAAAAAATCATGTATGTAGTTAAACATGTCTAGTTCACATTTTTTGGCTGTAAAAGTGGCATAATGAAAAAACCTTGCTGTCTGAAAATGTTGGCTTAATGGGCAGCAATTTTCAAGATTTTTCCCTTTACTGTGCTTGATGTAAAAAAAGTTGGTCGGTATGGTAGTTATGGTACTTGGCTAGTTCGAAAGTGACATTGATTAGTGCAGCATTTTACTAAAAGCTGAACATTCTTCAATTCATGGTGCCTGAAACAGATGTGCCATTAAGAAAAATGGCGCTCCCAATGAAAACAACTGTAAAAATATGCTAATATCTGGCAAAAAACACGAGGATACTTGCAATGTAGTTTCTTTTACCTCCAGCAGGGCGGCAGCAGGATCTCCCTGTAGACTCTTCCCCAGTTTGTCCACCTCATCCAATAAAAACACAGGATTGTTTACCCCGACAGTCTTTAGCCCATTTATAATGCGACCAGGCATGCTACCCACGTACGTGCGCCTGAGGACGGAGACATAGAGAAAGATAAAGAGGGAGCATGGAAAAAAAGTAGCAAGAAGAAGAGATTCGAGATGGAGTGGAACGTGATGAGAGAAGTAAATAGATTTGTATCAGTGCTCAGGTGGGCAAACAACAAAAAAAGAGATCACAATCATCCTATAAAGAGACCTGAAGTGCATCTGTTTTGACGCAGTCCCATTCAAACTGCTGTATGTTGTCAGTAGGTGTTCCTCCTCCTGGAACATACTTTGATAGGCTGCATGACACTTTACAACATTTAATCTCATTGCAATTACAATCTGAAGCTGCAAAAACACAACTAACTTCTTCAAGTTGTTTCTAGATTGGGTTTGTATGTGTTGGATAAAGTACACTAAAACTAGCATTTCGTCCTACGGAATTGACAAAAAGGCAGACAGGATGTAGTTGTGCCTTAATTACAGTGATTATGGGCAGTAAGCCTGTCATTAAACTTGAAACACTCTAATATAGTAAACTAATGCAGACCTTATAGATAATGCGATGATGAGACACATGCTGAAAGTGTGTGATAAGTTTTTTAAGAGCCGTTTGTCCTAAGGACACATTTTCCATGGGTGAGTGTGAAGTCTCACATCAACCAATCAGAAAACAAGTAAACCTCACTCTGGCCTGCAGGGTGAGGTGATGTTATCACCTTCTAGTCTCTATGGCGACAAGAGATCAGAGGGAACATCAAAGGAAATGATCGCAGGTCAAGGTTTAAAGTTTCTCTTATTATTGAAGGGACACTACATCATGTCTCTTTGTTGAGTTTATCATAGTCTGACAACCTAATCTTGACACATCTGCCCACGTTTGCATAGCCACATGCATCACATGTTGGTTATGACTCATCATTTGATGGCAAAACAACACTAAATGGATATATTGAGTTTCGGCATCTGAAGGATCTTGGATTAGTAATGTAACACCAAGGTTAATCACAGTAACAGCAGGATTGGATCAAAAGGTTTAGAAATTCTGTGGAGAAAGTACATTTTCTTTCAGTAATCATAAAAATGACTAATGTTTATGCTGTTAACACCATTTAAGAAATGGGATAGTTTTTTAAGTATAAATAATACTTTTCTTCATGTATTAAATTGATCAAGAGACTTTTAGATGAGCACTTTTTAAAATGTATTTTTGTACTAAAGAATCTTGATAGAACTGAAAAAGAGAAAAAAACACTGTGTCTATGACAAAAACACCTTTGCAATCATGCTTATGTTTTGAAAAATCTTACTTGCTTAGTAAAATTACTTATTTATATTTTACAAAAATGTAAATCAAGCGACTTTTTTTGCTTTCATAATTTTAATTATAGAGACATTATCTAACTGTATTCTAAAAGTTTTATCAAGGCTGTTTTATTTTATTTTTATTCATCAAAGTGTATTGGAAAAATAACTGCTACACAACTGCTACAAAAACATTAAGCAACACAACTTTTTTGGATTGTAAGATATGCTTCTTTAGCACAAAATTAGCAATTAAGGATTATTTCTGAAGGACTGTATGAAACTGAAGACTGCAGTAATGGATTTTAAAAATGTAGCTTTGCCATCACATGAATTAATTATGCTTTAAAGGGGAACTATCATGTAAATATCACATTTTTAATAGGATTTAAAGACATTTGTGTGGCAACATTTTGTGAAAATAACCAGCTTGCCTTGTATTGGTAAACATTTTTTTTTTTTCATTTTTAATTTTCACACTTTATAAAAACAGAAATGTCCAAAACTGCATACTTCCATACTATACAGTACGCTTAAATCAGTATGATGCCCCGTGAAAGAATTCATGAATAGGAGTGAAGTGACGCAACTGACGCAGGGAATGACAGAATGACAGAATGGTGGATGTAGTACATCCGAATTCCATTCATACTTCTTGCAGTCATACTGTATGGATTGTACTTTTCTAACAGCTGAGTAGTACGTTTAAATTCAAATGCACTACCTACTGAGTAGTAGGCTATTCGGAAGCAGACACAGTCTGCAGCAACGCTTTGATAGACATTCTCTCTTTGTATATGTCATCAGGTCACACCCTTTTTTTGACAATCACTCCCTCATTAGCATAGGAAGTTGTTTTTGAATTTGCCACTATGACACATAGGCATTTTAGCCCAGCCCCCTATTTTGAAAAGACAACAGAGAGCACAATCTCATTTGAATTTAAAGAAACAGTCAGAAAAATGATAGTCAGGATCAAAGCCTAAAAGGGGCAGTTTCAAAGAGTTGTAAAACATTTGTGGGATATTTTGACGTGAAAATTCACATACACACTCTAGGGACATCTGAGACTTATTTTACATCTTGCAAAAATAGGCATAACAGATCCCCTTTAAAATAAACTAAAACAAACAGAATGCCTTTATTGGAAATGGTAATAATATTTCAAAATATTACAGTTTTTATTGTATGTCTGATTAAAAAATATTTTAAAGTAAACATGTCAGGCTAGATAATTCAAATGAATTATTCACTTCTGCTGCTTTTATTAGTTTATAAAACACTAATTTCTTTACAATTAAAAATTGCATTTTGGATATCTTTTCTGCTGGAGACACTGAGGTCCTAAAAAACAGCAAACAAAAAAAACATTTTTAAAAATCTTACACATACTTTGGGAATGGTATAACAGAAAAAATTTGGGCTGTTTTAAAACCTTGACTTTTCTAAACTGCGGTAAACCTTGAAAACGGCCTAATTTCAGATCATATATGAAGTCATGGTGACTCCTTTTTAAAAACATTTAAAAGTGCTGATCAACTTTAAATGAAGTCTGGACTTGATGACTTATTATGGCCCACAAAAATGGCCCACTTAATCAAGAAGAGTCTATCTAAACAGCTTGTAAATTGACCAAGCTCAGATTCTCTTTCAAAGTAGTCTGACATTGAGACTGCATGTATCCTATCTCATGCCCGTTTGAAGATCAGACTTTGCGTCTGCTTTCTGTATGATGACCTCTCACCTGTGTCCACGGATGTCAGACTGATCACAGACTCCCCCCAGGGCTATGCGGTGAAACTCTCGGCCAAGTGTGCGAGCGATGGACCGGCCAACACTGGTTTTTCCCACACCGGGGGGGCCCACGAAACACAGTATGGGTCCTTTAAGGGTGCTTTTGAGCTGACGCACAGCCAGATACTCCAGTACTCTCTTCTTCAGCTTTTCCATGGCATAGTGATCATTATCTAAGAGCACACGTGCCGCACGGATGTCCAGGCAATCTGAAAAAAAAAAACATAATGAAAGATGCTATGAGTTCAATGTAATGTAGATATTAGACATTATTATTTTGTGATTCAGTATTAGTAGTTTAGTAGTCTGTCGGATAAATAAGTATGAAAGTAAAACCATCAGTAGATGGCGGCAAAAGCCTGGTCTTATTCATTGACTTGTTGATTCAAAAGATTTGTTCAAAATGGCTAAATCATTTAGAAAGAAAGTGATAGTCTTTATGAATAGATCATTGAGTAAATGCGTAAGATTGACTCAGGAAGGAAACTCTGTTGCTATGAGATTCACACATTCTTTTTCTATAATATTTAAAAAAATAATAATAATAATGCAGATAAAAACTTAATATTAACCTCTTTTTTCTTGAATTGCAGAGTAAAATCAATAGAATATTTGGAAAAATGACTATTACTTTGCGTTATTACCTAAATATGTTGCATCAATTTAAAAAGACTATTTCTTGCTTCATTTTTAGACTTAATTCAGGGTTTCTGCAGGTTTCACCAAACTAAATTTAAGACATTTTAAAGACCATTATGAAGGAAATTTTAGACTTATACAAGGCTAAATGATAAGGATTTTTTTTTTCGAATATCCGAGTTTAAAAGATTTTCACTTCCCCAATCAAAAATCATTATAATTTAATACATTTAATAATGCAATAATAATAATATTTTAATAATAAAATATATAGGTCAGGTCAGTATCCTCAGCAGTAAACAAATGGAGATTTCTTAAACAAATGTTACTGTAAAGAAAGTCATTAAAACATTAAGGTAAATTAAGTTAAAAATGCTATTTTTAAATAAAAAGTTTTATTGAGATTGGGATTGTTGGTGGTTGATGTTAATGGCCAGATTGGAAAGCTTTACATGAACAAAGGAAAATTAAGAGCTGTTAAAAAAAGATTTAGGACCTGCAACACAACATTTCAGTAGATTCAAGACTTTTTAAGACCTAGAATTTAGCTTTCGAGATTTAAGAATTTTTAAGACGCCGCAGATACTCTGTAATTCTAATGGGCTCACAATGAATGCTTTTAAGAGATGTTTGTAAGAGATGTTTGTAATTCGGCAAAGTTAGTGACATACTTGCATCCCATTAAATCAAATATTATTGTAGACAATTAATATTATACACCACTAGTGGATATAAACTGCTGTTAAAATGTGAATAATTTATTATTTTTATTATTATTTCAAAAAAATAACACCTTTTTAAAACATGACAGTAAAAAAGATTTAGATTTCAAATAAATGCTTTTATTTTGACATTTTTTCATCATTTCTACACAAAAAACATAAGCTGCTATGATGATAACAATACTAAACTTTAATAGTATTATATGTCTTAAGCTCTAAATCAATATGAATTTTAAGAATGATGTAAATATGTTGGTTTTGCCTTTACATAATTAAATTACACTAAATCCAATATAATTGATATACTTTACTACATCAAACATATGTAACCTTTTTAAAATGAATTTATCAAAAATCTTTAGTTTTAAAACACTTAGAGCAGCATGCAAATGATACAAATACAAAACCAAATTCTTAAAAAGACAAAGAATCAAGCAAAATGCTATTTATACAACAATACTTATTAGAACAGGAAGAAAATAAGGAAAATTAAAAGCACTAAGATAATAAATTCAGCAGGACTAAGTGTTTATGGAAGAGGCGTTTAATTACTGTCACAGATTTGGCATTTCGAATGGGGATACAAATAGGATAGTTTCACTTAATGTAATAACTAATAATTATTAAATTAATTCATATTAATAAGGTGTTTAGTGGTTAATGATTAGGGTTTTTAAATAATTTTATAAAATTTAAATTAATAATAACGCATTAAATTAACGATCCATTAGTTAATGTGCTTACTAACATGAACAAACTATTAGTAATACAGTACATCTTTGTTAATGTTAGATCATGTTAGTTCTTATTAACTCATGGTGCAATAACTATGTTAAGAAGCACAGTATGTTATGAGTATGTTAACAAGTACAACTTTGGATTTGAATAATAAATTAGTTTATGTTGAACTTTGATTATTAAATGCTTTACAAGTTAATTGATACTTAGTTTATGTTAGTAAATACATTACCTAACATGTAACAAATAAACAACAAACAAATTGTCCTGTCACTAATTTATCATGTTAAAAAATAACATCAGCATAGCTGCAGTCGTCTTTGATTGCACGCATGTTGTACAAATTTTGAAAGGAATGTGAGTGTTTTATCAAAGACATATGCATCTCCATCGCCTGATGTAATAAGATACAGACATAAGTGCAGCTGTCTCATAAAGCAAACTTAAACTGGCCCCGGAATTTTCTTCATGCTTCTCGCAAATCATGCAACGTCTATTTTGCATTTACAGGAGAGCATTCCTGTAAGGGCAGACCTCTCTATTCCCAGCTTTCAAGCGCCGACCTAAACCACTAAATCAGTTTCCTTCTAATGCTGTCTCACCATTGAGAACTGAGCTTTAAAGACTGTGAATTGCACTTCATGTACACGAGACTTTCCCAGCAGAACTCCAGGCCCAAGGTCTGTAACACATCTAGCAGGGTAGGTATGGCATTGAGTAAGTGTGTGTGTGTGTGTGTGTGTGTGTGTGTGTGTGTGTGTGTGTGTGTGTGTGTGTGTGTGTGTGTGTGTGTGCATGCATACCCATCACATGCACATGTTTGTTTGAGCCTTTCATGGACAGTCAGAGATCCTATTTCAAGGCAAGCTATAACCTTAGGATAGCAGTGTAATGCATACTTTTGTGCATGGCTCTGAATGTGTGAGTAGGTAAACAAAAAGAAAGCTGCACTCCTGTGCATGGAATAATAATAGACAAGGAGAAAACATGAATGAATATGAAAGTGTTTAATGCTTCTCAACATATGGTCAAACACTCTAGCTGTGCTTGGCAGAATAATATGTTGGAGATCTCAGAGTCCCTCATGTGGCCATGGAGAACAGGACAAGAATAACACGTGTAAACAGTTTAAATCCCTCTCCACCACTAGACCGACTTCACAACACGTGGTAAAAGACTCCCTCTACTGGTGACTGTAGGTAAAAGTGTGGGCAAAATTGTAAACTGATTTTACATGAAAAGGCAATGTAAAAGTTGGTTCAAATTATTCGTTGTCTTTATCCAATAAAATAATTCTGTTCTTCTATTAAACTTTTTTAAAAATAATATTTAACCAGTTTAGTTTATGCATAGTGAATAAAAACTCAACTTTTTACATTTTAGAAATATATTAATGATAGCAGTAATATAGAGAGATGTATAAAGTACTAGAGATTCAAACTTATGGTAAAGTACTAGGGATACATACTTAAGGTAAAGTGCAAGTGCTCTATCAAAAAAGTGACTTGAGCAAAAGTTGAAGTGCTGTTTAAGCACCATACTTAAGTGGAAGTACTAAAGTATTCAACATCTTTTGTACTTAAGTATTGTAAGTAGTTTATTCTAAAATATACTACTAAAATACTGAAAGTAAAGGTAAAAGTATTGTCTTATGTGGTTATAAAAAAAAGCAGTCAAAAGACTCATATTATTTTGTTTATTTTAAATATCTTTTTTGGGGCACGTGATTAAGCAGAACAAAATAAAAACATGGTTTACGATTTATAACATATATATATATGTATTAATATATGTGTGTGTGTGTGTGTGTGTGTGTGTGTGTGTGTGTGTGTGTGTGTGTGTGTGTGTGTGTATATACAGTTGAAGTCACAATTATTAGTCCCCCTTTGATTTGTTTTATCAGTATGTCTGATAATATTTTTTCTTCTGGAGAAAGTCGTATTTTTTTTATTTTGGCTAGAAAACAATTATATGAACAGCTTTTTACATCAACAAATGCAAACATGGAGGTAGAATTTCTGAGTTTTCCATGTTAAAAACATACTAAAGTGCTCTCAATGCAGGCAGGCAGCACTGTCTTCTTTGGTCGTCTGAATGATGACAGCCCAGCTTCTTCAAACCTGTGATAGAGCCATCTGCTGCTCTGACAGTGATAATGTGTGTTTGAAATGATTTGTAACATTTTTATAATTTTAACGAGTAACTATGCAGCACATAAAAATCTACCGGTGTAAAAGTTTTAAACTCATAGAAAAATGTACTGAAGTAAAAGTGGAAGTAGAAGAAAAAACAATACTCCATTAGAGTACAGATACAGCCTTTTAGTACTTAAGTACAGTAGTGAAGAAGTTCTACTTCGTTACTATACATCTCTGGTAATAGATATTTTAAAACAATATCACTTTTAAATCTTACTGACCCCAAATGTGTGAAAATAAGTATTCACAAATAAAAATGATCAAAGGAAGAAAAAAAAAACGTAATCATAATTGTAATATTTAAATATTTTAATAAACTGAAAAGTAACATTATACAGTTTACTTTATTATAGTTAACATTATAAAAATATGTATTACTATAATAATTTAATCTTTGGTTTAAGTATTTGTAATAATAATAACAACAACAACATTATTATTTATTTAGTGTTGACGAACTCTGTTTGAAAACTATACATTCAAATGTAAAACCAAACCATATAAAAACATCCATGTACTGATTTTGTAGTAAAGTAAGGTTTGTTACCTGTAGTGCTTTTACTCCAAGGCAACTCCACCATCATCTCTAGATAGTTGCGAGTGAGGGCGTACTCTGGCATAGACTGCGGCATCTTTTTTAATCTGTGAGCAAAAATACAATAGTATAATTTGAAAATATGTATTATTATTATTATTAAGTTAATCATTATTATTTGCTAAGATTTTTAGAAGATGGTGATAAAATCCTGGAAAGCAAAAGCTTAGTGGGGCGAATATGAACGTGTTATTATTAATTTATTACATGACTATCTGGAATACTTGATTCGGATCGTTTTCTTGTGACATTCCAAATATTATTCTGAGTTAAACACTACTAAAACTAATAACACAGGCTCGTGTAGGTACTTTTCAATCACCTTAGCCATCAGTGAATGAATAAGTTCACATCTATATACATGATTGTCTACCACAGTGGTTCTCAAAGTGGGGTTCGGTACCCCCTGAGGGGTCGCGGGGCAATGAAGGGGGGTCGCCTGGTGATTTCCAAAAATCGATTTATTTTTATTAAACCATAAGAATTAACATATTTTATCCATAACTATACTGAAAATAAAAATAGTTGTTTATAGTTACTATATACTATATAGTTACTATAGTAGCTTATAGTTACTAGTTCTATTGAATTGTGACCCCTGGGGTAATTACATTATATTAAAGGCAGCAATAGCGTCAGATGCATTTTGATTTTATAACATCAGGTTATACTTTCTGGCACATTTAAAGCACTGACACAAATTTAATTGGTGTGTCTGCGTCATTGCATGCAAGGTTTCTGTATTTATAACCACCTCAGAGGATATTGGGGGTCACGAGTCACTGGCATTGTTATTTTGGGGGTCGCGGGCTGAAAAGTTTGGGAACCCCTGGTCTACCACAACAGTTTTTGACTGTTTGGCGCCATCTTGTGACCATATAAAACTTAGGCTAGTCCATCAGCTCTATTCACCCGTTTTCATTTCTGTCAGCTTTGCATTTAATCAAAGAGTTAATAAACTATTACAGCTCAGATCTTTTTTTTTGTCTAATTTTTATGTTTTATAGCAAGTAGCCATAGAGTAATAAGCAGGAAAAAGTACACCAGGGGGGTTGCCTTTGAAGAATGAAGCCCTTAATAAGCCTGTCATACTTTATTCTGAGTTAGCAACCACTTGGAAGAACTTTATGCCTTACTTAATGATTAAAGTAAACAAAATTACTTTTAATTGGATTTTAATCCATGTAAAACAGGAGGGTATGATCCCGAAGAAGGGTCACTGTCCTACAGAGTTTAGCTCAAATTCTAATTAGCACATCTGATTAAGCTAACTAAGGTCTCTTTAGACTCCCTGAAAGCTTCTAGGCATGTGTTTTGGAACTGGCTGGATCTAGATTTATAAAACATCTGCCTTCCAGGAGGATAATTAGACACTCTTGAGGATCTAAAAACTACAGATAAAATGACAAGTCCCTTACTATTTAAAATGCAGCTAAAATATGAACATGATTAGCTGTAAAATGAGCATTACACACCGTCTGAGCTCTTTGAGACAGACGCGCAGAGCTGCCTCAGGCATAGCAGCTGCCTTCACCTTTCTCTCCAGCAGAGCAGTGTCATCACTGTCCTCATCCTCCACCTCTTCATCTAGAGAGAACTGGCGACCGGGGAACACACCACCTTTACGGATGGACAGAACCTAGGAGAAACCAAACAAAACTGTGACTCAAACAGGAAGCTGTGGATGAGTTTGTCTGTGCTAATTTTTATGTTGTCCTACTCTTTTATCATCATCCGGTCTGAGTTTGCGGGTCTTTTGAAGCAACTTGAGGCCCTCAATCTGTCTGGTGAGCAGCGGAAGGGCCTTCTTAAAGCGTTCCTCCAAGTCTACTGCATCCAGAACCTGCCATCAACACCAACATTAAGTTTTTTGAAACTATTTAACTTTTTTTTTTCATTTCTATTTACTTTTTACACCATGCCAGCAACAAGGCTATCGTAAGGACAACCTCTGAATAAACCAAAAAAAATTAAAGGGATAGTTAATCTAAAAATTAAAATGAACTTTATACATACTTTATAAAATATGTACTCACCCTCAAGTGCTAACAAACCTTTTTGTTAGATTTTTTTTATGTTGAACCCAAAGATGCCATTTTTTTTTTTTTTTACTTTGGAAATCATTAATTATTATTGAAAAACTAATACAAAATAAACACAATGGAGGTCAATGGTTACAGGGTTCCAACATTTTTCAAATTAACTTATTGTTTAACAAACAAAGCAACTCCAACAGGTTAGAGATGATTGAATTCTGAATAAATGATTACAACATTTCTGTTTTGGGTAAAATATCCATTTAACGAAAAGTTATAATAGAAAGAATAGATGTATCGCAGATTGCATACTTTTGCACTACTCTAAGCCATTTTGTAGTATAAATAGTGAAAATTCTAAAAAGAATACCCAGATGATGCACTTTTTCAACTGATTTCTAGCATTCATAAGGTTGGATTACATTATTTATTTAGGAAAGCTTAAAAAAATATTTTGCAAAGATTAAATTACACCCCCTATAGACTAAACAAACACAGTTTCAAGACCTCTGCCATGTGTCAAAAGTGTTAAATGTCTACTGGGACACTATTGTGCTCTGAAACTGTCCAGTTTTGGAGACATTCTAAAAGTTTGTCATTGCAACATCTTCTGAAATATTAAATAATTTGATTAATCCACATGCTAAAAGTTGGATATTAGGTGATATCAGTTCACTTTAATTGGCCCACCACAAAAGCTATTTTATTTTGCTTGCAAGAACTGCAGCTAAAAAATGTACACTTAAAAATGAAAATCTAAAAACCTGCCTGAGAGAAAACACTGGATTAATGAACTTCTATCTAACAGTACCCCAGAAAAAAACTATTGTATTCGGTATTCGGGTTTTATTTAAGACCCTTTTCTTGACATATTACCTCTATTAGACTTTAATAATTGATTATTTTGAATAATAACTGTTAGTTTTGCTAGTCCTTTTGTTTTTGTTGTTCTTACTTTATCTTATTTTATGTTATTGTTTTAATTCAATGTTTTATCACATTTTAAATGCAATTTATTTGTGCATCATTTCTGGACATTTTTGTTTTTATTTATCATTTCCATCAACCATTGCGAGTATCTTTATGTAACATCAAAATGAGCAATGTTTTGGCAAAATTTGTGACATTTACTCCATGTATGGATGGGAGGGGTGTATTTGTTTTATATGATTATATTATATTATTATTTTTCTTCTGCTAATTGTTAAAAAAAAATTCAGGTATTCTTTGCATTCTTTCATTCTACACAATGTTATGTATTTTTTCAAAAAACACTTATTTGAAAAAAAAAAAAGGATAGCGTAAGCTAAATTTTCCTATGTCCAAAATTATGCAGCATGGCCACACTTGAAAAAGTCTAGAAGAATGAACAATTACACTTCTTGTACCTGCAGTTTCTCTTTGTTGGAAGTGCGGATCATGGCAGCCAGGACATCAGGAAGAGTTTCTTTGGGCAAACTGTCCAACAGCCTCCTGAGTTTTGCGACCACAGGCACCGACATATCCAACATCCCAACCAGCTGAACAAAGAGAGGCCAGAGGACATTCTCAGAACACTGAATGAACAGCCTACATGCAGTGAATCATCCTGCAGCATTTGTCAAAGAATGAAGCCTTCATATCCATTCAGTGGTAAATTATGACTCACTGTATAGATGACTGGTGCCAAAGAAGGGGAAGACAAATCTCATTCATCTTATTTTCAGCCATTATAAAAAATACGTCATTGGATTTAATGCATTTTTAGCTGTATTTTGAGGAAATTGCTGGCTGCAATTAACAACCATTTTTAAATGGCAGACTATCAAAAACAAATTCAGCTAAGATTAATTAAGATTTTGTTATTGATTGATTGATTGATTGATTGATTGATTGATTGATTGATTGGTTGATTGATTGGTTGATTGACTGATTGGTTGATTGGTTGATTGACTGATTGGTTGATTGACTGATTGGTTGATTGGTTGATTGGTTATTAGTTCACTAATTGATTGAAGGTAATTAATACTTTTATTAAGAACAAAACCTATCAGTAAAAGAAGGTAAAGCTGTTTATGTACCAAATAAATATTGTTCTTTTTTTATATAATGATAAAAAACCAAAATACATCCAAAAACATGTCAACAAAATGTTCACAAAAACTCACTAATAAAGAGAAAAAAAGAGAAGACATAACTAGTACTAATTTATCAAACATGTATTTTTTTCAGTAACATGTATGATAATACAAGTATTTTAACAACATCACCACATGATATATAAATACAGACCTAGACTGGAAACAATAGGAAACAATAGGGAAAAAAGGAAAATTATGATAATTTACTATTAGATACTATTAAATACTATAGTAATGTTACTATTAGAATGATTTTCTTAAGGATCACGTGACCCTTATGGCTAAAAGTTTAGTTTTTGGAACGAATTCCATTCTATAAATAATTATATTATATTGAGAAGGGTCTTGACCAGGAGCAGATCAGGTGCAAGATGGACTGCATACAATGCTTTTCATGCGCACACCTAATCCTAAGCCTCACAGTGCCGTCACTAGCACCATTGAGTGCATTGTGTCTGACATTGCATGTCTGATATTTGCAGTCTCAGGTTGCAAATCCAAGTCTGCTTCCAGATAATATTAGATTTTATGAAGCTATATTATTATATTATACTATATACAATAGCACCAAATCAATAATATCTATGACTTCATGACACTGTGCAAAGCTTTTTATAGACTGTCTCACAGAATATAGAGAGAAACACATGTGGCTTAAGCACTGACCTGTACAGCCGCCTGATAGAACCTCTGTGACAGCTCTCCCAGCTCTCCGTCAGCTGGATCTCCCTCTGTGTACTGCTCTAGTTTGTCCAGCTGTTCCACCTCGGCCACGGGGAAGGGTCTCTCTCTCATCAGCTGGCTCACTCGAAAGCGACACAAGCCTGTGATGAGCAGTGTGTAGTGAGGCTTCGGCCAGTTGCTGCCCACAACTTGAACCGCCAATCCTGCTGTGCCAATACTGAGAAACCAGAAGCACAGATTGAAAAAATGAGATCTTGTTTTGCATAAAATCTAATTTGTGATATCTGTGTAGCTGTTCATGACAGGCACACACCAATACAGTTTTGCTCGTATGTTTACAAACTCTGCAATGGGCGTAACGTTAAAAATGTTAATAAAATAAGAGGAATTGCATGTTATTTTTATTTAAAATAGTGCTCAGCATAATTGAGTACACCCTATTTTGAAAATGAATATTTGTATCTATTTCTCAGTGAATATAGGCAATGTATTTTGGTGCATTTAAACAAAACTGATTTATTATACAGATATATTGATTAAAATAATATTTAATCACCAAACATATTTGGAAATTGAAAGATAATATGATTAAATCCAAGGAAAATATTGCAAAAGAAATAAAATAAATGAAAAAATTACAACCTACAAAATTTCAACTAATTTTTTCAATTTTTTGCTTCTCTTGAATTTTCCTATTTTTTTAAATTTGTATTTAATTTTTATCTATAACATATAAATTTGGGTGTGCTAGTTTTTGGACCGTTATTATCAGTTATTTTGTTAGATAAGGTCCAGATTTGCCTTTAGTACTGACTAATCTAATGTATTTGGACAAATATAATATTGTATAGCTTCCTATTTAAAATTTTAATTTTAAAAATAGATTTGTGAGGGGTGTATTTATATATGCTGAGCACTGTATGCTGAATAAGCTTTTTTACATAGCATGATTACGTGTAATCCACAGCATAAAATAATAACTAAATGTATAACAAATTTGTTCAAAATGTTAAAAGTTTCCATCCTCCCTGAATTCTATGTTAATAATACTGCTTATTCCTCATTGTAAAGATGTAAAAAGACATTGTAAAAATGGTAGAAATAAAAAGAAATTGCACTTTTTTTGCTACTCAGACAGAACAAACAAATGAACTTGTTTTTAAATTTTAAAAAAGTTTAAAAATTTTTAACTTATGTAGCTAACAATAACTAGGGAGAAATGTAAACCTTTGTAAAATATTCAGTTATAATAGCTTATTCAGAACAATGCTGAAAGAAAACCATGCATTTTATTTGATTGCCCTTCTTTTTTATTATTATTATTAACATTTTGCCTTTTCTGCAAGGAGTGTATAAACCTATGAGTAGAGCTGTACTTAAACAGGGATTTAAATTAGAATTATAGATAACAAATAAATAAATAAGTAAATAAATAAATAAATAAATCACACTATCAATACTTTTCTCTTGTTTCTACTTAAAACGTTTTAGACACTGAGTATATATTACAAAAGCTAAAGTTAATTGTTAAGTTTAAAAATGATTAAAGTTTATTAAAGAAGTTGATGTGCAGTATGTGACTGTATGCTGAGCAATGACATGTTTTGCTGCTTTTTGAAAATGAAAGCATTAAAACATTATTTAGATTAAAGCAGAGAGCTGTAAACAAAGAGAGCATTTTAAGGAATCACAACACAGCTCAAATATACTTTCACACTGGAGTACTGTGGAATACCTTCAATACTGGAGAAGCATTCCAAAGTTATTTAGATTTATATTTGTATGTGTATGAGGTCACTGAAATTAACTGATTTAAAAATGAATGAGGTAAAGTTGGCTTTATATTTGCACATTCATTCAATGACAACTTGTGACATACTTCCTACAGTATATTGTTTGCCATGGTACTTTGAATATTCTACTAATAATGTACTCTAGTATCAGTACATTCCACTGGGCTGCACAATAAATTGTTTCAACACAATATCACAATGTGCGCATTTGCAATAGTCACACTGTAATAATATGCAATGTTGAGTCTGAATTATAGTTGACAAGGACCCAAAGAATTGCAGAATTGTATTTAATAACTCTATATTTAAATGGAATTTATATGATTTATGCTAAATAAAAATAAAAACATTTCTTACTTAGAAATCTCAAAGTCAAAACAATATTATTTCACTAACCCCACTGGCAGATCATTTCCTTAAAACTCTTAATTTTCACTTATTTTATTCTGACTGTGAAAACTAAACAATATTTTTACTTGGTCTTTTTTGATATTTAGACTATAATAGAGACAAAAAGAAAGAAAAGCATTTTGTTTGCATTGTGATAATTACATTTTTGTACCTGAATACTGTTAGATTCCCCAGAAACCCATCAAATAGAGCTATTCAAACTGTTTTGTGAAACTGTATTCATATTGCATTTTTTAATCACAGAAAGAAAATATTGCAATATCAGATTTTTCCAATATCGTCCAGCCCTACATTTTACTGATATTTTACTAATTTCTGCAAATATTTCTCCATACAGACAGACAAATATGGTTTCAGTGTTGTTCATTGAGGACTTGGATTTATTTTCTTCACTTCATAAAGAGAAAAACCTTAGAAACTTTGATGCACTACAAAAATTTTCATGATTTTTAACATTTTATTACATTTCCATTATTTATTTGTTTACTTCTCACATTCCATTGATCGATGACAGAGCAAAGCAGACTCACAAGGTTAAAGTCCATCTACAGCTCAAACGATTTTTCTAGAAAACAAACACTGCTACACCGTCTCTGACATGGTCAAATAAAAATGAATAAGACTGTAGGTTAAAGTTAACGATCTGAGAGAGTAAAGTTCAGTACACATAAAAATGTAACTGTCATCCTCGTCAGCCATCACCATTACAATCGTCCCATGGAAAAAAAACACAGCTGCTCATTATATACTATAAAGTTCGCAATGAAATAAAAGTTATTATATTACTTATTACATTGTAAAACCAAAATTAAATAACAACTGAACCACCTTCAACTGGTTTCGCAACAGAAGTTTGGTAACTCAATGACAGCTGCACCGCACCAAACCAGCAGCGGGTCTGTTTTCCTCCGCCACCGAACCCACCTGTGTAAAGACGGCAGCTCGTCACTGTCGTGCTCAGGGTCTCGGGTGTTGGGAATAACCCCGATTATGGTGCTTTTCAGCGAGGTTCCCTTCAGCAGTCTGCTCTTCACTAACTGCATATTTCTCGCCGTATCGACGCTGACTCTCATGGTCGAGCCTGGTAACAGCACTCCATCATGAGTGCACAGCAAAGGTAGCCGGCTGGGGATTTGAATACCACTGTTGGATGACATTGTTAAGGGTTTGAATAAATGTTTACAGTTTAAAACTAGTAATCGCGCTGCACTATGGTGTCAGGAACGCCTTCATCGTACGACAAACTGGGGCAAATGAAAACAGGAAGTAGGAGCTACGGCAAGAGCGTTAGGACATTCTTGGAGTATGGTACAAACGAAAACACCTACTTGTGTGAAAGTACGCGGAAAGCGGCCAAATGTGTCCCGTGCTTTATCATTCGTAGTGTTTTTATAAGGCTGTAACTTGGGAGAACGCCTTTGCAAAGTCAGAAAACGGGGGATATTTGAGTCATGGGGAAAATTCACGCGGCTCTTTTCCAACGGGGCTGTTGGAAAACTTCAATGGTTGAATATTAAACGAGATAAGTGCCTAAAAAAGGCCAATGTTTACAACAGACCATAATGTACAATAAGTAAAACAAATATTTTTTAATTAAAATTATCCAAATTATATTCATTCAGTAAATCACAATCGCATTCAATAAATCACATTCACATACATATTTCTATAAATATATATTTGGTATATCCTTTTTGGTTTCTGTTAAATGAGTTATCAATTATAATCTATGAATAAAATGCATTATACAACACAATTATATTATTTATTACATTTTAAGTTTCCTTCGGTGTTTTATTTTATTTCCTTTGTAATTTAAATTTTTCAGATGCCAAGGAATTGGCTAATTTTAGATTAAATTTTTGTGTATATTATTTTATAATATATCCTGAGTAATATACATTTTAATAATGTAAATGTTATATATTAAACAGTATATTCTTAAAACTGTACTTTTTAGTCTAATGATACATTACCTAAGCACTTCTTTTAGTTAGTCTACACTGCTTAGTCAGCTTCATATAAATATTCCAGCAGGCGTCATCACCTTCACATAAAAACTGTGTCTTCTTGATACATTGTCACGAAACATTGCCAAACATTCATTCATTCATTTTCTTTTCGGCTTAGTCTCTTTATTTAACTAGGGTCGCCACAGCAGAATGAACCGCCAACTTATCCAGCATGTTTTACACAGCGGATGCTCTTCCAGCTGCAACCCATCACTGGGAAACACCCGTATACTCCCATTAACGCATACACTACAGACAATTTAGCTTATTCAATTAATCTATATATAGCGCACGTGTTTGAACTTGTGGGGAAAACCAGAGGACCCAGTGCAAACCGATGCAAACACAAGGAGAAGATGCAAACTTCACACAGAAACGCCAACTGACCCAGCTGAGGCTCGAACCAGCAAACTTATTGCTGTGAGCCGACAACGCTACCCACTGCACCACGGCACGGTCCCACAATATTATTTATTATAATTTTAAGTTTCCTTTGTAGTTTAACTATTTCAGATGCCAAGGAATTGGATAATTTTACATTACATTTTTGTGTGTCTGTAATATTCTTTTAGAATATGAGTAATATACATTTTAATAATACTTATAATGTAAATGTTATTTATTAAATAGTATATTTAGTCTTAAAACTTTACTTTTAAGTCTAACGATAAATTACTTCAGCCCTTCTTTTAGTTATCTACACTACTTAAAATCAGCTACATATAAATATTTCAGCAAGCATCATCACCTTCACATAAAAACGGTCTTGATACATTGTCACGATTCACTACTATATAATAAAGCCAGGCAGGCCTTAAAAAATGAGACAATTGTTTCAATCCAAACACAAAATACCCATTAGAGGGAAATATTATTGAAATTGAAAAAATATGGATACTAATTGTAAAACTACCTGGTCAATACCCTTTAAAGTTTGTCTTTTAAATAAGGTTAAAGAAGTGCATTTTAAAATACTTCACAAAATGTATCCATGCAAAGTAACTTTTTCTAAATGCATGGATATTGATAATCCCTGCACATTTGGTAATATACATGGGGAAAACTTATCTCTTTTCTATTTCTGTAATGTCTTTCTTCAATTTTGAAATGATGTTAGTGACGTGTTATTTGGGCAAAGAAATAGTAATTACAGACCCTCTTTAAAAGACATAATTTGCTCTTTTTCTCACACACACACACACACACACACACACACACACACACACACACACACACACACACACACACACACACACACACACACACAAAAACATTCTAGAATGTTGTTAATTTTTACATCTTACAAGGTAATTTTTTTTATTAATTAACAGAAAATTGCGAATTTTATACAAAAATGCAATATACATTTTAATAGAAACGGAAATGGAAAGTCTCTAATGCAAATTAAAAACAAAAAGAATGACTTGATGTTAAATTTCATGGAGGTATTTTATCCTGGTACTGATCCGCCTGGTGTAGTCAATGATTGTGTCCTAATTTATTTTTTTCTCATAGTACTTTGTAATACTCTATTTTATCTTTCTTTTTTCTTTTTCTCCACCTGTTATATTTTTGTTTTAATATTATTTCTGGATCTGTTTTTGCAATTCTGTAATGTTCCTGGATATTTATATCTGAATTTGTATTAATACCTTATGTAATGTTTCAAAGCTTATAATAAAACATTAAAATATAAAACAGGTAGGCCTACAGGCATGTAAGTGAAAGTTGACAGTGTATCTGAAATGAAACCAAACCCAGAATGACACATTCTGAACACTCGGGGGTGATAGTGAGAAGTTTATTCCCTAAGCCAAGTTACAACAGTTACCAGAACATTCTGTGGCAGGAGTCCAAATAAATAACCTACATTAAAAAATCTGTGTATAAAACATATGCAAACCTGATATCAAACCCTCTCGATCAATCTTTTAGAAAAAAAAGTTTAACAGGAGTACTTTGGTGCAGTCTTTCAACATTGAAACAGCAATAAAGCACAAAAGTAAACAGTCTCCGGGTAAAAGCAACAGTGCCGACTAAGCCAGCAGTCAGCACAAGATTTGCATGCTAATGAAATGTGTACAAAAAGAAGCTCCACGTTTTTTTACATCTCACCTAACTGACATTTACAACACGGCAATGCTAACATACTGCTTTGGCATGTGAAAAAATATCTAATTTCCTCAGAAATAAAAGTCACAGTGCAAAGACTTTTTGTGGAAATAACCAATATAAAATGCTACAGCAATTAGCCAAAGCTGCTCTCCTCCATAAAAGCACACGCACAGTGCACTGCACACATGAAGATTTATTAGCAAAATGCTGCCTAAATATGCAAGATGGCGGGCGGGTGGATGTATGGAGGTTTGAATGACGGAGAGCAATAGCTGCAGGGTCAGTAGAGTGTCTTCCAAGTGGTTTGACTGCTGCTGTGTTTTTCAATATGGCAAACACCGGTGGAGGCAGTCCATGACTTCAATAGGACAAGAGGCACACAAGCATGCTGCGTGTCACTACATAAACCAGTTAACACCCTACAACAGCAACACGGAGACAGGATTAGATCCGCTAAGATCTGCTGCTATGTTGTTTTCCTTTCTTTCCTCCTGTTATAGACTTCACAATCTAGAAATGAGCACAGAGAAAGAAGAATCTCTTATAGAATCAGTTAAAAAAACAAAACAATGCATTGTCATGTTATTAACATTAATGTTTGGGCTAACCACAGTTAAAGATATGACAAAGAATTGGGGAAAAAGCACAGACCAGGCATGTCCAGGCGAGTAAAAGCATGTGGGCTTTGCTTTCTAAGGTACTCTACGTCCTTTAGAAAACCTCAAAGCCTGAATCATGGCAACGTCTCATTCATCATGTAAAGGATAAAGACGTTGATTCAATACCCTAGTTTTTTTTTTTTTTTGTCATTCACAAAGGCTGACGGTCGACCACAGACACGCATCAACAAACAGCAACATTTTCCGACTATTTGTTTTGCTACTGTGCATAAATTTTGGGGTTGCGCAACTAAGGTTATCAACAAATATTTAGCGGACTGGTGGAAGAACCCTATGTGTGGTTGGAGGCCAAAAATTCCCTGAAACTTTCCAAGTGGTGACAATCATTAGATGGACCTCAACTGTCTTACCTCAACCCCCCCAAAAAAACACCAATGAGTAAGTTGGAACCGTAATTCCCAAAAAAATCCAGATCCAAAAAAACATGCAGTCTTTGTTGGATGAATTGATTTAGTGGGTTTAAACAGAGATAAATGTATAGCCAATCAATAGCTATGTTTCAGTTCGAAACTGTTAAGTGTGCTGAAAATTTGAATGTTTTATCATGTGTGAATAAAATGAGTTTCAGCTCTGAGAGCAAAATTAGTTGGATTAAATTTACTAAAACGAAAGAACAAGTCTTAACTTGAGGCCATGATTTAAGTAAAATGAGTAAACAAATTCAAAAACTGTGGGCATTATATATATTATTTAACAAAACAATATATTTATTACTGGGGCGACGCAGTGGCGCAGTAGGTAGTGCTGTCTCCACACAGCAAGAGGGACGCTGGGTCACTGGTTTGAACCTCGGCTCAGTTGGCGTTTCTGTGTGGAGTTTGCATGTTCTCCCTGCGTTCGCGTGGGTTTCCTCTGGGTGCTCCGGTTTCCCCCATAGACCAAAGACATGCGTTACAGGTGAATTGGGTAGGCTAAATTGTCCGTAGTGTATGAGTGTATTAGTGTGTGTGTGTATGTTTCCCAGACATGGGTTGTGGCTGGAAGGGCATCTGGTGCGTAAAAACGTGCTGGATAATTTGGCAGTTCGTTCCGCTGTGGTGACCCCAGATTAATAAAGGGACTCAGCCGACAAGAAAATGAATAAATGAATGAATATTTAATACTATTTTAATACTATACAATACTATGCATTTAGTTTCTATTATATTTCTTTTATTAATCTAGGGTTGTCACAACAGAATAAACCGGCACTTATCCAGCATATGTTTTACGCAGCAGATGCCCTTTCAGCTGCAACCCATCACTGGGAAACACCCATACACACTCAATCACACACATACACAGTTTTGCTTACACAATTAACCTACAGCACATGTCTTTGGACTTGTGGGGTAAACAGGAGCACTGGGAGGAAACCCACGCACAGGGGGAGGTCATGCAAACTCCACACAGAAATGCCAATGGAACGAGCCGAAGCTTGAACCAACGACCTTCTTGCTGTGAGGCGATTGTGCTACACACTGCGCCACCGCATTGCTATACAATACTATATTTAATTTAAAAAAATGAGAATAAAGTCTTAATTTGCAGCCATAATTTAATTAAACTGTTGCTACAATTTACTATGACAAAAAACCCCATAAAGGTATAGTTCACACAACAATTACAATTTACTCACCCTCAAGTGAGTCCAAACCTTCATGAGTTTTTTTTTTTATTCCGTTGAACACAAAAAAAGATATTTTGAAAAATGTCGGAATACTGGAAACAATTGACATCCATAATAGAAAAAAAATACAATGGAAGTCAATGGTTACTGATTTCTAACTATTTTCTAAATATCTTCCTTTTCTGTTCAAAAGAATAAAGAAACTCAAACAGGTTTTGAACAAGTGAAGGGTGAATAAATGGTAGCAGAATCTTTATTTTGTCACAGACAGAATCTGGGGCCATTTTTTTGCTATTTCTGCTGAGAATTTTGTCAAAAATCTGTGGATTTATGTAGAATAATTTTGGAAGTATGTCGTAACAAACCTTAATATATGAAATGAAAAATATTACCTTCTTAACTTTTTATTTAATTGGTTTTATTTTATTTATCTAATTAGCTCCACTTATTTAGTAAACAAAGCAAGTCTCTCGTATAATATAGCTTCTAAAAGACAAAAAGACAATAAAAAAGTATTACTTTACAAACTGTATTGTAAATATATCATATAAACATTTTTATACAAGTCAATAATAATACTGAAAGTCATTTAAAAACTGAATGAATATAAATGTACATACTTTTACATAGACTCAATAATGGGCAGAAAATCTGCAGATTTCTGTGAGCGCAAGTTCTGTGTGGGCCTAGTCATGACTTAAATAAAAACAAGTGAACAAATGAGTAAATCATGACTGTATTTAACTAAAAACAAAAATTAACTAATATTATTTACTAATAAAATGCATTCAGTATTTGGGCTTCTGGCATAGTTTATGAACACGTTTTCTTCTCTGTACTATCTACCAATTCATTTCATATGATTTTTTTGCACATTTTAAGATTTTATGCCACCTTGACATTCCCATCTGACATTTTTTCAACAATGCACACACAAATACAGTTGAAGTCAGAATTATTAGCCACCCTTTGATTTTTTTTTTTCTTTTTTAAATATCTTCCAGATGATGTTTAACAGAGCAAGGAAATTTTTACAGTATGTCTGATAATATTTTTTCTTCTGGAGAAAGTCTTAATTGTTTTATTTTGGCTAGAATAAAAGCACTTTTTAATTTTTAAAAAACATTTTAAGGTCAAAATTAATAGCCCTTTAAGTTATAATTTTTTTTCGATAGTCTACAAAACAAACCATCATTATGCAATAACTTGCCTAATTACCCTAACCTGCCTAGTTAACCTAATAAACCTAGTTAAGCCTTTAAATGTCACGTTAAGCTTCATAGAAGTGTCTTAAAAATATCTAGTCAAATATTATTTACTGTCATTATGGCAAAGATAAAATAAATCAGTTATCAGAAATGAGTTATTAAAACTATTCTGTTTAGAAATGTGTTGAAAAATGTTTCTCTCCAATAAACAAAAATTGGGGAAAAAATAAACAGAGGGGCTAATAATTCTCACTTTAACTGTACATGGATAAAAACATAGATTTCTTTCAACGTTTGTTAGATCGATGTTTCATTTACAGTCTCTCAAATGTAAAAGCAAAAAGGTAGTTCCATTAGTATATACAATAGAAACACACTTACAATCATAATTGTCATCCTCTTTTGTGAAGCACTCTTTAAACAGGCAAAGCATGGTCCGATAACAGTTATCAAGGATTGATTTGGGTGTGACTGACTTCCATCCTTTATAATCTTGTTCCGTCAAGTGATCCCAGATGGTTTGTAAGCTCTCTGGACGTTCTCTGACATTCTGAAAGCATACAAAGACACGCTGATTACCACATAACAAATGTCAACAAAGCAAAAATGTCAAGCTGACTGTGAGCCTGATAGCACTAATAGTATGATTTATAATAAGCTGTTATAAAGTCAAATGATATCATTGTTCTAACCTCTTGGTCTTCGTGATTCCCTTCTTTAAAAACCGTCTCAAATTTTTTAAAGAGATTCTCCAGATCAGAGAGGTATTTACGCCGCGTTGGATGCCTCTCTGGCAGTACCCGTAAGACCTTCTTAATGCCCTGTTGACTCACGTAAAGCCACAAATCCTGGAGATCTCTCGGCAGCACTGGCTCTTCTTCATTACTCGTATTCTAGAGAACACAAAGCGAGAGATTAGACTATAGATATGACGGTTGAAGGAATGAGGAGCAGAGGAACAATAACAATTGGGAAACGTTCAACTTTTTGTGGTTCGCTTGTGATATACAGGCATGTATTAATTTTCAGCATCAGTTTCCAGTAAAATTGTTTAGGCAAGCGGCAACCCTCCGCTCTTCCTCGTGAAGCTAATACGGAAGTAAATGAAACTGCAATTCATCAAAATTCTGCTAGTCCCGGCTCCATAATAGAGCACATTTCTATTGAGCCCACTGTTAAAATGGCCAACTTTACAGCAGAAAAAAAGGTGTTTACAGGCTGTTACAAAAAACGATTTTTGATCATACAGCTATAATAACCCTTCATGATAACTGTGAGGGGGTGAATTTTTTATAACTCATAATTTTCCTTTATATTAATTTATATTAAGTTTGCATAATTAAGGGCGTGGCCACTTGAGTGAAAGCTAGTTCTCGCTGGTCGCCGTCATGTCACCTTAGCTGATTCCAGCTGATTAGCCACTGAACTCGGCGTATATATTGTATTTTTGTTTTGTTTTATGTGGCTTTACACAGTCAGTTGCTTTTTGGAATTATTTATTACAATTTTCAGATGATATGGCATGCTGTGTAAACTTAATTGTGCTCACAACCCATACACGTGGGCTCCATTTCCCAGGTGAGTGAAATTATTTACTTATATACCATCTTTATAAATGTTTTTGTTTTATTTAAGATCATTTATCATAAATACTTTTCTTTAGACCTGTAAAGCACTCCAGAATCTGACAGATTGATTAGCTGTAGGCTCTAGAACAGTCATCTGAAGCGTTGTCATACAGGGTTATGCCTGGATTTCATAAACAGCCTTGCATTTACTAACACAGACTATATTTGAAGTATTTGGAAGTTATTTGCATTTTCCTCCAGTAGAAAACACAACAGTGTTTTAAAAAGACTTAACACTTTAATGATATAGTGTACAACCAAGCACATGTGGTCAGAACATGAGTAATGAAGTATTAAGCGTTTCTCCCAAAGAAAAGCCCATCTAAGCAAAATGCTAGCAGGCGTCAGTAGCACCACTCACGCTCCGCCTCATTGCCCTTGTTTGGTATCCCCCGGTTGGTGCAATGACACACAAACAAAATGGCGCTGGTTGGCCCCGCCTACTTTTAGCTTCCTTTCGATCTTCAGAAACCTATGGGTGACGTCACGGATACTACGTCCATATCTTTTACAATCTTTTTGTTTAGGTCAAAGGATTTATGCAAAGTCAGGTTGAAAAAAGCTGAAATAACACCAGTTTGATCAATTATTTGACAATTATAATAAAATTTTACAATTATAATAAATTCTAGAATTAATAAAAAATAATAAAACGACATTTTAATCTGGATTCATTTCATTTCTTTATAATTTTTTCTTATTATTATTATTTGCCATTTTAAAAGAAACCTATATAGAATGATCATAGGATTTTTTCCTACATTAACACAAAAATGTGGCTAGATATTTATGGAATCAATCTTTCATAGACTATTTTGTAGATTAGTAAATAATGAATAAAATAATAAAATGAATAATAGTAAAATAGATAACATTAACTATTCAATAAATGTCTGATCAAATGGGTTTACTGTATTTTATTTACTGTATTCAGATTTACATTTATAAAAAACACTACTTTTACAACTTAATTTATTCATTTTCTTTTCTGCTTAGTCCCTTTATTAATCTAGGGTTGCCACAGCGGAGTGAACCGCCAACTTATCCAGCATATGTTATTATGCAGTGGATGCCTTTTTAGACGAAACCCAGCAATGGGATACACTCATACACTCAACACCCATACACTCTCACATGCACACTCATACACTACAGCTAATTTAGCTTATTCACTTCACCTATACCACGAATTTGAACTGTGGGGGAAACCGGAGGACCCGGAGGAAACCCACATAAACACAGGGGAGAACATGCAAACTCCAAACAGAAATGCCAACTGACTCAGCCGGGGCTCGAACTAGCAACCTTTTTGCTGTGAGGCAAAAGCGTTACCCACTGCGCCCCCGTGTCATCCTAAAAACACTTTCTAATATTTATTAATAAAAAATGTGGATAAATATTTATAAGATCAATCTTTCATACACTGTTTCAAAGTTTTGTAAAGAATTAATGATTAAAATTAATAATAATGAAAATTCAATTCAAAAAATAAATTCAATAAATAAATAAGATTAATAAATGCTGATCATATGGGTTTAATGTTTTTTACTGTATTAAGATTTACATTTATAAAAAACACCACTTTTAAAACTTACTATATTTATAGACCCGTAGTATTATCTATTTTTAACTACAGATGGCTGCAGCTTTTCCCCCAGATTTTTAAAAATCATTAATATTATATTTCAATTTGTTTAAATACATTTTATTTACATTTTATTAGTTAATTAGTTTATTAGGGGGGCAGGCCAGACTCACAGTGGCCAGATTGACCGTCAGGTCACTGGGAAATGTCCCGGTGCTCCCTATGGCCAGTATATGTATGTATATATATATATATATATATATATATATATATATATATATATATATATATATATATATATATATATATATATATATATATATATATATATATATGTCAACATCTTAGAAAAAGTGTTTTGGTTTTTCGTGACCCTTTAAATACGCACAGTGGCAATATTTGCCTTTCAGTTTATCCTAATCTTACCAGAAAACACAGTGCAAAATTACATTAAAAATATTTTGATATAATCCTATAATACTAAAATGTTTAGCTGTATTTTCCCCTCCAGATCTAAATAAGCCTGAGCAGGTTTGTTTGCGATTCACCCTGTATTCAAAAATGCTGAGTCACAGCCCTCAAATCTTTCAGGAAGCCCTAAAAACCGTGACTCTAATCTGGCTGTATTGTAAGTCATGAGTCTCAAATCTGTGTTGATATGTGACAAACAGGAAAAATGAGCTAATTGGTGTGGGACGTTGTGGAGAGTGTGGCTTATGGCCATGGTGGAAACTGAGTCAGAGGGTTGGTTTGGGGACAGTGTCAGTGGGATAAAGGCTTACCACCAGTCTGCTGATGTTTCGCAGTCTGAACACCTCCTCATAACGCACTTGGACAGTGTAATTAATGGGAAAGTGCATTTTCTGTAAATATAAATAGAAAACCTTTCATTGACAAAGCGTTCATTCGGTCAAATACAAGGCATTTAAATGATGTTCACTTCATATACATGTTACGTTGATTCTGAATTATTTTAACCCAACTTTTGGTCAGGTAAAAACAAATGGTTGAGTTATGTCATTAACATTTGTCATTAACATTAACAAATGTCATTAACATTTTAGTATAGGTACACATTCTCACAATCATCTAGTTACTTATACACATGCTTATTATTAACACATTGGCTGTTTAATTGCACTTACAAAGCACATATTCTGCATATCTTCATAATAATACACTATTAATAAGTAGCAAATTAGGAGTTTGTTAAGGCAGAAGTCATAGTTAATAACGGTTTGTTAATAGTAATTTTTTAGCATTTAATATTCTCATTTTCTATAAAATAACGCTATGATTTAAAGCAAAAGGCATCTATTTACCATATAACGTCTCCTTAAGGTTGCATTTAGACTGTCTTGGACTGTTTTCAGAGGTCCACAGAGATCTGGAGCTGCACTACTGCACACTGGTAATAGACAAATAAAACCTAAAGAGAGAGAAGAAGAAAAACGTAGGCTTTAAACATCATATATTTTGCCAATCATGAAAATATTAATAATTTATTGTTTTGTACTTAAATTTTACATGAAATAAACAAATCAAATGAATTGATTTTGATTAGATTAGTCAGATTTGATGGCTTTGTAAATACTTTACAAACATACACTAATGAATAAGGATGGATCTGATATTTATTGGCTGATATTGGGTTGATTTAGTGATATTGGAAATAACATAAAAAGTCTGATACCAATGGTTAATAATTACATGGAAGCAATGATTTTAATAACCTAATGGTATTCAAAAGATGTGCAAAATGATTAATACTTGCAAAAACAAAATATAATCTGTACCAAATGTACTAATATGTACACCATGCTCAAGTGCTGGAAAAAAACTAATGGCTAGTTTGGCCTACAATTAGTATATTTCTGGAGCAGCTCAGTTTATAATGTGCATACTGTAAAGCAACAGCAGTGGCTTTGTTGGTTAAGTTTATTAAATCCTGTTTCAAGACATAGCCTACTGAATAGCAAAAATCCCATTTAAAGATTGCCATATTATAATTTGTTTTTATCTTAACTTGTCCCTCGAGGAATAGCTGTGACTGTAAAGTACTGTATGCAATTGATGCAAACCGATATTTTCTTATTATATTATTGCACTTTGCCTGTATATTCATGAACACAATTGCTTGTAGAGTAAGTAGTTTGACCATTTTCTGCTGTTTATTGTTCCTAGTCATTTCTTCTTTAGGCAACTGAATGGCAAAAACAAGCGCACTTCCGCATTGCAAAATAAGGTCAATAGCCTGGCTGCACCAACAGACTTATATGGCTCACTACTGATTTATTAAAACTTTTTGTTTATCTTTTTTTTTTTTAATTAAATGGAATTTTTCCCCATGATGTTATAACATCTATAGTTGAAGAATAAACCTCTAAATTGCAAGCTAGAAAAAAACAGCAGATCTCAAACACATAAACTAAGTAGCCAGAGCATCTGAAGGGGCAACAGCTTCAACTCCCTCATTCACTCACTCACTCACTCACTCAATCACTGTCCTTCGGTTTTTTCCCAACTTTATCAGGGGTTGCCAAAGCAGAATAAACCACCACAGCTTCAAACCACATGTATTAATTATAAGTCATTTTAAAGCCCTTATTTTAAAGCATGGCTCATGCCTACGATTAGCTAAATTATGCAATCTTAATCAAACTGTTGTAAACTGAGATTGACCCAATAAACCACCTAACATTAAAGCATGAGTAAACGTTTATCGTTGGCATGTGTTAAAGGTCTGATTTCTATGCAGATTATACACAATCACCCCAATCAATCTACCAAATTATCTCTAAATAGACCTTTGTTTTTATATGTCAGTATATTGCAGCCTTAGTTTCAGAAATTGAACTGTATGAAGCTTGTTTGAGGAGAGCTAGCCCTCTCTTTTAATTTAAAGTGATTTTAATCGTGATCCAAACATATAGCATACATGCATGCTTGGTTTGGGACTTGTGGAGCTGTGCATCGATCGATTTGCTCCTCAGTGTTTGAACTCTCAGCAGTGAAAATTAAACCACAGTCAACTGAACTGAACTGAACTTCAACTCTGAAAACTGGACTGACACAGTTTCAATTTACTAGAACTTCTATGTTAAGCTGCTTCTTTGACACAGTCTACATTGTAAAAGCGCTATAAAATACAGATGAATTGAACAGAATGCAGCATGTGCAGTTTTTAATGAGTAATTATACTGTAGAATTCCAAATCTGAAGAATAGTCTGACTTTAGTTTTGTGAAAACCTTTCCAGTAATTCATCTGAAGGAAACAGCAGACTAGCTAAATGAGATGCAGATTCAATCCAGCCAGCAGGTGGAGCTTATGAACAGCAATGATAAAGTGTTTCTTGGGTTACCACTGTAAACATATAAGCGCTTACCAACACTACAACAACACTTGTATATGAATCATTTAGAGGCACAATGAACAGAAAATAAATCCCACGTCAATTTTTCCAAAGACTGATCTGAATCATCACATATTTGAAACAATTCTCAAACGGCTCGCGGCTCATCTTTATATCCTAACAACCAAAGTTCCTTTAAGGTATGCTATATCAGTGGTTCGCAACCTTTTTTTTTTGAGACCCCCTTTTCCCCTGGAAAATATTATAAAGCTCCCCACCACATTTAATGATATTATCGCTCATATGAATTTGCAGTAAAAATGACAAAAATGTAGTTTTCAAACAAACCGTGTGTTTATTACTATTTCTAGATATGTTTATGCACAAATAATAGCCTAATGTAAAATATAAAAGCAAAACATCAGTAGGCCATTTGTAACTGAAAAACGAAAGCCTTTGTCCATTTTAAATTTGCCCTATTTGAAATTCAATAACAAAAATATCAGTATTCACACTGGTGTGTAAGAGAAAAAAAATAATATGGCTATTACAATTTACCACTTGCATGTCATTTGTTACGCTTCATCGATCAGTGTGAGGATTGCTGCTGGCAGTAAGTAATAATTTGGTCAATAAGTGGGAGTTGTCTGAGAATGTCTTACTATTTAAACAGCCTCATGCATTCATAAGCAAGAACTTTGGCGCAGATAATGCACTGTGGCTGGATCAGGGACTCTTTGCTTTGAGAAAATGGAATAAAACAATAGTTCAGCTAACTATCTTGGTATTTCCTGCATTTCTGCTTTCCAGTATTGCTAGTGCTGTGACCCGAAATGTTTGAAGCTCACTCACCTGGGTCTAGAATGCTTGGGTCATTACTATTAGTGAGACTTGGTGTTTTTTTGTTGAGGACGAATTACAAATTTGTCCATTTTTTTGGTGAACCAGGGGATAAAATGAGCTAAGGCAACGTGATCGTTCTCCTAATTTTCCACTGCTAAAAATGTAAAAATATGACTCGACTCCCCTACAGAGCTCACTGAGGCCCCCTTGAGGGCCGGGACTCCCCTGTTGGGAACTGTTATTCTATAACATTTTCTTCTACAAAGCAAACATACAGTTTTTTACAGTAAATACTATGCAATTTTGGATGCACCAACAGATTCTTAGGGCTTATTTAATCACGCAAACTTTTTCTCCATAGTAAAAAGGCTTGTGGATTTTAATTCGGTCCTCTGTATAGAATTAATACTAATATTCAAGTAAAATGCATACCTTTTTTAAATCTTTGATTTCAATTAATCGATGATACTCATATTATTGTTTACGTTTTGCTGATTGTGCTGTAGCCTATATTAGAGACAGGTCATTTCTTTGAAGGCAATGACGCATGAATTCGTATAAAGTATCAAAGGTACTGTGACAACACGCAAACCTCAAACCACAGCTCGACTTACAAAGAAAAAGATACTCAATTTTTCAGCATAAAAACAATTGAGCTCTGCTGAAAAAAAGAAACACAAATGCAACATCTCAATCTTCCCTATATTGATGCTTCAATATCTTCTAACACAATAAAACAACGCAACCATACAAAAAATGTAATGCGAACGCACCAGCCGTGATGCCACAACACAAGTTTCTGCAACCCACATGTGGTCAAAAGCAGACATAATATGCACGATATGATCAAGATCAAAAGCATGATCTGTGGTAGCAAACCTGAGGCTGATCCTGCATCTATTTTAACTGGAGTTCCTATTGTTAAAGATAAGTGATTGTGACTGGCCGGCCTGGGGTGGAAACACAGGGCACCGGCAGTCATCTGTCACTTTGCAGTGGATCAGTGCGGTTTGCCTCTGTGGTGGAGCTGCACTGCAGGCCAGTTACCCAGAGACTGGCAGTCAGCAAAGTCTCAGAGACCATGAAACAGACTTCCGAGGGACGGAGGAATTTGTTATGCCACAAAACCTGGGCTATTTACTGGCGTCCAACCGCTCAACCCCCCAACCTCCCGTCCGAGTTATTCTGGCTTCTTTGGCCTGGTATCCCCCTCCTTGTCCTCTCTTTTACCTTATGCATCTGTCTCATTCGTTCTTTCTCTCTGTCTTTCTCCTGAACAGGAAGTGGTGACACTAATAGTAACGTCTGAGTCCTTCGGTGGCAGCAACATATGCAGAAGCTCAAACATACAATTAGCTTGACACTCATTTCAGAAGAAACAAGTGCGCAGATATGCAGATGTTAAAACCACACACTCACTCTTAAGAAACATATTGCTTAATTTGGCTCACAGAGAATTTCTCGGATATTCGAACCCATCAGTCTTGTTTATCTTATTTGCGTAAATTCACAAGAGACTCTTGTTGGTTTACTAAGGAAGTGATTAATCAATAGAAGTTTTTTCGGCCACTATTAAAATAGAATATTTATGTCTAGTACTACCGTCTTATCCAAAGTTCCCACATCTGACATTTTGTCATTTTTATCAATTAATTATGGGACTTTACTTACCCAGCAGCCCCCTGAGAAGCCAGCATTCGGACTGGACCATGGTAGGACGTTTTTTCTGTGATCTAGATCTTGATTAAAGGAAATTGTTAGGTCCTCTTGTTCTAAAAAAAAACAAACAGAATTCACACTTTATTAAACACCTGCAAAAAATATCTGTTGGTTAACAGTCGTATAAATGTATATTTATACAAATGTTATAACTGTTGTACAAGTTTATATTTAAAATATATGTCGATTAATAGCTGTATATTTGTGATCTTGAAACACAAAAGCAGTCTTATGTTAACAGTGTCCACATATGGGTCAAAATTATAGATTTTTATTTCATGCTAAAAATTATTTATTGACAAAAAAAATGTACACTTGCGACTCCCTATATACCCTATATAATGTATCCCTATATACATTTCTGGAGAGCGCAAATTATGTAGCCAGAAGATTTCGTCTTTAAACCGAATGCTATGGGATAGTATGACGACGTTCCTTTTCGCGCTTACCAGCTGACCACTTGCCTCTGAAAGGACGGCTTTCCCACCGTTACTAGTTTGTCCATTTAGCTCGCCATGTATGTCGGTGCACTTGAGATGCAGAAAGAAGTTGGCCTTATGCCAACAGTTCCAGAAAGTGGGTAAGACAAAAACAGAACCCAAAAAATAAAATAGAGTAAATAACAGGGTGAGAATGTGGTAAAAATCAGGTGAGGGCTTGTCATTTTCTGGATTGCATTTTAAAACTAAGTTGGTTGGGTTTAGGGAAGGGTGTGAGCGGGTCAATTGGTGCTACTGAAAACACTACTGGTTGGGCTTAGGAAAGGAGGAGCGTGGGTCAGTCAGTCAGTCATTCAGTCAGTCGACAGCGGCCTCTGGTGGATTTACGTGAGAACAACAGGTGTGAATAGCACTCGTGAGAGAATTTTTAGATCTGAAAAAGCGTACACAGCTGCCTCTGGTGGATTTACATGGGTACAAGAGGCGTGAACGGCACTCGTGAGAGAAATTTAGTGGATTTAGTGGATTTGCAAAAACAAAAACTGTAAAAAAAACTTAACTCCTGGGATGTATTTGGCGCTTTGCAGAAATGTATATAGCGGTACATTTTCAGAATGAGCCTGGGTTTGATTTTGTGGGTGAGAGTGACATTTTAACAGAGATTCTCTGTGGCTTGTAATTCACAAGTGTCTTTATTCTTTATTGATGTTTTGGAATTGCATTTTGGGACATCTGCACTGACAACTTTTAATGTTGAACTCTGCAATTAAACAAAATGAACTGTACTGACATCTACTTTTGATGCCAGTTTGAATCTACTAAAATGTTGTCTGGTTTAATGTAAACATACTTTTGTTGTTGTTATTTCACAAATGTATCTCTTAGAGTGATTTTTGACCACAAATCATTTGTAAATAGTCAGGGATGACACATCTGAATTCATTTACTCCGTCTGGATGGTAAAATATTTCAATATCCAAAAAAGGCTGATCTGGCACATCTGATTTTAATGGGCAAAGAAAAGAAAAAACAAGAAGGAGTTGTAAAAACCTAAAGTGAAGCAGGAATGGGGGTCACTGTTCATCTGAAGGGCTGGAGCTCTATCATAATGTTCCACTGTTTTCGCCTACAGAACTTGTGCAGATGTGTAAAACAAATCCAGATGTTGTCTCTTTTTGTTTCTTTCGAAAGGAAAAAAATAAATTCCCTTTTATCCTTTAGGGAATATAATGGCATCTTGACAGAGACAGCAGGTTTCTGACTAATAGTCATGTGATGAGCATGAAGAGCAGAATGTGCGGCTGCATTTTTGGTAGATTAATCAGAAATGTCTTTAGCATTTTCTTGGATATGGACAAATGTAACACATGTTACAGTAAATATATAAATGTTTAAAGGATAACCATGTGAAGGAAACATCAAGTCCAAAAGTCCAGCTGAACAAATCATATCCTCGGTGTAACATCATATTTTATATGATGCAATAATTTAATTATTTTAACAGAATTCTCTATTTCGCAATCCTTTTTATGATTTGCTCCAAATCAATAGCAGATTTTTAAATCTTTTTAAATCTGAGATGAGCACAGGAAATCTGTGAAATACTAGATATTTATGATGTTGTCAATTTAAAACAGATTTTTATTGTTATAATAATCTTTTTTAGCGCTTTATCGGCCAAATAAGGCCAATATTATATGCTTACATTACACAATTTGGTAAACACCATTACAATATTAGCCTATTTTACCGAATTTTAGAAATACTGCATAACTTAGCCTACCTCTGAAACAATATTTTAAATTGTAAAATATGGGTCATGGTGTTTCTTTTTATTTATTTATTTATTTATCTATTTTTAATATTTTCTTTTTGTTGTTGTTTTGTTTGTTTTAAAATGTTAAAATGAATTTAAAAAATACATTTATGTTCAGAAATAAATGTATGTTCAAATCAAAATAATGAAGTATTGAGGAAATTCCCTCTTTTTTCAACATTTACACATCTGATTATTACATTTTTATTCCAACCACCATATTAAAATTAATAGTGGCTTATTGAAATGACAAGAATTATCAATAAAGCATGAGCCTAATTGTTATTTATCAATTCATGATGAATGGCAGAATCATTGATGTTATAGTCTATATAACATCATGTTATTCAGTTTATACATAGGCCTATATAAAACAATGAAGATATCATCAATGATTCCGACATTCATAATAAACTGATATCTATATTAGTACTTGGAAAATATATACATCAATAAAGCAATGAATAAGTATCAAGAAGAGTTCATTCATATAAAATTACATTAAAGAAAATGTGTACAGCCTTCACATGCGTGCTATCGGCTTTACTACACACAAGTCTTTCTGAATCGATCAGATATTGTTGTCAGAACATCTAGTAAATTGACCAGTAATCTGATCTTATCTAACCAGAAGCGATCTTTCAGTCTGCGCAGTTGATCTAAATTCCCACACAACGCGCGATACAATTCAAAGCACGAAATCAAACAAGCCACAAACCTTTCGATTCGATGTTCTAGTCTGCCTCAGTGGGAACCATCTGCAGAGGACTTTCAGTAAACAGGCAAGTGTTTGCTTAACCCTGAAGATATGACCGCTGACACTTCCAGGCGTGCAGGATACTGACCGAAGTAGTAAAATCGCCCCCTTTTCTATGCACCGTCCACCCAAAAGCGTCGGAAACTCCCTTTCTTTATGTCACCTCTTCTGTATGTTAAGCCGCTGTACATACAACACCCGCCTACAGCTCTCTCCGCGCGTAAAGAACCACGAGAAGACCACGCTGAGTTCAGAGCCACAGCCAGATGACACTAACGTTACTTTCACTTTTGAGTCCACATAAACTGTTAACTCATCAGTGGCTGGATGTGAGCATAATATTCGTAGATTTTATGAATTAAAAAAAAATGTAACGTGTGGAATTGTGGCAGAGTCTGAACCCCCTTCCCAATTAAAAATAAATGTTGGGGTCATTTCTTTATACTAGTTCTAACTTCTTTGCTCGCGTATGATCCTTCAGAATGCTTTTAAAACGTGTTTAAAGTATTAGCTATTTCTGAAACGACTTAAGCTAAGGCTACTTCAGAGTGTGGGAACATCTGAGGTAGCGCTAGAAACTGTCCATCTGTCAAAATTTTCACGTTAAAAATATTTGAACTTCACGAAATTAAAAGAAACTTATTGCAGTTTATGTGTGAAAACGTCTTTCATTTAATTTATATGTTTTGATAGCCGGGTGACACTGTGGCTCAGTGGTTAACACTTTCGCCTCACAGCAAAATGGTCGTTGGTTCAATTCCCGACTGGGCCAGTTAGCATTTTTGTGAGAAGTTTGCATGTTCTCCCCGTGTTCGCGTGGGTTTTCTCCATGTGCTCCGCTTTCTCCCACGGTCCAAAGATATGCTGTATATGTTAACTGAATAAATTAAATTAGCCGTATAGTGTATGTGTGTGAATGAGTGTGGATGTTTCCCAGTACTGGGTTGCAGTTGGAAGGGCATCCACTGCGTATAACATATGCTGAATAAGTTGTTAGTTCATTCCTTTGTGGTGACCCCTGATGAATAAAGGGACTAAGCCGAAGGAAATGAATGGATGAGCTGTTTGCATGAAGTTTAAATAAACTTACTATATTAATGTTTTGATAACATCCCCAGATGTCTGTTATGAAAACATGTCTTAAAGGGATAGTTCACCCTCACTATTTACTCCTAAGTGGTTCTTACTTTTTACTTTCCTTTAGCGTAGTTTCTGATTTATCAGGGGTTGCCACAGTGCAATGAACCACCAATTAACCCCAAGTGTTAGGAAATACCCGAACACTCTCTCACTCACACACACATAATACACTATGGCCTATTTTAGTTTATCCGATGCACTTCATCTGCATGTCTTTGGAGTGAGGGGGAAACTGGAAAACCCGGAGGAAACCCACATGAACACAAGGACAACACGAAAACTCCACCGTGGCCCTGTCGGGACTCGAACCAGCTACCCTCTTGCTGTGAACTTCTGTTCAACACTAAAGAAGATATTCTGAAAGAATGTTGGAAAACATCAGACATCCATAGGAGGAACAAAAAAAAGTTCAACAGAAGACAACACGGTAGTGCAGTGGGTAGCACAATCGCCTCACAGCCAGAAGGTAGCTGGTTCAAGCCTCGACTGGGTCAGTTGGCATTTCTGTGTGGAGTTTGCATGTTCTCCCCGTGTTCACATAGGTCCCGTGCTCCAGTTAAACCCACAAGTCCACAGATATGTGCTATAGGTGAATTGGGTAGGCTAAATTGTCCGTAAAGTCTGAAAGAGTGTGTATAGGTGTTTTCCAGTGATGGGTTGCAGCAGGACATCAAGACATAAAACATGTGCTGGATACGTTGGCGGTTCATTCCTCTGCGGGGACCCCATATTAATAAAGGGACTAAGCCGAAAAGAAAATGAATTTATGAAGTTCAACAGAAGAGAGAAACTCTTTAAAACTAGTGGAGGACGAGAAATCGGTGCAAAATTGGCATTTTTGGGAGAGCTATTCTTTTAAAGTCGCCATGATATTAACATTTGCTCTTCTTATTTTTATATAGAAGTGCCTGTTATAATTGATGTATCTATTGATTTGATCAACTACTATAACCTTCTCTGCGTCCTCGAAATGACTTTTCTTCATTTCTGATCACATGGAATACCTTTAAGGCAAGGCTATCAGTCATTTAGGGCGGGGCTATCAGGGCATGTCTTCTCTCTTGTCTCTTCTACCATGCATTCATCAATCTTCCGTCATTTTGTTAGCAAGGTTAGACAAATTCTTACACCACCTTACATTATAATTCCTCTAATTTCAGGACTGTTTCAATTAACTGTACATCACATCACAATGTGGAAAAAAGGAACTTTTTAACTTTTAACTTCCATTTAATGGTGACTTTAATTTCTCGTTACATAAAAAGTAATAAAACAGATGTTTTAACAGCATTTTCAAATATTCAGCCATCTAAATTTAATAGTTGCTCGATAGAATTTGACATATCAAAATGAAACATTTTCCAGTGCATTAATTTATTTAAACATAATAAATTTTTAATAAAATAAGCGTACTTTGTTTAAAATGTAGCTAAAAAAATAAACATGGAACCAAACTGGAACCATGTGGGATGGATAGGGGAATATTCAGTTTGATTCGTATAGTTAAACATAAACAAAAAATGACGTTTTATGAACGTTCTGATGTTTCCAATAAGTAATTAAAATACCATTTCTGAATGCTCCTCTAAATTTTATTCCATTCAATAATTTCTGATTTTAGATAGTGTAAAAACTTTTTTTTGTTATATAAGCATTAAAGGGATAGTTCACTTAAAACAGAAATGGCTGTCATCATTTACTCACCCTGCATTTGGGAGTTTCTTTGGAAACTCCAAGTACTGGAAAGCAGTATTCCTCAACACCATTGTGTTTTATACGGATGTCAATGGCTGCTGGCCATTTTTAAAAACCCAATAAGGTTTGAAATCATTTGATAGTAATTAAATTGTGAGCAAGCTTTCCTTTTTGAGAAGAATTAAAAGGAACATTATTTATGAATATTATAAATGATTGCTGAAAGGTTACTTCTGAATATTTTCTGAACAATCTAAAAAAAACATTTATATAATATCAACAGTTTTTTCAGGGAAATAAATTAAAACATCCTCCATGAATGACATTAGTACTAACCAATACCAGAAGGCGCTGAACTAATCTTATTTTAAGTAAAATGTTTGCTCACATCTTTTGTCAGAGCTCTTGCCAATGTTCTGAGATGGTTTCCTGTTAACGGCAGTTGTGTCCAGAAAATGACTGGCTAAATAAGCTGACCCACTGCCATACTGTCTCCACTCAACCATCTCAGATTGTTTATAAATGATGGTGGTCCATCAGAATATTGCACAACTAGTCATCAAGAACCAACGACACCTACTGTATATGAATGAAGAAAAAGCAATCAAGCATCACTTTAAAGCAGATCCAGAGTTTTCCCTTTGCCCAAATTCCCAGTAAACCCCATCCTCCCACGCACATTACTAATTGAATCCCAAAATTGACTGTGGTTCTGTGGCGGCAAGCTTGGCGCACACATTCCCTTCTACCAATTTCTTGACAAAATCCAAACTCTGAAGCGCCTCGTCTCACAACACAATGGACAATAGGCATATGGGCGACCAGCACATACTCCACTTTTTGGCGTAGGACTGCTTTTGTCGTGGCCACAATGGCCCTCTTGTTTTGTAGTACCTATAATCTCTTTTAGGGGAATAATCACTTGTCGATGGAGCCATCTTTGCCTGTCCTAACAAAGGCCAGAACCACTCATGAACCAAGAAGACAAATGAGAGGGACATTCCGAATCCCCCACCCAACCCATTCATAAAAATGAAAATAGCCAAAACACCATCTGTCAACCCAGATTACATCACATCAATATGGAAAGCCCCCCAAAGGAAGAGTGGGGAATGCAAACTTCCAAATGTGCCACTAAACGTCACCAGGTTACAAGCACTCTCTGAAATATCTCAACCTTCTTTATGTCCTCACATCTTCACCAGGGAAGGCTCTTCAATTCACGAAAGAATTTCGAGTGGGCAAAACATTCTAAGGATCCCATGAATTATGTTATCCCACAGAAGACCCCCAATCAACACAGACCCCAAGATGATACTCTATCCTAGCATCCACATCTATGTTTATTTTGAAATGTAATAGTTGACCATTCACTGGTGTTGCATGCAAGATTTGGATTACAAATTACAACTACAATTGACTTCTGGTGGTGCAGTCAGCAGTAATCTGGGGTCACTGCAGTTGCAGTTTTACATTTGCAAAACACGAAACTACCTGTATATGCAGTGCTCAGCATAACATGTCCAACCAAGACATAAAGTCTTCCCCATTTTGAAAATGTATTTTTATCATTTTTTTGTGAATATAGGCAATGTCTTTTGGTGCATTTAAACAAAACAGATTCATTAAACATATATTTATTAAAATAATATTTTAGTCATCAAACATACTGAGAAATTGAAAGATAATACAATTCAATTCAAACAGAAAATAAAAAATAAAAAATTAGAATTACAACCTACAAAATTTCAACACATTTTTTTTTGCTTTTCTTGATTTTCCCTCTTTTAAATTGGCATTTTATATTTTTCAATAACATATACAGTTGAAGTCAAAATTATGAGCCCCCCTGAATTATTAACGCCCCTGTTCCCCCCCCCCCCCCCAATTTCTGTTTAACGGAGGGAAGATTGTTTCAGCACATTTCTAAACATAATAGTTTTAATAACTCATTTCTAATACCTGATTTATTTTATCTTTGCCATGATGACAGTGCTCATGCTACGTCAAGTAAAATAATGACTTTATATTATTTGTTATTTATTAATAGTGCTATTAAAGTGATAAGCAGAGCATAGGTGTAGCGGAGACCACCGGTGTCGTTGACAATTGTGGGTTTTGGCGAGAACAGGACATAACTCATTCAAATTAAATAGTTAGGATAGTTGATCTGTGTTTTGGTTCACTGACTGCAGGCAATAATGAGGAGAAAATGACTGAATGATGATTCATAGAGTGAAATCCTCTTTTGACACAAATAGGAATTTGCACGATAAGATTTCATATTTAGTCCTGTGACGGTGCAGAATACAAATTGCTCAAGATTAAAAATAGATATTGAGATGAAAGTGAAATGAAGCTGATAAGTAGAACACAGAGTAGGAAAACAAAAGTGTTACATGATTAAAGGGACAGATCAACTAAAATTCCACCGTTCTTTCTGTTAAATACAAAAGACAATTTAAAGAAGGTTGGAAACTGGTAATCGTTGACTTCCATAGTATGTTTTTTACTACTACTATGGTAACCACTACTATCTTTTGCGTCCAACAGAAAAAGGTTTGCAACCAGTGGTGTAAATAGCGAGTAAATCCTCCCTTAACTATCCCTTTAAAAAACTGATTCATCAAGTTAAAGGGCACCGACTTTACCCCTTTTACAAGATGTTACAAGCCTTTTGTGTCTCCAGAATGTGTCAAAAGTTTAGACGCAAATACCCATCAAATGATTTATTATATAATGTAGAATTTGGCTATTTTGGTGTCTGGTAAGTGTAGCTGTTATTGTAGTCTGTGGCTTTAAATCCAAATGAACTGCTTCTCCCCGCCCACCGCACCCACATGTATGTCTGCTTCTGCTGTGTTACAGTAGATAAACAGCAGTCAGTGATAGAGACAGACACGGATGAAGCTGAAATACAGCCCATTAGTGAAAAATACCAAGTAAGTTAATTTGAAGTATTTGTGGTAAAGTTTATTCAAGCTTTTCTGAAACAATAGCTTCGTTTACATCTATTTTTATGCGCATTTAAGATTAAAAAAAAAAAAAACAGTTGATGGAAATGCCAAGATGCGCATACATTTAAAAAAAATTTTGGTTATGCGCATAAGCGAGTAGAATAAACATTTTTTATTCGATAAGAATAGATGTGCATGAACTGCGATGGAAACACTTTACTGAATAAATTCTAGTATGCACATTAAAATGTGATTTTGTTATAAGAGATCATGTGATGATGAAAATGTGTGTAAATGGATAAACCAGCAAACTGAGCACACTGTAAAACATCTGAAATGTTGATTTGGTCATTTAAAAAAAACACTTTAACCATTTCAGTATTAGAGTTATTATAATTTCAATGACCTCCAGAATCAACAGCGTCTGGGCTCTGCTTCTGACACCTTCAAACACCACCTTGCGTTCACTGTGTCAGGGTTGCCTTCTTAAGTCATTTATTAAATGAAAAAAAAAATTGACGCAGCTTCTCAACCCACAGCAAATTCTATTTTTACTTTTGATATTTGTCGCCAGTTAATCAGGAAGTGACGATTTTGTTCTCTTAGACTCGTTGAATGGAAATGCTTCTTTATTCGCACATCTTTTATGCGATATTCCAATTTTGCACAAGAAGTTAATTCGCATTTTTGGATGTAAACATAGCTAATGAGTCACACAAATGCCATCTACAGTTCACACACACACATAAGCGCATTTACTGACACCATGTGGCCATGGTAATTTTAGCAGTTAAGAATTACATAATGATTTTACTGTCTTTATTACAAACAAGCTGTTTTAGAAAAGTTTTAAACTTAGAAAATTAATTATTGAAGTGCAGATGGTCACCGAGTTGTAACATGTTTTAATCCATTTCTTTGTAAATGAATATTCTGTGGACGTGTATACATGACATTTTAGAAACATGGCACCAGTCAATAATTTCAGAAGGCAGGGAAAACAGCCCTCCTATGTCACGTTGCAGTGGGCCTCAAAATCACTGGGATATGGGTCCTATTTTAGCATTAGGAATTTTTTTTAAAAGAGACTTACTAGGTTTATAGCACTCCAATATGACTGGACGCACTATACATATACACAGTTATGTCCAAAAGTTGATTTTCATCATAGGTGCCCTTTAAAGTAGTGGCCATGCAGCAATCTGAGAAAACTGTACCTAAAGTTTTTTTTTAAAGCTTTCTACACAGTATTTGGTGAGCCTAAAGAAACTAAATGCTTTAAACTTTCATCTTTTAAGTGACTAAAACTGAATAACAATTTTAAGGGATTGTACACAACATGACTCATCGTCATGAGAAAGATGCATGATCACTATTGGGCTTCCACCAAAAAAAGAAAAAAAAAAGAAAAAGAAAACAGCAGTAAAAACCTGCTTTGCCTGTGGGCTCAGTTACAGACAAACAGAGAGTCTTGTGACAGACACGGAAATACAGGACAAAGTAAAAAAAAAGTTTATTTACAAATTCTCACACTTTGACAAAAACAGCCCGATTTCTTTTTTTGGGGTTGTGGATATTTATGGCCTTTCCACAAAAAAGCAGTAGTTACAAACCACAAATTTGCTGTTTCCACGTAGAGACAAAAACTAAAGCTATTTTACAATTTCACTGTTTTTACAAGAGTGGAAACATCTTTTTATGCTTTGAGAAATTATTTAAATACCCGAGACACGAATGATGGAACGGTTTTATGCAGACTGATTCATACAGCAAAATGTGGATTGAGCTGGATTTCGTTCGCACTGTGGTATAGCTACAAAATTAGTAATAGACTTTTATCCACACAAATAAAATTCATTCTTGTATATGGGCTGATGCATGAAAGCATACTTCTGAAAAGATTTGTATCTATGCAGCCACTCAGTATGAACTAAAAAACTGAAACGCTTTGTACCGAGTACAGTACTGACAGTCATTTCAAGCAGGACCGGGTCATTGACCACTGGGAGTTTGACAGCTCCCATCTGGCCCCAGTTAAATGGGGAACTTCCTTCAGCAGTCACCAGATTGCAGCTCCTATACTTGTGGTAGGAAAGTTTGATGCCCACAGCCATGGGAAGCCCGGAAAAACAATTGATTTTCTCATGGTGCGCCTGCCAGATGTGAAGATCCTAGAAGGCATAGCGTGTTCGGATGTCTTCCAGTTTCTTTGACACTTCTGGAGGTGTACGGTCCAACTCCTCAGAGACACTCTTCTGCTTATGAGGATCCATAGAGTTAAACTGCTCACACAGGTCTCCGTCAATCACATTCTGGAAACACACAGAGATGGATACAGTCATTCAGAAAAATTACCAACTTATGCTATAAGTGACTCAGAGTTATGGCACATTGGTAAAAATGTCTTTTAAAGGATACTACATTTATGTAGCATTCATGTGCTATGAAACTCTGATAATTCTGCACTGTACATTTCTTTTGCTGACTTAATGTTTTTGTTATATTAAATTATACAAGTTGAAATGACTACAAAAGTTCTATCAAACCGACTAAAATATAAAACTCTTAGTAAAAAGGTTAAGTAAAACCTAAATGTAGTTGAAACCCGATTAACTTTAAGTTAAAGTAACAAAAACAGTTGTAGTCATGACTGTCATATCATTTACCATGTTTTTAATTGGGCATGACATAAACATTGAAATGTTCTTATTTAGACGACACTTATCCAAAGCGAATTATAAATGAGGATAAAAGAAGTTAATTTAATACACAAAACAGAATAAAAACAACCAGAATATATATAGTAGTTGAGCTGTTTTATTATTATTATTATTAACATTGAGCCCTTGTAACAATGTGTTTGTAGGAAAGTGTCTAGCGCACATAGAGAAGACAAAGAAAAGTTTGTTTCTCTTCAAATTTTCCAAATCACTTTTTGTTGTTTAGGTAATTCTTATATAAAATCATAACCAAAATATGTAAAGAAATGGGTAGGAATAAACCTGGTGTCAGAAAAGCACTTGGGTGGACATGTAAATAGGATTAAAGTCAGGGTTTATATTGTGCCAGAACAAGCTGGATCCGAACCTCTGAAATCTGATCAGGCACCTCATTTTACAGATACCGCTTTGGTATGCCTTTCCTTGTTCTGAATACTGAAAGAAACCCCCCAAAAAATGATGTATAATGTCTGTCAACTTTTAAATTACTTAAATTATTTCTGAGTAAATTTTGAAAATGGAACATATTCCTGATCAATTCTACAAAGTCAGGTGCAAGTGGATCATTTATTAAAAACTAGTTGAACACCAGTTAATATTATACCAGTGTGAAGTGTAACTGTGTGCTGGTTTACCTTGACAGGGAAATAGTATGAGCGGAAGCTGAGATGATCTCGACCACACAGAGGAGGAAACTCTGAGCGCATGTGCATTTCCAAGTGCTGGAAGAAATCGTGATCCTAAAGACAGATGAGACCAACACATTTTATTCTCAATTCAAAAACTTTGCATGACCGCAATTTTAATTATGATAAGCTTGTATTCTGCTAAATATTACAGTGCATTTGATAAGTTAACTGAAGCTGCATATTCTGTTGGGCTGAAGTTAAGCAATTTCCTGAGGCCTTCACCTCTTCTGCTTAAGCGGTTTTAGAAGAGTTGAAACACCACTGAATGCTAACATTATTCCTAAAGGCTGATTTATACTTCTGCGTGAAGCACACGCATATGCTACGGCACAGCCTATGCATTGATGCATAGCCCTATGCCGTGGCCGTCGGCATCACTGACGTGCACCTCTCAAAAAATGCAACTACACATCGTAATGACACGTAGCGCAAGTGATGTGATTGGTCGGTTTGGTAGCGCTGGTGAGTCAGGGCGGGACTGAGAGCTGCGCCAGCCCGATGAAGAGATTGTTTACAAGTGTGGAGTCCCGTAAAGGAGCTGAGGATGGAAAGTTTTGTTTTGTGTTTACCTCATAGTTAAAGTTGTTGCATGTCTGCCGGTTTCTGCCTCAAAATGAGCGAGTTGGAGCCATTTGTACATTCAGGAAGCGTTCAGAAAAAACAAAACACCAGCGAAGAAACTCGACACAGAGAAACATTAACACCTCACTGCCAACTAGCATTTCGGAAGTGTTAATGCAGACCAACAGTGACAGCGAGCAGAGGTATAAATGCACAGCTACGTGCGCTGCATGCGCCGTGGGTTACGCCGGTCACTTGACGCAGAAGTATAAACCAGGCTTAAGTGATGCCTAGCTATTTACTGTTTAAGGAACTGTACCTCATGAGAGGTGAAGGGAACCAGGATGCCAATGCCTCCAGATAGTGTGGTGTACACCAGAGACTCGGATCCTCCAGGGATGAGTGTGGTTTTCTGGAGCGACAGCACAGTCTCTCCTATGTGATAGTTGATGATGATCTCAGCCTGTGATTGGCAGGGAAGAAAAATGTCAACACATGTGGATTAAAATTAAATCATAGTAGTCCATTTAGTTACCCATCACTGGCAAGCAAAAATACTAGTATGAGGAAGTGAGTTGCTTTCTTCAAAAAGTGTTATTAATGGCATAGTTCACCGCAAAACAAATGTTATTCAATATAATATCATATCTGGCCAACAATGATTATTATATATTATTTTAATGCTGATACCTAAAATTACATTTAAAGTTTAAATGGGTATTTAACCCAAAAACAGTTATGCAAAAAGCACTAATATAGCATGGCAGAACCATTCAACCAATCCTAATCATTCAACCATTCTGAATAAAAAAGAAATACATTTTCTCTAGACCCCATTGAAATCCACATTTTTTCCCCTACATTGTATTTTATCCCCAGTAAAATTTATTTTCTGGGCTTTAAATGGTTAAATGATTTTGACAATTGACTTAAATGGTAATTTAAAAAAAAAACTAGGCTTGGTCTAATTCAAGTTACAAAACCTAGAACTTTAACTAGTATACCACTGCATTTATTGCAAACCTCTTTTACAACTATTACATTTCTACTAAGTCTATAAAATGATTCAGCTTTTCAAAATTATGATTTATTCCTGGTAGCCTGAATACAAGAAAGATGTTTAATAGTTCCACAACCTTACCAATGGTATTTAATTACAACTACCACTTTATGAAAATTATTGCATTATACAGTACAAATAGGCCTGTATTTTAGATACAAACTCTTAGTTAAACTAAACATTATGGCGAGTTGTTTTGAAAACTTTCTTAGATACGACAATAAAAAAGATCCTGAAGTGACACTGGAGACGCTGCCCTCAAGACACTAGCATCAATGCTTAAGTATGTGTGTAGCAAATGGATTTTGCAGTCATATCTAAGAAAGTCTTTGTGTGTGTGGTGTAAAACAGAATTAGATAAACAGTATTACACACAGATAACCCCTACTTGTTACTTTGTGCAAATCTTATGCAAACACTTTTAAAAGCAATAAACATGACTCATTGTAATGCCTGAAAATAGCTTTCATATAACTAAAACCCAAAGAGAAACTTACAAGATATGCTCTTTAAAGGACAAGTGTGCTTAAAAAGAGCATCCTAATTTATCTTAATTTTATCTGATACCGAACAGGTGGAAATGACACTAATATCAGTGATCAGCTAACTAATATCAGTTGATAACGGATCTGCTTATGATACACTTTGCACCCCTAGGCAGGTTCCACAATATGTTTAGTCCACCACAATCCTGATTACACATGCTTTAGGCATGTCCGTCAGAGCTAGACGCAAGTCATTGGTGTGCAAATAGGGACTTTCCCTTGTTTCCACCTAAACATTTCCATGCTACTAATCTGCACATAATGATCTCTGGCGAGAGGACAAGATTTGCTGCTGAGGTTTCAGAACCAGAAGCGGAGAGTGGACGCAAGCCAAATGTTCTGGGGTGCAAGTCTGAGTGTGAGCAAGGAGAACAGCAACCGCAAAACCAACCAGACAGACAAAAACAATGCAGGAACAAGTGGTTAGGACAGCTCAGTGCCAAAGGTCAGTTTCCGGGACCTGTGGGAAATGAGAAATTGAGGGTAGTAGAAAACGTATACCTTTTGTGAAGCTCCGTTAAGCAAGCCTCTGTCCCACAATGCTTTGTTCCCTGTGGGGTCCTCATCAACATCATCGCTGGTGTTTGGGGGAAGGCGAACCTAATAAAGATTTAGCATACATTTAGCATGCCACTTTCATTCTCAAACGCATTTACTAAAAAATAAAATGTTTAAATGTAATTATTTACAGGGGAATATTTTTTACGTTTGTTTTGGTCATATTGGCTTGACAAACAGACTATAGAGCACACTGGTCTCAAAGGTTTCAAAACAAAGCAGGTGGCGACACTCACAACGCAGATATTTCCAAACTTATCCGCTGAAGCCATTGTGTCATAATCAAGCAGACAGGCAGTGGTGATCCACCGAGGATAAGTATCGTCAGCAAAGATGATGAGTTGGTTCTCATTGCGGCGATAGCGCACCCAGAACAGACTCTCCTGAACATCTGAAACAATCACACGCTGGCCGATAGTGTGGATGCCTGTCACTAAATTAGGAACATGCTGCAAGAACAAGAAAGAGGTTTTGGTCAACATGGCTCAGCAGGTTGTTCCTCTATTCAAACATAAAAATAGTCACAAAAAGAACTTTGTGTTGGTTTGTTTTTTTCCATTTTGTGTTTATTTTATCAAATATGCTTAGTCTTCATGGTACATACCTGTTCAGGTCACTTATGATGGATCAAAATTTCACACAAAACTTAAAATATATTTAAAGTGTTCAGAGCAGGTGTGTTTAATTAGGGTTGGAACTAAACTGTGCAGAGCTGCGGCCCTTTTGGAACTGAGTTTGAAACCTGTGGTTCAGAGGGTATATTATAAGGTTTGGAGGAAAAAATACAAGCATTTAAAAAAAAAATTCTGACCAAACCAACTGCATTCACTCTGACTTGGCCAGAAAATGCACACAAGTTGTAAGAAATCAAAAAAAGAAGATTTGTAAAACTTTTCTTGGTATAGTAACAAAGCTAGAAACTCCAGTATATTATTTAAGTATTATTTTAAAAAAATACACAAATGACACATACTTTTAAGGAAATCTACATAGTGTTTCAAGTTTTTTACTAAACCCTGTTATATACCTATAAAACATTTGAAAAATACATGTATTGTATGAATTTTTTTTTGGATACTCAAAAGCTTTTTTTTTTTTTACAGCTTAACAATGGTTGCCATTCACTACCATTATATGGACAAGCACAACATATTTCTTTTTAACATCTAAAAATGAAGGGCATGTTTGGAACAACAGCAGGATGAGTAAATGATGACAAATTGTTATGTTTAAACTACACATTTAAACAAATCAGTCAGCTTTAACTTAAACATGTACAGTAAAGTCTCCAGCAAATAATGACTGCCAAACATTGTGGTCTGAACTTCTGTTTCAATGTTTTTCATGTGGTTATGCATCAACACCAAGCTGAAGAGTTGTGCGTCATAGACGTTACCCTCACATTATTCAATTCTCAAAGAAAAAAAAGAAAAAGAAAAAAAAAAAAAAAAAAAAAAAAACTTACTTCCTCTGAAAAAGAAGTGATCCTCTAAAAGTGACTTCTCACCTTGTTTTCACACTTGCGGAGAAGTTTTTTCTTTCCCAAATCATAGATGCGCAAGAGCTTGCCCACTCCAACCAAAACCCGTCCCTGAAATGGAGCAATAGCCAGGGGCACGTCCTCCACAGGGGTCTGTCAACAACAAATCAAAATGATTCATTTTCAAATGCATCACTTCAGACTTAAATGAGAAAAAGTACCTTTTAAACATGTGTCTTTGATACACAGCATGGACAAAGCATCATTAAACTGGACCATAAACATTAATACAAGGCATTTTGGGGCATGGCCAGGACAAAAAACGTGGTAAAGTGGTTTAATTCTGTAATTTGCTATGCTTAAACTGTGCATTTAATGATTTGTGGGAAATTCCACATTCCAGAGCCCCCATCGTGCACATGGGACCAATCAGTTTGATGCAAAGTAATTTCCTGTTCCACTCACCTTGTGCAAAAACTCCAGCTTGTCCCCACCTCCAACTATCCGATAGGTATAAATATATCCTCCGCCAACAGAGCGTGGATTGAGTATCATATCTCTTGCAACACCCACCAACACGTACCAGTCATCTCCTCCATTCAGAAAGCGGCAAATAGCCACACTGCAAGAGACACGCAAAGAGGAACTAAGATCAGAAAAAGATGAACTTAACTGTTAATGTGTTGCAAATCTAAACATGTGGTATGGCTGCACAATATTTTGTTTCAGCATCCATATTGCAATGTGTGTATCTGCAATAGCCACATCGCAGGATGTTCAATGCTCAGTTGGGATTATAATTAAGGTGCATAGTTCAGAACAAGTGATATGTGAAGTTTAAAATAAGAGTGAAAGTTGATTATTTTCATGTGTCTTTAAAGGTTCACGAAACCCTCGAGTACTTTTTTTGAGATTGTAACAGACTTGTGTGTGTTGAGCAAAAATTAAGACAATGTTAGCACCTGTTAGCTGTAATTGTGGGGAAAACTGGATAATTTTGAGCTTTTGTAAGCTAATTTCAGCTTCCGGGTTTAAAATGATTTTTGGGTTGGGATCAAAATCAGTGACGTAGGACAAAACTGCAAGAGAAAAGATGGTTTGAAAAGATAAGTCGGTTTCTCATTATTATTCATAGCAGGGTTTTCTTATCCTATGAGAACAGTCTGCTCCTTAATTACTCATGACTGCACATGCCTTCCGAAGGCTAGACAGAGCTGCCAGCGCCAAGCTGTGAGACACAGACCCACTGCACACAGTATTTAGCCATTCATATATGTTTGTTTCGATGATCCACGGAGTTTGTTGCATGTTTTTCCCTGCAATCCTGTCAGGGCCGATACAGCAAAGCTGTTTGTGTGCAGCAAGCATTTTTGTCGGGAGAGCAGTATGAGAATTGGAGAATGGCAGACGTTGTTTGTTCACATTTAGAACAAGTTTGTTCAAAGTTTTAGGAGTTTGTTCACATTTAGACACATCGCCGTCCTGCTGTTTGCCTTTAGACAGGGCAAGTGTCTCATTTTGTGAGCTAACTGACAACAGTTGTTCGCTCCCCTCCTTCTCCCCTGCTGGACACGCCCACTCCTGCCCTTTGCTCATGGAGCTCAACGCCCATTATTATGCATCTTTTGAAAAAATTCTGAGGTAGACCTGAACCAAAAGTGGGGGGTGTCATGGCCCTTGAAAGCCTGTGACAGAGCATTTTTAAAATTTAAAGTATTCAGGCACAATATATTGTACAATTTGTAATTTATTGTGAATTTGATTAAAATATTTATACAATGAAGACTTTGAAGTGTTATGTTTCATTGTTATTCAATTTCTGCACCATTCAATTTCTGAATACAGAGTCCTCGGAAACCCATGTTTATTTTACTTTTCTTTTGCTCTACTGTATTTTCTCTATGAGCTTGTAATTTGTTTATTATAATTTATGCATGATTCACTGTCCTATATAATCATCCCAATCAAAGTATATGAATAATCTTTTCAAACAATTCTAATCAAGTCATCTGGTGATCCTATTCATATTGCAACATATGTCGCAAAAACAAAGACAGATTTTACCAAGTGTGCAGCCCTAATTTGTGTTCAGAACTTTGATTTTTTTTTTTCCGAATTCAAATGCAAATTGTATACACACCCACTGTACCCATGTTGTGCCCTTTAACTCATAATTCAGCCTTCTCACCTGAAAGCTGCCTCATTCTGCTCCAGCTGCACCAGGTCCAATGTGTTGCCCTGGATGGGGTTGATCAAGCGTACAAGTGAGGCCCATTGCCCAGAGCCTGCTTTAGGTGCCCCAAAGATGGCTTCTGGCAGATTCTCATTCAAGAAAGCTGCTGCCATTTCTGCTGCCAGCTCCCTTTCATCCTCTCCTGCTGCCTCCACCATTTCCTGTAGAGCAGAGATAGAATTTTACATTTCATAATAAACTATACAGACAGCGTGTACACTAATGCTGAATACTTTCCAACTTTCACTCACACACAAGAAGGTAAGCAGTTCTAAAGTGACAGATTCTGTCAGATAGTTTTGATGACAAACGGTTCAACAGCAGCTAGAACTGCTCATCAGTAAAGCACTGAATAGGTAAGGATCTGTATCACTGTATACAGCGTCCTGACCTTTAAGAGAATTTGGACTTTAAGACAGCTGTAGTCAGTGAATCTTAGATCAAGAATAGCAGCAATTAGCATCAGATACTAGATGTCCTGTAGGAGACTAGTAAAGATTAGGGGTCTAATGGAAAATGTATTCATTCTGAGCCATCATGATACAGGGTCACAGTTTGGGTCAGATTATTGACATCCTGTGAGAGTCTAGTTCTTGTCACTTGTCTTGATCTGTGGAAGACTAGTCATGTCCTGTGGTTGAAGATGCCGTGAAGTCTTCACACCAAGGGCAGAACATTTCCTACTTCTTTTTAACAGCTGTAACTTTCAGAAATGTCTGTCATCTTTCTGCACTCCTGCTTATAATATATCCAGCTGCAGAATATGATATTATTATTCCCAAGTCACATCGCAGGATATTGAGTTTGTATTAAAACTTCGAATTTGCATGCGTTTTTTGATACCTGTGATTGTATAATGATTTTAAAAGCATTCATAAATAGTTCCATTTGTGACTTCATAAACGATTAATTATATTATTTTTATCGTTCAGTTACTGTACTTGAAAACAGTTACACTCGGAAAACGATAAAACACTTTTCAATCTTTTTCTTGATTGTATTTAAAGATTATTTAAAAATTCTTACCAAATCGAGATATTAAGTATTCTGGTGAAATTGTATTCATATGACAATATACAATCAAAAAATATATCACAATGTTAGATTTTGCCAATATTGTGCAGCCCTACTCCTGCTCTTATTTTGATCACTGCATCTTTCACAGAATAATAAGCTTTGCATTATCTGATAGCACCACAACTAAAACTCCTACCAATTTGCAATCAATAACACCATTTATAAACACTTTTTCCTTTAAAATGTTTTCCAATTTTGGTCTCCACTGTAAAACCTGGAAACATTCTTCAGGCATTTAGTACTGTTCGGACACAAGTGTTCACAAGCTCAGGTTTAGGTCACAGAGTTTGAATTTCTCCAACCAATTCTGTGGGTTTTTAGAGGTCAGAAAAGTTCTTCCACACCAGAACCACTAAATTATTTTGTGCACCAGGGCATTGTCATGCAGGAAAAAACATGACATGCGATGGTGCCACAAAATTGGAAGCACAAAACGGTCCAGAATTGCATTGTATGTAGCAGCATTATAATATTTTTTCACTGCAAAGAGCCAAACCAAGACCCTTAATTATAAAGGGCCATCCACAAACGTTTGGCCACACAGTGTATACAAGAATCTTTTTGAGACAATATGCAGTTAAACAAGAGAACGTTATGTTAAGCAATATGCTCAGGAGCAGTCATTTTACAGGGCAGTAGCCGACTGTTTATTTGACTTGAGCAGACTACTAGATACACTTAAACTTCAGCTGTACTACATCAATATGATTTAACTGTGAGGGACCACCACAAAAACCACGACCTGTATATTTCACAGCACTTGTCATTTTTACGGCTCGTCAACATGGAATTACCCTTGCAAACATGTGCCATGATGAGGCAGCCGCAGAAGACATGACGGAGAACTTCGGACAAGAAAGTAATGAAATTCCTTCTCAGTCTGTGATTAGATTGGGAAAATTAGTGCATGAGTCAGGCAGGAGAGAAAGAGGAAACGACAGACTGAGATAAGGCAAAATTCCAGAGGAGATAGACAACAAAAGCGCTTTTTTTTTTTTTTGGTGAACACTGCCCTGTGAAGTCCAGTCTCACTGACCTCAGCCATCTGCTGCTTGCGCTGGGCTTTGGTGGCTTCAGTGTAGGCATTGTGGTCGGTTTCGATCAGGATCAGGTTGTTGGTCTCTGGGTGGATGACAAACTTGCGAGGCGTGTACTGCAGTGGGAAAGCAACCTGGTTGAAGACGGCACCCAGTTTCTCAAGAGCCAAAATCCTGAGAAAGTGACAGATGAGAGGAATGATTGGCATGCAGGAGTATGATTAAACATTATGGAACAGATTAATTATTAAAGCACGGAAGCAAAAACCTCCCATTTCCTGGCTTCAATATTAAAATCCCACCCAATATTTTGTTTCATAAACCGAATCACTTTGATAGAAAAAAAAAAACAAGAGATCTCAAACTACAAAAGGAATGACTAACGCAGAGTTTCAAAACAATCATAAAATGTATCCCTAATTTTACAGCAATATAAAACTTTATTTAGATCAATTCATGACTAAACAAAGCTATTCTGTCCAAAAAAAAGGTGCCAAGCGGCAGCTGGCCAGTAACAACATTGAGGGAAGAGAGGCCCACACTTATGGAAGTTAACCACCCTCAAAATAAAGTCAACATTTACTCACCAAAATGTTAAGTAGAGCTCATATTTTATGCCAAAATGTAAATAAAAGGAAGTGAAAGATTTTCAGTTAGATTTTACAATAAGGTTGAATGCCTTTGATTAAAATATGCAATGCTGAACTAAGCCTAAGTTTACCATTAGTTCACATTAAATAATCCATTAACCAATACATAATTATATGATTAGTTAACAAAGATTAAGTAACGAGTAACAGTGTTGTTCATTTTTAATTCATGATATCTAATGGATAAACTAACACAACCATATGTAGTGATACCAAAGTTTATACATTCAAGAACATTTATTTTATATTGCGGGTCAGGGAAAAAAAGTACAAATATTACTTTAACATCTACTAGAAAAAACTTAAAGGGTCACGAAACACCAAAACACATTTTTTGAGCTGTTGACAGTCGTATATGTGTCCCACACTGCTAAAAACACTATTAGGACACCTATATTTCACTAAAAAGTGTAAATTGGTTGTTTTTGCGTTATTTCAAGCAAATTCGTACTTCCCGTTTGAAACCAATTTTTGAAGCTGCGTCACGGTCATGACATAATAGCCTTGTATTCCATCGTGCAGACTGGACGCCTGTGCCAGAGTGAGTCTTATTACGTCTTACAGTGTGATGTATTAATGCATGAGTAAGGCTTGGTTCAAACCAATCAGCGCGCTCTATTGTGCAACTTCATTAATATTCATTATTGTCAGAGTGTAGACGACAGAGACGCCACGTTGTGTTGGCAAAACAAGCGTGAAGTGTTGCTTTTATAGTTTGCTGCCATTAAGTTTCGTTTTCATTTTCTCTCTGTGAGAGCTCATCTGGATCACGTGTGGATTAACAGTGTACGCGATGCTCGACAACAATAACTTGCGTGTCTAAGGAGGATTATTGTTTACCTGAGAGCTGTTCTCATCTCCAAACGCTAAGATCTGGATTCGCTTGTAGTCTCCTCTTAATAAAGATGCGGCTCTAGTTGCTGGTGATTGTCCTGTCTCTACAGATTTGGTAAGTGAGCAGTGCTCTTTGTTTATTCAGTTTGTTCGTATCGAACTAAGTTAACTATTGCACTGAGTGTAAACATGTTAGCACCGCATTTAGTGACCGGAATAACACACGCGGCTTTCTGACGCTACCTGCCGTGTGCAGTTTTTTTCTCTCATTCGCCGTGCGGTATCAAACATTGCATGAAAAATACACGCTTAGAGCAGATCCTCGAGTCAAATATCTCGTTTGTCGCGAGGGGCATGAATGAATTCCCTAAATGAAAGAGCCAAACTGCAGTTAAAGTCCACCATTTAATAATTTGGCAAATAATTCGACTACAGATGTCCATGTAGGTTAAACAACATCACTTTCTCCTGTGTGTATTTTGACTGAAACTCGCGCGTGCCCAAATAGACACTCCCACACCCTCCCACTTTAGTTCCTCCGACACTCCCCCTTAAACAGAGCTGGACACGCCCACTTTTCTGACTTTTCCCAAAGTAGAGGTGTGAAAACACCCTGCTGAAACGAGGGGGTTTCATGGCCTTTTAAAATAATATGCTAGACAGTAAATGGTCCTAAAACTATGAAGCTTCACAAAGTTAAATCATGTACTATTCGCTAGGGCTGCATTATTCTGGCTAAAATGAGAATCACAATTTTTTGCTGAAAATAAAAATCACAATTTTCTCACGATTCTATAAATGTAAAATAAAGGGTAATAGGAGTAGGCTATCATTATTGTTCTCTCAAATATATGATAAACAACAATAATAATATAAGGCTCATGTGTATGTCTACTGTTGGTTAAAGCGCTAAATTTTGTATAGACTTGGAATGGTGGACTTGAATAGACTTTGAATTTGTCCTGGTCATTAATGCACAGTAAAGTGATGACATCAGAACACAAATATTGAGAATTCTAAAGTTGAATTATTGTGTTTCACACATATGCTTGCAATCTGTCATTGACAACATTATTAATACATTTTTTTTTTCGCTGGTAAAAGGAAACCTGTCATTATCAGATTTAACGCTTGCATTATATTTAACATTATACAGGCTAGAGCAGTTATACTGACACTGCTACACATTTATTAATTGCAAAACACTCTAGGTTCGGTTTCACTTTTACTGCTTAGTTTGGTTTATGTCGCGACTGCTGGTACTTTGAGAAAAAAAACAAAACATGCAAATCATACTTCTCACATGGCTCCCGAACAATAGCTCAGTGCAACAAGCTAAACATTAATTTAGAACTTTATTTCCTGTTATTCACATCCTATGCAGGTTCTGTTCACTAGAGTAAACTTTATTAGCTGATGCACGCATCCTCTCTGGTGAACGCAGAGTTCACAGTCTGCCCACGTGTGATTTCACGGCCTCTAATACACCATTACATGAGGACAGAAATTACATTTTTAGGTGAATTATTCTTTATAAATACAGTCAGACGTTTTTTAACATCATTTGAAGGTGTCTGTGTTGCTGAGCAATGTACATAAAAAGAAGTGAAGTTTTGTGCGACCACTTTTAGCTTCTCTCCTGACCTTGAAAATATAATTGGCTAAATAATAGAAATGCTGGATTAAGATTGTGAGTAGTGTCGATTCGAGATCCGTTTCAATTAATCTTGCAGCGCTACTATGCACACAGTATGAGTTGGTGTTTACCTCAGTGTGTTGGTGGAAATGGCAACGATACCCTCAGGACACTGCTCTGAAGCAAAGCCTGAAGCATACTCCAAGGTTTCATATGACAGTGGCGTCAAGTGGAATCGAGACTGGTATGAGTAACTCAGCCAGGAACGACTGGACATGGCCAGAACCTACAGAGTTAAAGGGTGCATTTTAAGATCTAACATTTTGTAGACTGTGGGACGCTGCTGTAGATATTACACAGAGATGTGACTCACAGCTTCTTGGCCCTGCATCCGGACTCTAAAAAGCTTGACAGGACGAGAGCCGAGATACCGAGTTCGAGTATCAGACAGGTCCCCAGTTACTGGATCCAACACAGTACGCAATAACACTCCGTTCTAAAAAACAAAGAGGTGATTATGGTTAGTAAGCAGCAATGGAATGTACAGGAAAGTCATGTCACTCAGTAACAGGAAAAGACTAGCTATTTAATGGCCTTGTTCCAAATGATAAGTGATCTTGTGATGTTAACAGTGATCAAGCAAAACCTGCAATGTTAAGGCTTTGAAGAGATGCTTAGAAGTATGTTTTCAATTAAATTTATATTGAAGTAACTGAAGCAGTGACCACATGTTCAGTTTAAGTTCAAAGTATATTTTATCTTTAAGCTAATGTGCAGTTAAATGCACAAACTTGCAAAATTTATTCAGTTTGACCGTATACACGTTTATATGCTTACTGGTTGAGAAAACGGTTCTACAATGTTTGAGATTTTCAAAACGCATTGCTATTTAAGCAATTGTGAGCATACTTCAACAGCAGCTAGTGCTGTAGGCTAGTTTTAATCATACTAGTGATGGAAAATTCAGATCATTTTACTGACTCAAATCTTATGAGTCTTGTTTATCGAGATGAACAAATCTTTTGAGTCATTCAGTTCAAAATGCTAAAACATTATTAAAATGTTAATTGCTTCCAAATCCCACATATTCAACGAGCTAAAACATTAATTACACTACAAACATGTCCTAACTAGAATGCTATAAAAAAGACACAATTATTTATTGTTTATCTGGGTCTTTTGTCTATGATTGACTATAATTAAGTTCACCTCTTCTGACATGTCTTTAAATTGGGTCGTTCCTTCACATAACACTGACAGTCCCAAATAAGTTTACCAATGCACAGTCAAAAGGACCCATAGTTAGTTCAACTTTTGAGTCTTCAGGTTGAGTTGTTAATTATTTGACAGCATGTAATATGATGACTTAAAACAGAGAACTCAAGAAATAAATGGAAAACAAATAAATGGATCAAATCTTTTTGCAGCTCTGACAGCATTTGATTAGCTTGTTTTTCACAAGACGAATAAACAACTTAAAGACTTGAAAAAAGAAATAATCATATAACCCACCTGCACAACTGTGTGCATGCAAAAATAAACAAATCACTCCCGGAGAGGACTTATCGCTCTCACGTCGCATAAAAGATTTTTTCAAAATTAACGAATCATTCGAGAATGACCCATCACTAAACACTCATAAGACAGAGTGATTGTGCATTTAGCAGAGTCATGAAAGTTGGTTATGTCATAAGATTAACGTAAGCAGCTCATTATGAACACTTGTAAATTAAGGTAAATTTTTCCTAATTTTAATAATAATTATTTCACGATCAAGTGGTATTTGTGGGGAATTTAAATGCATGCAAAGCATCGACCACAATCTGCTGTTAAAAAGTAAACTCAATCAATTCAAGAAATTATAGCGATGCTCCATTTAAAAAAGATGCAATGTCAAACTATTTTTCACCAAAGCTGTAGTCATGTCTGTTTTCAGTGCTGCCATCTTGTGGTCAAACTAAGTCATGCAAAATCATAGCGTGTGCATGTTGTTCTGATGATGATGATTCACGCCATTCCCACTGCACACGGGCTCTCACACTTTACAAAGATCAGATCGTAAAATAAAAAGGCTCAATATTCTTATCCAATAGTTGTTGAATTTAAATAGATCTAAAACCAAACTGGCAGTCATTTGCAAGAAGGTTTCTTACCTGCAGGCCAATATTAAGGTACAAGAAGCCAATGGTGCCCTTTTCTCCCAGCTCATCCTGTTTTTCCACTCCACCCATCTCCACAATACAAAGAGACTCTGGCTGGGCTGGAAGAGCCTGCATACTTAATGGCTGCAAACAGTCCTGTGCAACAAAGACATTACACACTTGACACAATGGACCATTAAAGAACGCGTTTAGTGGGCACAGTGACTGAAGTCCTTGTTTGATACCCAAATCAGCTGACAAATGCAAGAAGAGCATATTGTTGCTTACGGATGGATCCAGAGAGATGATGCGGACGGTATTGTCCACCAAACCAACAGCCAGGAAACGGGAACGCTGCTCACCAGGGGGCACATTTGCCAAACTCATGCACACAACATCAGCAGACATCTCCTTCCTCTCTGTGTATTCATTCAGCTGTCCAGACTGTCAGGATAAAGACAAATATTGAGGAAAAAATCTAATTTTCACACAAAATATATCATCAAATATAAAAATTCAACAAACAATGCAAGATCATCAACATACCGGATCCATCTCAAAGTAGACCAGTTCTCCGCCAGTCAAAGCAATCACCACCTGTCTCTGATTGACAGCACATCGAATGATTGTTTTCTTTCCCGGAGTCTTCCACTCATTCACTCTTTTATCCGCGCGGATGTGACGGATTCCATCAGGGTACACCTGATACAAACAAATCAAACAAAAATGTTATTTGCATAAGTGTTTTTTCTATTCTTGTTAGGGAGAAGAATAAAAAATGAAAAAGCTTAACAAACAACAACAACAGAATTCAATTGCATATTGTGCTAAAATGTAGGTCAGAGAGACATCGCTCACTTGAACAAGTGCATCTTCCCCGAGCAACGAGCAGGACAGGGTGGGTGTTGTTCCCAAGAAACCAGAATCTGTCACTTCCTCCACAGTCTCACCAATCGAAAGTACCAGGGTGGCATTGACGAAGGACACAATGATGTAGGCATCAAACTCATCTGTGAACAATAAAACCACAATGCTTAAATGGTTCTTTGGTTGGAAACCAGTGCAGCATATTAGCTCATATGAAACCATAGCAGCAAACAAAACAAATTATGTATACATACACTACATGACAAAAGTCTTGTCATCTATCTATAATAACTTCACTTAAAGTTGATCATTTAATATCAGAAGTGGCTAATGTGAAAGGTAAAGGCCTCTAGATAATAGTTATTTTAGCAAAATAAAATATGATCATGCCTTAATTTTAAAATTATTTAATTAGGACAGTAAGGTCTGACTTTGCTAAGACAAAGGTCTTGTCACTTGACATAAATAAATGTACAGTATAGAATAAAAAGTCATGGTGCAGTTGAAAAAGAATTATTATTGTGTCCTATGAGCTTGGAAAACTGCATCCATACATCTCTGCAATGACTCAAATAACTTATTAATAAAGTCATCTGGAATGGCAAAGAAAGGGTTCTTGCAGGACTCCCAGAGTTCATCAAGATTCTTTGGAATCATCTTTAATGCCTCCTCCATATTACACTCGACATGCTCAATAATGTTCATATATCTGGTGACTGGGCTGGCCAATCCTGGGGCACTTTGACCTTCTTTGCTTTCAGGAACTTTGATGTGGAGGCTGAAGTATAAGGAGGAGCGCTATCCTGCTGAAGAGTTTGCCCTCTCCTGTGGTTTGTAATATAATGGGCAGCACATATGTCTTGATACCTCAGACTGTTGATGTTGCTATCCACTCTCTCACATCTTCTCTCACACGCCCCCATACTGAATATAACCCCAAACCATGATTTTTACATCACATAACTCCATGTGGATTCCAATAGGTCTTCTGTAGTATTTGGGATGCAGTTCAACAGATGATTTATTGGAAAAAGCTGCCACTTTTCCAAATGATTCACTACAGGTTAAGTTTTTTATTTGTTGTTCTTAAATTTGTAATTGATTGACAACAAGACTTTTGTCAGGCAGTGAGTGAACAAGGCTCTGTTGAGAATGAAAACGTAACTTAATATTCGCTTGCTTCTCACAGACTGAAGTCAAAATGAAACTGATGCTATCAGACACTGGTACACAGACCACAAAATAAACTTTGCAAAGCTCAAGCTGCGTGCAGAGGCCAAAATCTAACAGCAAAAATCACATGATTTCAGAGAAATGTCTGGCAGTGACAGTTCCTGAGAGCCCAGCTTACACCTTGCCTGCCAAGCAAATACCAGCTGAAGCCGTTGATTCAGTAAAAAAAAAAAATGAATTGCTATGCAACCGCTACACATGAGAGCTTGCTGAAAACATAGTTTGTTTTTCAATAATGCATGAAAACTCTAACTTAGTTCAAAGGATATCTCAAACAAAATGTTAAATGATTCTCCATTTACTGCTTCACATACTGCTTGTCGAGTGCAAAATATGATATCTAGAGAGAAATAACTAAACTAAAAGAAAAAAAAATTGATAGCCCTTGACATCCATAGCAGGAAAAACAAAAACAGGTCAATGGCAAATAGTTTCCAACATTATTCAAAAATTATTTGCCGTTATACACAGAAATGAAGCCGGTTTAGAACATGAGGAGGGCAAGTTAATGATGACATGTTATTTATGAGAGAACCATGACTGAGTTTAAAATTGTATATTTCCATACTATTTAGAACACTAAAAACAGTATGCAAGAAGTAGCATTTCTGAATTCATGATATTCAAAAAAAAACATTAAGCATGAACTACCCGGACGCCCTACTATTCCCAGCAAGATTATGAAATTCGCATTCAATGGAGGTGCTATCCTATAATGCAATGCGAGAGAATTCATGAATGGGAGTGACGCAACAGACACAGGTAGGTCAAGTGATAATGACAAAAAGCAAATGTAGCACATCAAAATTTCATTCATACCACTCACATTCATAATATATAGAACATACTTTTCTAATGGCCCTGTAGTAACTTCAAATTCAAATGTAGTACCTACTGAACTAGTTTGCAAATTTGCACGCAGCTAGTGTCTTTAGCACCTTACAAAGATTTAAAGATTTGGAAAGCTCAACAAAAACACTTTCTTTGGTGAGTGCATGAAGATCAGATATCACAAATCTCTCTTCACTAAACAATCAGAGAAGAGACATGAAGATATTCATCATTTCTGGCACAACCAAAACATCACTCCAACTGTTCCACATCTAATATGAGGAATAGTATATGTAGTAAAACTTTAACCCTTTATTGAGCGAAAAACAACAAATAGTAACTTTGTTGACATTTTTTACAGTGTGCAAGTATATTAGTTATATGGTTTGTGTTTATGCTAGTTTTACATGAACATTTACCTTCAACATGTCTTCTGACGGTCCACACAGCATTGGGGTTACCAGGGAGTTCTGAAACAGCCATTTCCGACACCTTAAAAAAAAAAAAAAAAAAAAAAAAAACAGTACCATTTAACACATCAATATATTAATAGTCTCTGGAAAACCTAGAATAAGAAGTGTAAAACCGCAGAAGCTGCAGAGGATGCTGTGGGTGTCACATTTCCATTTTGCAACCCTGCCTGAAAAATGCAATTCCAAGCAACACAAACCTCCAGTCCGTGTCTCAAAACCCTCAATGTAGATCTGGGTCCTCTGCCACACGCCACATACAGCTGCGGGGTGTCTTCATTAGCCAAATCGGCAATCTGCAATAAAAACGTAAATAATAAACAATAATAATAACAACAACAACAACCGAACACTGCTTTCAGGGGGGCTACATTATGTAAGATACTCAAGAAATGTTAAAAGCAGAAAAGGAGGGGAAAATTCTAAAGCGTGTACATGCTTGACTACCCATATTTATGACTAAACTGAAGAATTTGGTAACAAGCAGTTCAGTAGTGCATTCATCCAAGTAGTGATTCATTCCCAAACATCTGCTGTCGTATCAAATTATAATCCAGCTTCCCAGCAGTAGTTTTTCACTAATATATAAACATCAGCCTTAATTTATTAAATTAACTGCAAAATACACATTTACAAACCTGGCAGGACATGATGGGTGAAAGACTTTCTTGCTCGTCCACCAGCACTAGGTTTTTAAGGGGACGAGGTTGGAAAAAGAAGGTGTCTCCCTCCTCCAAAGGCATGGCAGAAGAAAACTCTGGTTCTTCATCATCATCACCCAAGTGGGCAATCTGATACAGGTAGCTAACAGAAAAAAACATATTATGGTAACACCTCCAACGCTGCTTAACACACTGTGCAGATTACTAATAAGCTCTGGACTAAACAGAACATGAGAACTATGGGTAAAGTCAGACTACATAGGTTTCAGGTAACTGAAACCACAACTCCCACATTCCTCCCCTTTTTAATCAGCTTCTATCTAAGCTACTTAAAGCACTGAAACTTGGGGAAATGCCATCAAATCAGAAGTATTCCATTAGTCTTAGATGAATGATAGATTATGCAAGATAAGATTTAAAAAAAAAAAAAAAAAAAAAAAAAAAAAAAAAAAAAAAAAAAAAACTTACTGGTTTCCAAACTCTGAAGAAACAAATAAGAATCCAGTCTTCAGAACACACATTGCTGTGGCCACTGGGATGGTGTCAAAATATTTCATTCTAATCTCTGTCACCTAAAAGATGGATAGAAAGTACAAATAGTACTTCATATTATTTCTTCTCATTTTCTTTTTGAAAAAAATAAATCCACAAACACTTTCTTTGATAAGTGCATGAAGATCAGATATCACAAATCTCTCTTCACCAAACAGTCAGAGAAGAGACATGAAGATAATCATCATTTCTGGCACAACCAAAACATTACTCCTAATGTTTCACATCTAGTTTAAAAAATAGTAAATGTTGTCAAACTTTAAGCTAGGGCTGGACGATATGGCAAAAATTTATATCACAATATATTTCTTAATTTCGGTCGATAAGATATAATTCCGATATCAATATGAACGAAAATAAAAAGCCAGGAAAAAACTGCCAAGAACGCACACAATAGATGTCTGTACCTACAAATGTCTGTAAACTGAATATGCAAAGTCTATAATAACTGCGGGCTCTTATAAAAATTTTTTTCAAAAGTAAAAAAAGTACAAAAATTAATTAATGAATGTTCACTTTTTATTTGTATTTAGCCTTTACAAACAGATGAGTATATTCATAGTTCTGGTTGCTTTTCATCTTGAACGTCCTTTAAGGGTTCTATCTGTCTATTTATATTTGTTCTTATACATTTTATATAGTCTATTTATAAAGACTAATAGTTTATATTATTTTATATAACACACTTTGATTATTTAACAAAATAATACCTCTGTTAATCTCATTCTTTATATTTCATCAGCTTTGCAATAACCTGATACCTGATAAATATGTTTGTAAATTTTATTTTGTAAGTTTGCTCGAGTGCTAGTGCAGCGAGTTTGTGTGTGTGTGAATTTGGGTATGAGCAAGAATCAAATTTATATATATATATACAGTTGAAGTCAGAATTATTAGCCCCCTTTTGATTTTTTTCTTCTTTTTTAAATATTTCCCAAATGATTTTTAACAGAGCAAGGACATTTTCACAGTATGTCTGATAATATTTTTTCTTCTGGAAAAAAGTCTTATTTGTTTTACTTTGGCTAGAATAAAAACAGTTATTAATTTTTTAAAAAACATTTTTGGGACAAAATTATTAGCCTCTTTAAGCTATTTTTTGTTTTGATAGTCTACAGAACAAACCATCATTATACAATAACTTGCCTAATTACCCTAACCTGCGTAGTTCACCTAATTAACCTAGTTAAGCCTTTAAATGTCACTTTAAGCTGCATAGAAGTGTCTTGAAAAATATCCAGTAAAATATTATTTACTGTAATCATGGCAAAGATAAAATAAATCAGTTATTAGAAATAAGTTTTGAAAACTATTATGCTTAGAAATGTGCTGAAACAATCTTCCCTCCGTTAAACAGAAATTGGGGAAAAAAATAAAATGGGGCGCAAATAATTCAGGGGGGCTAATAATTCTGACTTCAACTGTATATATATATATATATATATATATATATATATATATATATATATATATATATATATATATATATATATATATATATGTATATGTGTGTGTGTGTGTGTGGGTGCATGCATGCATCAAGTTTATATGTATATGCGCAAGTTTTATACATGTTTGAAGTATAGTATAGGTTTATATGCAAGTAATTTATAGGTGTATATTAGGGATGTGCGGAGCAGCCGGTATTTGTATTTGTATTTGTTGAGGGGGGAAAAGTATTTGTATTTGTATTTGTATTTGTATTCGAGTAAAATTCAAAATGGCGCAAAAATATATATTTTTTCTATTGCACTTCTAATTTACGTTATAGTGAAAGTATTGTTTAATTATACCCATTATATAAATTATAGATATGCAATGTTGGCTGTTGTTTTTGAACATGTGATAAGAAATGTCATTGAAAAGAAAATAACATAGAAGCCATTATCTCATCCATGGTTAAACCAACAACTAATAAAATACTATTGTGAATATTATGAACCCCACCACCACCGTTCTTGTTGAAGGACACTGAATAGACAGAATAAAAACAAATAATACTTCAAAAAACTGTTCTTCTTCTGAAAGAACTTCTTTCCAATAGACATAATTCCAAAAACTAATATTAACTAAATAAATCTAAATAAAACCCTGCCTGGGAGATCTGGCAGAACAAAAGTATTCTATATAATACTAAAAGATACAGCCCTGCTATTGTCATCTGCCAGCCACAAAACAGACACAAAGTTTGTTTGTTTGTTTATTTAGATTTCTGCAAATATTTTTCAATGGAAGTCAATGGAGGAATATGACTAGTCAGTCATAATATATTTGCAGATATTTCCAATCTGACTAGTCGAATTATAATTATGACAAGTCAAAATATAATTAGAGATATCTCTAAATATATTTATGGATAGTCTGAACAAGGTTTAAATGCTAAAACAGCTTGCCATACGCTATCACCCAGTAGAACAGTGGAGAGTTCTCTAGTTATATCCTTTCAGTCGTTTGTTATGCAGTGACATGCAGTCAAATATTTCGCCAAACAGTCCTTAGGGATGCGGTGACACGCAGTCAGATATTTTACCGGACAGATCCGCCACTTTTGGCGCGCATAAACGATCATAAAGCTCTCGTGCTGCAGGAATGAGGAGGTCTGCTGAAGGCGCGCAGCTGACGTGCAGTGAGGGGTCTGCGTCTTTAATAAACGACGGCAGTTTGCGATCACTGAACAGCAAGAATGATTAATAAATCCATATGAAACAACCCCTTAAAAGTCACGTCTCGCTTTCAGTTTCGGGCTTTGGCGCGTTTTGCACTGAGCGTGTGTGTGTGTGTGTGTGTGTGTGTGTCTCTCTCTCTCTCTCTCTCTCTCACACTCTCTCTCACACTCACGCGGGCATGCACGGTGGTCTCATGAGGAAACGCTATGAGGAAACGCTGCTTTTTGATATAGTGTTTTTCTTGCTCCCGAATACAAATAATTTTTCAAGTATTTGTTCGAATCAAGTATTCGTAAAAACACGCTATTCGTGCCTTTCCGAATACCGTATTCGGGTTCGGCTCCACCCTTAGTGTATATGCACGTGTTGATAAGCGAAGTTTGATTTAAATCCTACACGGAGGGCGCAGTTTCATCTCTTGATCAGGCTCATTATCTGATTTACTCCGGTTTAAAAAAAGATATGTATATGTATGCTTGACTGCCTCTGGCATTTTTAAGAATACATACGTTATTTAGTAGGCCACTATGTCATTACTTATTTTTGCTGCTCATTGTGCGGGAAACAATAATCACCAATCAATGAGTGATTGTAAACGTAAAGGCGTTCCCCACACAAGCTCCCTGTCATCTGGCAGCGGTAAGCTTTCAGTGATTGACAGCTGATATAGTGCCAATATAATCGTCTTCTTGCAGATGTGGCTATAAGCCTCCCGGCTGTTGTCAACTACTAGGCCAGTCTTTAAATCTTGCGCCCTCCAACCTGAGGTCCAAAAACTTGCATTTCCCTATGTTTTAACTTAATTAATGAATCAAATGCGAGCTCGCCTATATGGTTGGCAGCAAGCCAGCCGGTTATCTACTGGTTTGCTTCAGCGCGCGCGAACTCGACCTCACACGACAGCGCTAAGGTCCTACTCTCAGCATATAAAATAAATCCACGCAAAATTAAGAATAAAGGTCTGCACTTTTATCTAAAAAATGTATCTAAAAAACTGGGCTCGAAAATTGAATACCCCGTCAGATGACGTTTATTACTTTTCATTACTTTTTAATAGCCTTAATTTTGGCTAATTTCATTTACTACCTTTAACTACCTTTTAAAACCCTGCAGACACCCTGGTTCATCTTAATGCACTACAGTTTACCAATAAGAATTTCTTGTAAAGTACTACCTATTGCACATTATTATTCTGATACATTGTACATTATTATTTGCAATTACTCAGAACATGTATATACAATAAGCAATACCACAAGTATTTTGGCTTATTATACCAGTTAAAATATTTTTTTGCAAGCTTAGGTCAATAACATAATATCATATATCAGGATAAAATATTCAGCAATTAAATCAAGTTTTTTTATTAGGCAGATTCTAAGTATAGCCATATATAGACATAGATAAATATGGATGTATTCTGGGTCCTGTAACTATTAACCCTTTATAGTGTTACTGGGGTTATGACAAGACTTTTGAACTTGAATTAAATGTGCGTGTATTTGTTTGTCCATGTTTGACTGTCAAAAGGGGCACATTTGTGTTTAGCCAAAGTGAGAGGTGATTCTGTCTATTGTGTGAAAGCTGCAGAAGAACTGCTACAGTGTTTGTGGTGAAGGAAATTATGCATCATACGACCACTATGTTTAAGACAGCCTGTCGCCTATATTTGAGCTGCTAATTTTAAGATGAGAACAAACTCTTTGTCAGCAGTTGAAGAGGAAAAGAAAAATCTTTGCCATTAGCAGTGCCAATGATAAGTGACCAAAAGATCAAACCAATAAGTGTTACTGATGCACAAACAAACAGCTATCTTGGAAACAGTAGAAAATCTTTTGTTTTAAATATATTTGATTTCAGCGCATCAATATACATTGGGCATTTCTAACACACATGGCAAAATAAATAAATGTTCTATGTCGCCGTAGTTTACTATGGCAAGGGAGGCTAGCGCGGGTATTTACAACACTCCAACTACCTAAAAACGTAAAAACTCGGCATACAGAAAAGGGAAGTGAACTCTCACTGTCTCATTTGACCTGCTGGCATGACTTTTCCTTTCCTCTCGGCTGTTAAAGCAGTACTTGTGGATATTAGCATAGCTAGTTTTCTCCACCACGACTATCATGGATCAGCTGTGATCGCTCCTGCTGTTTATTAGTGTCATTTATCGGTGAACAGCGCAAAAGCGTTAGAGCAAATCGCAGCCTTTTCTTTTGAGCATGTGACCAATCACAGGGGTGTAAGAAAGAACTCGCTAGACAGGACTCAAAAAGCGAGCTGGATATTTATATTTGTTTATTTTCTATAAATGCTCATGTTGTTCTGTGCATGTACTTGAGTTTTTAAAGGTACAGTTTATATATTTGACTGTTTGTATTAAAAGCAGTGGTCCCCAACCTCCGGGCTGTGGACCGGTACCGGTCAATCTTCCTTCTGCATTTACACAGCGCAGTATTCCGGCAAATTACTGGTAATGTTACAACTTCTCTTTCCGGAAAATAGCCAGAACGAATTTAAAAGTATTTTTAAAAAGGCCCTGTTCACACATACACACCTTCAAAGGATACATACTTACACCCCTAGATGGGACCATCTTGTTGCAAAGAAACAAGCTCAGGGCTCCCATTGATTTAGCGTTATGGATAGTTTTTGATGTTATAATATATGTTATATTGTTGGAGCAATGTGTTAATGAAGTTATTACTTTCTAATGTTATAATAGCATTGTAATGTTGGAGCAATGAGCTAATAAAGTTCCACATGAGTACACATGAGTACATTATTTCAACCCCCCCCGGTCCGCAGTAAAATTGTCAAGTGTTGACCAGTCCACAGCTAGAAAAAGGTTGGGGACTACTGTATTAAAGGACAAATTTGTATTACAAATAACATATAAATATAAAAATATTTACTGTATATGGAAAGCATCGTCAATGCACTGTGATATCGATGGCATGATAATCTTAACCAAACCGTGAGACCAGTGTATGTTCACACCTCTAATATATACCATATAATTTTCCAGCATTTAAAATTTTTCTACAGTTAATTGGAAAGACCCCACATCATATAACATCAATCAATTACTCAGAAGCACTCTGCTGCATTACATTTAAAGTTGCTTATTTTGCCAGAATGCAAATAATGTGAATTTTCTATATTGACTTTTACACACCTTTCTCTGCAAATAAAGTTTCTGATAATATAGCATTGGGACAATAAATTTTCAACACACTTTATTTGCTTAAAAGTAAATGTTTAGCATTAATTGTGTATTCAGGTGATGCCACACACCCACACTTGTTTAAAGCCTAGGCTGAAAGTTTCCAGATCCACCTCTAACTAAAGTTTTATTGCACTTTTTCCAAGTAGGACAGAGTTCTAACTTTCCACGTTAGAGATAATTCACCCAGAAATGAAAAAGTACTCACCATTAGGTAGCTTCAAATCTATGACTTTCTTTCTTCTGTTGAACACAAAAGATACTTTGGGGGGGGAAAAAAGCTGAAAACCTGTAGCCACTGCCTTCCAAAGTGGGAAAAACAACTACTATAAGTCAATGGTTACAGGTTTCCAAGATTTCCAAAATAGCTTATTTTGTGTTTATTAGAGGAAAGAAACAAGTAAAGGGTGAGTAAATGAGGACAGAATTTTCAGATTTTGGGTGAACTATCCCTTTAAATAGAATGTAGCACAACTACATAAGTTTAAAAGCAAACATGATTGAAACTCTGTACAACCATAAAGTAAATGAACAGGTGACAAATAGGTCATTAGGCCGCACTCACCATTTCCTCATCGGTTTCCAGTGTAACCTTAAAGATGTCGCCCTGTTCAGTCTGGGCTAAAAAGAAAAACATAGATTTGGTCTTGTGGGTGGCAGAGCAGACAAAGATCATGCCTCGCTCAGGGTCATCCAGGTCATTCTGAAAGATGTGGAAAAAGAGAAAGGCGCTGTGGTTACATCTCACATCTGCGTTTAATTTATTCTGCAAACACAATGACTAGAAACTAAACAACCATCGGAATGCAAAAAGGAATATTATGATCAGAGGTCTTTATGCGTCTCCAGTCAAATAGTCAGAGAAGAGACATGAAAAGCTCATCATTTCATTACTAAGAACCTCAAAGCAATGATTAGTGTATGGTGCTCTTAAAAATAATAATAATAAAAATAAATAAATAAAGTAACTCACCCTCCTGCGTGGGATTGGGCAACGGATGTCTGGCTGGTCACCGAAATTTTTGTAGGTGATATAATTCTCAGAACAAATGAGCACACCACTGGGACCATCCGAACCACCGGGAACTACAATACACATGGAGAGAAGTCTAATTAACACAAATTCAATCCTCTGAAAGAAAAAAAGTTCTTTATGTATGCATGAAAATCAGATATCAAGACAATCTCTCCACCAAACAGTCAGAGAAGAGACATGAAGATATTCATCATTTTGACAGCACAGTAATAAAACATTACTTGCAATCTACAACTTTTCTTTCAGATGCTTCTTAAAGTTTATAAAATAAATTTTACATTATAATAGCATTTACTGACACTTAATTAATATAAAAACCTTACATATTTACAGGAGACCAAGTGCTGAATGACAGAAGAGCTCTGCTAAGGTTATTGCAACATGGAATCTTGTAAATCCCCATTTAGCACAATCTATTTTGACATTCTGAAAGTTCAGAACCTGTGATGAGGAAGTTGCCATGTTCCTCCAGAGCCTCGCTGTACTTGCGAACCACATGGTTGAGACCCAAGTCCAACTCATAGAAGGTCAAAGTCTGCTGTGTGTTTGCTGCTGCTTCTCCAGTGGGATCATTATCTGCTTCCTGCAAAACCATTTACAGCTATTGGTTAGCCACATACTTCATTCAACTAAGGGTATTTGTAAAACTACAAACAGTTTTTTTGTAAATATCACAGCACTGACCACAAACAAATAGACAGATAATAACTAATTCATAAGTGTTACTAGAAGTTAAGAGCTGTGTTTTATTCAATTACCAAAAAAAAAGTAATTTTCAGTTTTCATCTTGAATTAACTTTATTTCAGACTAGATTTTTTAAAAATAAATAAATTCACAAAACAAAGTAAGATTTTTCTTACTTTTTACTCACAACTCAAACCTTTTTTTTTGTTGAACACAAAATAAAACATTCTACAGAATGCTGGGGTATTTTCAATGTCAACCTACAATTAACAATCTTCAAAAAAAAATTCTTATTTTGTGTTCAACAAAAGAAAAATGGCTTTTGGATGAATTACACCCACATCATTATCATGGTTTCTACACATTTCACAAAGTCAAATTTAAGACCATTATGAATTAAATTTTAGACTTATGCTGGACTTTTTTTATTATTTCTTTTTAAAAACTATAATTAACTAAATCTATGCAAAACAGTCAGTCCAGGTGTCCAGTGTCCTTACCATATATGGACTATAAATACACAGAGAACTTTTAAACAAACATTTTTGTAAGGACGATATTTAAACCATATTGGTAAATAGAGTTTTATTAAAAGCTCTATTGAGCTGGACTGTTGGTGATTGAATGCATGTTGACCTGATTGTGTAGCTTTTTATGGACAAAAGAAATTACAAAATGTTTACAATTATTTAAGACCCATGATTCATAATTTCAATGAATTTAAGACTTTGAGGTCTTAAGTTTTGTTTTTGAAAGTAAGGACATTAAGACCCCGCAGACACCCTGATGATTCATCTCTTTTACTTAAACCATTAATATTATAACTTAAATTATTTTTATTAGAGTTGTCAAAAATATTGACTTTGATACCAATTGGTGTTTAAATTTAAAAAAACGTCTCATTTCCCACTAACAATAGAGTGCACTCTTAAAACACTGCTGATTGGCTATTGTGTCCATGTATTTAACAGATATGATGGTAATTGGCCATGAAAGTTATTGGTTTACCACTATTTACCAATCAGATGTTTAAGTATGTGCCCAAATATTAGATTTTTAACATTTCTGCACGATTTGACAATACTGATCTGAAGTCATTTTGTGCCCCACTTGGAATCTTTGCTCAGCCTACAACACAAAGCACTAGGTTTATTAATAACAACACTGACCTCATAGTCCATCTCCAGGCAGGCAAACATGGGGTTCTCAAAGCCCACGTCCACACCAACCACATGGTAGACAAGTGTATTAGCCTTGTGAGCCTCTAGAGGGGAGGAGATGGTAAGGCGAGCTGCTGCATCTCTATTCAGGATGTAAACCAACTTCTGTTTCTCTGTGGCACCTGGAAAAATGAAAGGTGAAGAGTAAGAATGGGAGATTGGGCTACTTAAAAAAAAAAAAAAGTACTGCAGACTTCACTACACACAGATAGTTTTACCTATCATTACAGCTCTTCCCTTAGGATCAACAGCAAGAAACTGCCCAGGCACAATGCGTCTGCAGCCACTCTTGCCAAAGGTCTCCTGGTGGATCTTTTCAAACATGTTCTTGGAAGGATGGTACTCCAGGATCACAATACGACCAGAGTCACTGCCCACCACAACGTAGTCTAAAAATCAAATCCAAATTCCAAAGTATAAAATACTGATCTCCATTATATTTTTAAATGATATACATTTGAAAAATTATATTGAATAAAACAGCTTTAAGATTAACCAAATCTACAAAAAACGTAGAAAGAACTGACTGTACCTTCAGTTCACACTACAAAAAGTATTGTCTGATTTTTGGGGGAAAGGCTTCAGGTATTTTTCTGCAGTTTTTTCATTATCAATAGACCCAAATCCCTTAACGGCACTGTTTGGAATCCTGCCAGAATATGTTGAATTAAATTCATTATAGGCTAATATAGGGCTGTGCGATTTGGTGAAAATATCTAATTGTGATTTTTTTGACAGATTTTGCGATTTTATTTTGTAGTGAAGCTTCAGCTCAATAATCTGCAAGTCGTGGCAACAATTCTGCGACAGCTCTTAAAAATGACCCGTTTTTGTTTGGTGTCTGTGACTTTGAAACCAAAATATTCCCATATTACCAATGCTGTTTTTTCTTTCATACGAATTTATTAATAATACTTCTGAAACAGCAGACACCATCATACTACTTGTCTGCATTTTCTTATTTGCTTTCTTTTTTTTATTATTGGCGTACCGCAAAGTTCAGTAGTGCAATTCTGATTAGGCATAGCAAAAATGTGCTCACTCAATTGGCTTGAAAGACAGTCGCACACAGAGGGCAGTCACATTTCCTCGGGGGTGAGGAAATTAAATATTACATATATATTTCAAAATCGCAGCCTCTTGCGATTCACTAATCGCAACACTTAAAATAGCAATTTGATTTATCACTCAGCCTTTAGCTGATAGTGTAGCCTTTGCAACTTTACTGGCTAGATGACTTATTCTTATGAATGGCAAGTCAGCAGCTCCCCCTTCTAATCGGCAATGGGTTTTTGATTTCCTACAGGCTCTTAGAATGGAAAAGATTCAGTTCACAATAAAACAAAAACCAAAACAGTCCCAGAAAGTTCAGAGCCCTTTTCTAACTTTTTTTTAAGTAGACACCTATTTCTTAAATGCTTTTTTTCTTTGTGATTTTAAAATTTTTATTATTCTAATTTTTGTTATTTTATGTGTGTATATTTTTGCATACTGTATATGTGGTATTTTACCTTATTATTTACATACTTATTTAGTGTATAATTATGTTTTCCTGATAATTTCTTGTTTGGTGAATTGTATCCGTACATATAAATATGTATTAATATTATGTACATTTTATTATCTGAGCTAAAATGAACCTAATAAAAAAAATAAAATAAAATAAAAAAGTAATATATAAATAATATATAATTAGATATTATATAGTAATATATAATAAATAAATATATAAATACAATCACATTTAGAAATTTAAAAAAAGCAACATTTAATTTCTTTGTTTAGAATCAGAATTAAACACATCTTGATTCAATGATATCTGAATCGGAAAAACAAAGGTTGATTGTTTATTTGTCTGTTGCAGTGCATGCAAAATGTAATGTCACACCTTTATTTATTATTATAATTATTTAAACTTTAAGATCTTGAGAACTCCTGTTAAAGAGCCCATATTATGGGTTTTTGAAAATTCCCCTGCATGTAGTGTGTAACACAGCTCTAAGTGAAGTGAAGTATCCAGCTAAGGCTTAAATCTGTAAGAGTACAGTGTTTAAATGGTTGATTCATCTATAAAAGAGTCGACTCATAGTGCTTCAAACGAGTCGCCTTGATACCGAGTCATTAGGTGTTTCGCCATGACGTACGAACGAAACCAAGTTATTCACGTGCACGCGCAAACCCGGGAGATTTCAAACCTGAGGCCTCGCCCTCTGACGCAGAAACCCAGACACACACACACACACGCACGCACACAAACATGCCGGTCGATTGAAGTCACACTGCAGATGGATATATTGAGTCTCTACCCAAACATGAAACCTCAGCATTATAGCCAAGCAGTTGGAAACTTCTAGAAGCTACATGCTACAAAGAATACTTCATCTGAGTTTGTTAAAGGAAGAATCAGTAAAGAGTAACTTACTGACTGACGTCAGGATGGGTTTCTTCCATTTCTCAAGTGTAAGTACGTGCGGTTAAAGTTGTTGCCTCGTTGACTCTAGCTTGCAAATGTATTTAGTTGTGATTTGTTACTTGTAACCGCGTGTACTATATCAGGTTAACTCTATATTCTCTTATCGCGTGCAAAGTCACGTTAAAAACTTGATGCGTGCTGCTTTGTTTATGGAGCTCCGTGCTAGAGTTCTGCTCCCACGATTTATTTGGAAATTTATTCCCGCGCCGCAAAAATCTGGCGCGGGGACAGCCGCGGGAATAAATCGCGGGAGCGGTCGGTAACGGGTTTAATTTGGGACGGGAGCGGGCTGTCTAGCAATATCACGGATATTGCTATGCAAATGAGAAAGAGAGAGTCTGCTTGGTGCTTGTGTGTGTGTTAGTGAGCACGCGCGCGTATGAGAGAGAGAGAGAGAGAGAGAGAGAGAGAGAGAGAGAACGAGAGAGAGAGAGAGAGAGAGAGAGAGAGAGAGAGAGAGAGAGAGAGAGAGAGAGAGAACGAGAGAGAGAGAGAGAGAGAGAGAGAGAGAGAGAGAGAGAGAGAGAGAGAGAGAGAGAGAGAGAGAGAGAGAGAGAGAGAGAGAGAGAGAGAGAGAGAGAGAACGAGCTTTGTGTGCTTGGTGCTGTGTGTGTGTTTATACAGACAGCTTGGCTGTCTGGACTGTATAGCTGGATGAATGTTCTCCCCCGCTCTAGCGGGATCAGGCGCGGCGGGCAGAAAACGGAGCGGGTTCTCAGGCTAAAACCTGGCGGGTGCGGGCGGAAGCGGGAGCGTTGTCGTCCGGAGGTGTGTGTGTGGCAGCTAAAATCCACGCCTACACTATCGAGCGTGTATGAACTGTGATTACTTTTTATATTGCTGATTGGCTATTGGCCATTTCACTCTCTGACTGAAGGCAGTCGACCAATCGCGACAGACTGTCATCGGTCCAATCAGCGCAGATTAGCTTCGCGCTAAGGAGGGGTTTGGGAACAAATGAATCACTGGACGATTCATACGGGAGTCGCTGGGATAATTAGGTAAAAATAAATGCAGATTATAAGACCATGAAAGTGTTTTTTGACCTTGCATGCATATTAGACTGTTGTTGGAGACCCTTACAACCAAGATATGACCCTATTTCATGTATAATATGGGCTCTTTAATGTGTGCCACAATTAGACAAACTTGCTAACCTTTAGTTCCACCCGTCAACCTGAAGGCCATGAGTGAGCGGACGACACCAAACACCTCCATAGTGAGCAGTGTGTGAACTTTCCCGGTGTTGGCATCAGGACGCAGCAGCTCCAGAATTTTTCCTCGAGAAACAACAATCTCCTGCTGCTTGGTTCCTAATAAACAGGGAAAAGCACTAGTATTTTATCTTCATGCTATCTTCATGTTTGGTTATGTAATTACAATGTCACTACAGATTAAGCACGCCACTATCAAGAAATTGTCCAGGATATGGTGTTCCTGTGGCATACCTGAGAAGTTTCCATGGATGGCATGCGAGATGCCAGTTGCCCTTTGCAGGGTGATGTTGTACAGAAACATGGCTGCTGTCACTGGACCTTCAGGCTCAGGACAAAGAGCTAAAGCAGCACCTGCAAAACATAACAAAATAAACAAACAAATACACTATGGGAACGATGATGACGACAACAACTACTTAGTTAATTCATTTATGTAGCATAGAAAAGTCGCACTTAAATCAACGAATAGCTGAGCAATTCCATGCAAATGTCAGCCTTACCAAGATAAAATATAGTTTTCACCGAAATAACTTTCAATGATTTTAGTGTAGCCTTGTATTTTACAGCACTGCAGAATTACTGAAAAATGTCTCTGTCAATGTTTTTAAACAATTATATTTAATTTGCCAAAGTCACAAAAGTGGCAATTTCACATCTGTGACATCTATAACAGAGAAGAGACACATCTATAAAGCCTTTTCCTCATAAATGCAAAAATGTCAAATAAAATGAAATCAACCACTGTAGTTCTATAGGGAACCAGCTCTTCTCCATGTAATTAGCATTGTTTCTTTGGGGTTGTGCAGTTTAATTCACAGTATTTCTACAAAGTATGTTGTATCCTGTAAACTCACTGTCACATCCATTATGCATGTTTATTTTATTTAGAACAAAAAAAGTTTACGGATATTTTTCTGATCTCATAACTCTGTGGTTAGTCGTTTTGGAAAATACAAACAGATGTTTCGTTTACATAACATTATACTTAGTTTCTCTGTCAATTTATGTTTTAGGTTTTTACTGTAAAGGTCACATTTATAACGTCGGATGTGCTAACTGTTACTAATAGTTTTCAGAGAAGACCTACAAGGCCAACTTTGTTAAGTGAAAACTATGAAATATTGAATAGGACGAATTTCAAGCAGTTTACAGCAAACAATTAGTCTCTTCGCTAGTTAACCAGGAAAAGACAAAGCTAATGACTGCACAGAGAAAGCTAACAGCAAAGTGTCTATTTAGACAGTTCGTCGAGTTACATGCATAAATAAATTCGCTAAATAAGTTTCACTATATTTTTCCTTAATGTAAATTATATTTAAATAATAATTTACTGATAACAGCACTGGATTTGACAAGCTTTAGTGAATGGTCCATTCATCATTAGCCAGCCGGCTAACAAACTTTATATTCAAAAAAATGGTTTAAACTGTCGATTATGGATACAAATTTTACAATGACAAAGAAATATGGATTATCCGCGAACTGTATGAAAATAATTTACCGAAATAGCAACCAGGATGTTGTAGATTTCAATCAGATGAGAAACTTTTATTTTTCATTGGCCTGATCGCTCGTTATTTCAAACGGCGCTGGAACGACAGAGGGCCTCGCAGTTCTGTTGGCGCACATCAGTACTGTCCGAACATGTGCCTGAGTAAAAAGATCGACAACAGACAACTAAGTTTAGTTAAAAAAAACATTTTAGTGTATTAATTTTTAAATGTCTTTTTTATTGATTGTTATGTTATTAATTCCTTAAGAATGTGGTTAAAATAAACATATTTTTTTTCTTATACCCTGCTGAAAAAACAGCTTAAACCAGCCTAAGCTGGTTGGCTGGTTTTGGCTGGGCTCCCAGTCTGGCTAGGCTGGTCAAGTTGATTTAGTTGGTCATCTCCCAGCCTGACCAGCTAAGACCAGGCTGGAAATGGCTGGAAACCAGCCTGAAAGTGGAAAAAACCCCTCTAAAACCAGCCTGGTTGACCAGCCAACCATGCACCCTAGGCTGGTTTTAGCTGTTTTCTTTCAGTAGGGACTTGACTAATTTAAACGTTAAGTGACAGAAAAAACATGTCCAACATACATGAAACATACAATCACAATAATAAACGTATTGTTCAACAAACTGCATGTTTTCTTTCAAAAGAAATTAAACAATTGTGCTTTATGTGGTTTAAACAAGTGCGCTCTCTCTCTCTCTCTCTCTCTCTCTCTCTCTCTCTCTCTCTCTCTGCGCACGCGCGCGTATGTATGACATCAGGACACAGATGTGTATGACATGAGTATGCCAAAGAATGCATTTGGAAACCTATGTAACGTCCCCATAATTCACAAAAACAAACCCGTGTGTGCTGTGCCTGTGGAAATCCCAGAATATTACCGCACCGTTAAAGGCAAATATTGCTTCATTCTTTCCATTACAGTGTAAAACAGTGACATAATTTATATATCACCATCTCTATTTATGACCAAAGAAACTATTTAGTTAAATTATCTTTCACTTGTCAAAGTTTTTAAACAATATTTTAATGCTATTTTGATATTTCATAGCTAAATAATGGTGTGATAAGGGAAAATTATGTTAAGTTAAAGTTAAGTTAAATTTATTTATTTATTCATTTATTGCAATTAAATGAGGGTGGCATATTATTTGGTTATTTCTGTTATTGTTTTGAGTTGATGAACAAAATAATAGTCTTTAAATTCATTAATTTTCTTTTAAGCTTAGTCCCTTTATTAATCTGGGGTCGCCACAGCGGAATGAACCGCGAACTTATAGCATATGTTTTACGCAGCGGATGCCCTTCCAGCCTCAACCCATCACTGGGAAACACCCATACACTCTCATTCACACACACACTATATGGAAGTTTTTTTAGCTCACCCTATTCACCTATACCGCATGTCTTTGGACTGTGGGGGAAACCGGAGCACCCAGAGGAAAGCCAAGTAAACGCAGGGAGAACATGCAAACTCCACACAGAAAAGCTAACTGACCCAGCCGAGGCTCGAACCAGCAACCTTATTGCTGAGAGGTGACAGCACTACCTAGTGTGCCACCGCATCACCTTGTCTTTAAATTATTATGTAAATTTAATAATTAAAAAATAAATAAACTGACCCCAAACTTTTGACTTGTAGTGTGAGTGTGTGTGTATATATATATATATATATATATATATATATATATATATATATATATATATATATATATATATATATATATATATATATATATATATATATATATATATATATGTATAACTGAATTACCTGGCATAAAAATTAAAAACTGTTTTTATTCTAGCTTAAATAAAACAAATAAGACTTTCCCCTGAAGGGAAAAGACATACTGTGAAAATTTCCTTGCTCTGTTAATCATCATTTGGGAAATATTTAAAAAAGAAAAAAATATTCAAAGGGGGTTTAATATTTCTGACCTTCAATTGTATATATATATATATATATATATATATATATATATATATATATATATATATATATATATATATATATATATAGACAGACAGACTGACAGACAGGTAGGTAGATAGGTAGATAGATCAGAAGTCTGAATTATTAGCCTCCTGAATTATTATCCTGTTTTTCCAAGAAATCCAATAATTTCTGTTTAATGGACAGAAGAATTTTTTCAACACTTTTCTAAATATAATAGTTTTAATAACTAATTTCTGATCATTTATTTTATCTTTGCCATGATGACAGTAAATAATATTTGACTAGATATTTTTTAAGACATTTCTATACAGCGTAAAGTGACATTTAAAGGCTTAGGTTAACTAGGTTAACTAGGCAGGTTAGGGTAATTAGGCAAGTTATTGTATAACGATGGTTTGTTCTGTAGACTATCAAACAAATATTTATAGCTTAAATGTGCTAATAATTTTGACCTTAAAATGGTTAAAACTGCTTTTATTTTAGCTGCAATAAAACAAATAAGACTTTTTCCAGAAGAAAAATATTATCAGACATACTGTGAAAATTTTCTTGCTCTGTTAAACATAATTTGAGGAATATTTCATAAAAAACTAAAATTTAAAGGGGGTTTAATATTTTTGAACGGTGTATATCAATTCAATATATTTATACATAAATCCACATGGCGGCAGTAGCACATCAATTAGAATGCATATTGAGGAATACTCAAATTTTCATGCCACGTATGTAAACCATTATGAAGAATAACAGTCTGAAAACTATTGATGCCGCATTTTAATATTAAAAGAAATTAATGATACGATTACACGAAAATCTATGTAAAACTAACTATAACTAACTGGCTATTTGAACCGACATTTAATTCATATAAAGCATTTATACATATCTACAAAGAGAGAAACATAGCATCCGCTACGTACAGTTTGTATGTATGATAGTTATTCCCCGAGCATCCTCAATCACAGCACTTAGCGGTCTGCCGTGAATTCCATCTGTTACAAATGCATCATGGGAAATGTAGTACAAAAAGGCAGCGGACTCACAAGCGACACCTGACACCAAATTCACAGCACTTTTCAGTTCTTGCCTATATATATGCATAAGACAAATCCATTACACACATCACTGGAGTAAGTGCTCAGGTGAAACAACGGCTCGCAGTTCACTTGCACATAATTAAAAGAACTACATATCCCACTAGACATAAAACGCGATTGGAGAATACGGGGTGAGGGTATCTTGTTAAAGGGGGGGCAGCACACATACACTCACAGTCACACACACACGGACTGCACGCAGCATGGTGAGAATTACATTGTTGCATTTTATCCAAGGGCTTAGAGACGATAAATAGCAGGCAGCAGGACAAAGCCCTACTGCACATCTGCATCAGCATAGTGTGAGGACGCTGGGAACGACCACCGACGAGGAATTGATCTGAATAATCATATGGAGGCTGAATGCTGCTCATTTAGTGCAACATCTACAACAGTCTGCAGAAATTTACATTCCAGAGAGGGGGTGAAGTGGCTGTCTTTACATCCAGAAACTGCCCCAACATCATGACGGAGGGCTGTGCATCCTAAGAGGCTTTGCAAGGTATGGAAAAGCACGAGAATCACTGAATTTTGTCATTTGTGGTCATTGAAGTAACCTGTTGTGGACTGTGCTGATGTGGCTTTCACTCCATTAACGTCTCACCCCTTTCTTTGTTTATTTTGAAAGCAGTGTCAGATTTGTGTAGCTCGAGTGGTCCCTGACCCGCATCATGCATATAGAAGCACTCAAGAGGGGGGACCCGTGGCTTTGTGTCCAAAAAACATCTCTCATTGATGTGAGGGTCTCATTCCACTCTGAACCCACCCTTACCGATCTGCCAGCGTTGCTTAGATACAGGAAAGAAAGAGAGGGGTAGTAAAGGATTTTCTTGGGGTTGATGTGACGGGGTGACCTAATCAAGCCTTTGTCTCATCCTTATGCGGTTTCTTCAAAGTAGACTCAACCCAACTCCAAAAATGTGGACGGAAACTCAGTGAAGTATGACGTGTGTTATTCAGAAAGATGCTAACACATGTTTTTCTCAGGGAAAAGTGCAAGGTTACTGAGTGGAAACACTATACTAACACATACTAAACATTCTATGCATCACTATAGGGAAATTTCAACATCAGTCGCGCAATAATAAACCCTAGACTTTAAAAATTGGTCACAATTTATCGAGAAGCATTTCTAATGTTTATCTGCTCAATAACCTGTGCATTTAGATCATTTTCATAGATAATATCCTTCTAAAGAGAGAGTTACTTGTTACTAAAATTGCACATATTCATTGCAACAAATGATCTTGAATTGTACATATCCACTGCACATATAAGAATCAGAATCAGCTTTATTGCCAGGTATGTTCACACATACGAGGAATTTGTTTTCGTGACAGAGCTTCTACTGTGCAACAGAATTACTGAAACAGGACAAAGTATAGATAAATATAGCAAAAATATAGATTTGCAATTATGTTAATATCTATCTGCATACCTCTGATTATTAATAGCAACCTGTAAAGGCATGGGCTGGTATAAGATTCTAATGGTATGGTAACCTTGGATAAAAATATTACAGTGTTGTGATTACTGATCCAAAATAAAATCTTTGTAATTATCTGGGTAAAAAAAACAACTTTCCCCCCCACTAAACACAATATATTTTATTTTAAGAAACATTTAAAATGTTTTGAACTGGTAGCTTTTGATGTAGACGTTCCTTTTCTGCTGAAGATATTGTTACTGTAAAAAACAAAATAGGATAGTTATGAAAAAAACTTACAGAGCAATTTCAGCATTATGGATGTGACCTTTGCAGTAAAATCTCAAAACATGAATTCACAGAGAAAGTATGATACCTTACATTGAAACATCTGTTTATATTTTCCAAAAATACTAACCACAGAGTTATGGGTTCAAAATATATAAATCTGTAAACATTTTTATATTTTAAATGAGGAAAATAAACATGCGTTATATATTTTACTAAAAAAGTCAGCCAGTTTACAGTATACAAAAAGCTTTGTAGAAATTCTGTGGATTAAACTGCACA